GTATGTCAGACAGGAACAGACATATACTTGTTATCCCTTCAGTTATCTTTTTCCTCTTTCTGTCTCTTTTGTAAAGTATTGATTCTGCCAAAGAAGATGGATCATTTGGGAGGTTGGTTAACGATGACCACAAGCACCCAAATTGCAGAATGAAGATGATTGAAGTAGATGGAAGGCCACATCTCTGCCTGTTTGCCATAGAAGACATAAAACAGGGAGATGAAATCACCTATGATTATGGAGGAAATGACTGGCCATGGCGAAAGAAGGTATATAAGTTTTTTTTTTTTAGGAATCTCTGGGAACTTCACAATTCGATTCGATTACGATTCAGAGGGCTGCGATGCAATTATAAAACGATTATCGATGCATCTTTTTTTTCTACATGTGATTTCTATTTTCTTACTGTCTGAGGACTTGGTAGTTTTAAAGCAAAGTATTTGTAATGATCCATAATGAATTTACTTAATATTTTCTATTAATAAAACAAATGGAAGTGATGTGGCAAGTGAACTAGAAGGCTCTGATTAACTGCTCTTGTTTGGAGACGCTGCTGCCACTCACCTACGATAAAATGCGCTGTTACGGTGTAATAAGATCTAGTGGTAATGGATGACCACGCAGTGCGTTACAGCCGTCCTACCCATTTAATTCAGTGTTTTATAACTTCGGTTTTGGTCTCATGTTTGATTTAAGTTGGAACGGGAAAGTTCAGCAAGAAGCCGGTGAGTGAAAAGCGACTTCAGCCTCGTAAAACAGCCGAAAGCTGAGAGACATTTTACAAGAAACTAAACTTTTGAGGAAAAGTTTTCTGGCGGAGTTGGAAGAAAAGCGGCGAAAAGCTGAAGCTTAAAGCAGAGTAGAGTAAGTCCGCGTTTTCGTTTATATTGTTTAGCCTAAACTAGGACATTATCACATACTGAACATTAAATGTTGTGGCTCCCAAGGTGGTTTGCTTTTTGTTGAAAGGACAAAATGGCTCTTCTTAACATTTGGGTTGTGACTCCTGATCTAACCTGGCTTTTAATGCAGACGCTGCCGGTCGGATTTCTCGCCCATCCATGTGTGTTTTTGTTATGTGCCGCCACAGACTGTCCAGGCGCTGCACTTACCCACTTCCAAGTTCAGCCCTTTGGGTTCCATCAACATTACGTTATAAATAAAATATTTAGAAAATCGATTTTTGACATTTATGAATTGATTCAGAATCGTCCACTTCTGCATCGCGATGCATCTAAGAATCGTTTTTTTCCCGCACCCCTATTATAAACTATAATTTTATGCTAGAAAAGGGCGCTATAATATGTAAGTATTGTTTAATGGATATTATGTATACATTTGCTTGATTTCTGTTGTCAAGTAAAAACCATAAGATTTTGATCAAATGTTCCTGAATGAGAAGGTTGGCTAAATGATTTTTCCCTTTTTCTAACAGATGTGATCTACTTCATGTTTGAAATAAAATAACATGGGTGCTATGGATACTTAAATTAAGTTTGTAATTAATTTGGCTAATGTACTGTATTTTTTACAGGTTAGGGACGACACAATTTCCAAGAGTAACGCCAAAGAGAGTCAGCCACCATCCCTGTCGGAACCTGTTCTATCTGTTCTATGTTCCTCAGCAAGTGATCAGGTCAGTTTCTTGCAGTCATTTACAAGTGTTTCTAAGGTATGAGAAAATCAAAGTGGAACATGAGCAAGGTTGAATTTCCAAACATTATATCTTGTCTGTTATGTTTGCTGTGTTTGATGACCTCAATGCAGATTTTGGTCAAATGAGTGTGAATAATATAGATTCTGCTCCCAGTTAGAACGGTATCCCCACAAGTCACATGGTCACAAAATGTGTTAAGGGTCCTCACAAAGAATGTTTAGACATTGATGTGTAGACCTTGAAGCACTTTGACTGAGGGTTGTAAGCAGTGAAGAAACACTACATTTACATATCTCAGGGCATGTTAGAGTTGTGAGAAGTTTCGCTTAATCACTTTTTTTACTGTTGTAACGGATGTCTTCTGCTTTATCTTTGGTCTAATATAATAGAAGTGTTGTGTGTATAGGATATCCCTCTTTGAATTGTTAGTTAATTTGCCAATGTACCATATTTGAACAGGTTAGGGAGGACACAGTTTCCAAGAGTAACACCAAAGAGAGACAGCCACCATCCCTGTCAGAACCTGTTCTATCTACTTGTTCCTCAGCAAGTGATCAGGTAAGCCTCTTTCGGTCATTAACAAGTGTTCCTTAGATCTGAAAATAGCCAACTTTGGATTTTGTAGCTTTACAATATATAGAATTAGAGAATTAAAGTGGAAAAGTATGTTTTGAGCAAGGTTTGAAGTTCCAAAACATTATATCTTGTCTGTTATGTTTGTTGTATTTGATGACCTCACGGAGTCCCCACGATGCAGATTTTGGTCAAATGAGTGTGAATAATATAGATTCTGCTCCCAGTTAGAACGGTATCCCCACAAGTCACATGGTCACAAAATGTGTTAAGGGTCCTCACAAAGAATGTTTAGACATTGATGTGTAGACCTTGAAGCACTTTGACTGAGGGTTGTAAGCAGTGAAGAAACACTACATTTACATATCTCAGGGCATGTTAGAGTTGTGAGAAGTTTCGCTTAATCACTTTTTTTACTGTTGTAACGGATGTCTTCTGCTTTATCTTTGGTCTAATATAATAGAAGTGTTGTGTGTATAGGAAATCCCTCTTTGAATTGTTAGTTAATTTGCCAATGTACCATATTTGAACAGGTTAGGGAGGACACAGTTTCCAAGAGTAACACCAAAGAGAGACAGCCACCATCCCTGTCAGAACCTGTTCTATCTACTTGTTCCTCAGCAAGTGATCAGGTAAGCCTCTTTCGGTCATTAACAAGTGTTCCTTAGATCTGAAAATAGCCAACTTTGGATTTTGTAGCTTTACAATATATAGAATTAGAGAATTAAAGTGGAAAAGTATGTTTTGAGCAAGGTTTGAAGTTCCAAAACATTATATCTTGTCTGTTATGTTTGTTGTATTTGATGACCTCACGGAGTCCCCACGATGCAGGTTTTGGTCAAATGAGTGTGAATGAGAGAGATGCTGGGAAAATACTCTCAGCTAGGACAGTGTCCCCACAAGTCACATGGTCACAAAATGTGTTAAGCGTCCTCACAAAGAATGTTTAGGCCTTTGTGTGTGTAAGCACTTTGACTGAGGGTTGTAAGCAGTGAGGAAACACTACATTTGCATATCTCAGGGCATGTTAGAGTTTTGAAAAGTTGTAACATGTCTTCTGCTTTGTTTCTTCCAATATGAAAGAAGTGTTATGTGTATAGGAAATCCCTCTTTGAATTGTTAGTTAATTTGTCAATGTACCATATTTGAACAGGTTAGGGAGGAAACAATTTCCAAGAGTAACACCAAAGAGAGACAGCCACCATCCCTGTCAGAACCTGTTCTATCTACTTGTTCCTCAGCAAGTGATCAGGTAAGCCTCTTTCGGTCATTCACAAGTGTTCCTTAGATCTGAAAATAGCCAACTTTGAATTTTGTAGTTTTGCAATATATAGAATTAGAGAATTAAAGTGGAAAAGTATGTTTTGAGCAAGGTTTGAAGTTCCAAAACATTATATCTTGTCTGTTATGTTTGTTGTATTTGATGACCTCACGGAGTCCCCATGATGCAGGTTTTGGTCAAATGAGTGTGAATGAGATAGATGCTGGGAAAATACTCTCAGCTAGGACAGTGTCCCCACAAGTCACATGGTCACAAAATGTGTTAAGGGTCCTCACAAAGAATGTTTAGGCCTTTGTGTGTGTAAGCACTTTGATTGAGGGTTGTAAGCAGTGAGGAAACACTACATTTGCATATCTCAGGGCATGTTAGAGTTTTGAAAAGTTGTAACGGTTGTCTTCTGCATTATCTTTGGTCTAATATAATAGAAGTGTCACGTATATAGGAAATCCCACTTTGAATTGCTTAATTAATTTGCCAATGTACCATATTTGAACAGGTTAGGCAGGACACAATTTCCAAGAGTAACACCAAAGAGAGACAGCCCCCATCCCTGTCAGAACCTGTTCTATCTACTTGTTCCTCAGCAAGTGATCAGGTAAGCCTCTTTCGGTCATTCACAAGTGTTGCTTAGTATTTGACGACCTCACGGAGTCCCCACGATGCAGGTTTTTGGTCAAATGAGTGTGAATGAGATAGAAAATCAAAGGGGAAAAGTATATCTTGAGCAGTGACAGTCACACGGTCACAAAATGTGTTGTGTCCTTACAAAGTATGTTTGACCTTGAATTCATTTTTTTTTGTAGTTTTTGTATTCACTGTAATTTAATTGAACTATTGATGTACCTGATTGACATAAGCTTGTCACAGTTATTACATAATCACTTAATTGAATTTATTAGACATGATTACAATTATATAACTTGTTAGATTTCACAGTCATTATGCTGCAACAAGCAGAATTTGAACTGGGTACATTGTGGTGAGGAAATAAATGCTCTTCATGAAATTATGAGGCTTATGAAAACAAAGTTATGACTTAGAGTCAGTAATGTTTGTTTTTGTTAACTATGTAGCTAGTTCTGTTTTTAGCATGTGTGCTGGCAAAATTAGTGGGTTTTTTTGCTCATATTTTGTCCTTTTGTGGAAAAACTCTACTCATAATTCTGTTCTTAACTTATTAATCTGTAGACAGTTGTGAGTATGTGTATGTGTACACAACAATAGTTTATCGTTTAGCTACTAAGAAAACATAGCTAACAAGCAAGATGGTTAATCAGCTAATTCAGCTACTTTTGGCTTGCATACAGTGAACAATTAAATCATTAATCACAATTATTTGTATGACAAATACTCATCAGCTAAAATTCTGTGATCATGACAGGCCAAGATTGACCACCTACTTTCTGAAAATCTGTTTAAAGTCTGGAGCTGAAGCCTTTTGCTTGTTCTCATTCTTGTCTAAAGGATAATATTCTTAAAGGGGTTGTTCAATTGCATAGCATCTCTTCACTTGTGTACCAACTCTTGTGATTTGTACAATTGTATCATATATTTACAGAGGACTAGGAAGGACACAATTGCAGAGAGCAGTGCTCAAGAGAACTGTCAGCCATTGCAGTCTCGACCCGCTCTGTCTGCTTGTTCCTCAGCAAGTGATAAGGTAAGTCTCTTGCGGTCATTCACAAGTGTTTGTTAGGCATGAAAATCGCCAACTCTGAATTTTGTACAAGTGCTTCTTAGGGCACAACACAGATTTTGCTTACATTAAGGTCATTTTCATACTTGTCAGCCTAAATTATATACTCAGTACTGAAACTGTATAGGATTTTGAGCGTACCCTGGGGTTTGCAAAGTATCTCTTATAATTAGCTCACATTTTATTTCCAAAATATATAATATATTACAGATGACAGAAGAGGATACAGTTTTGCTGTTTTGTCAAAGAGAATCTTCAGCCACTGTCTCAGTCAAGACTCCTTGCTACCTGTTCTACCTGTTCATGTTCAAGTCTCTTGTAGTCATGTCCATTTGAACTTTAAAATAAATTTGAACTATACAGATGAGAAATTCCAATCCTGAGAAGACTGCCTGGGTCACCCCTATGTCTCGTCAGTCAGAGCCTCTGAAGGATCACAGCAACGACAGCAGTTCTGGGCAGGTACATTTGTTTAAAGATTAAAAGCTTTCTGAAATTGTGGCCAGGACATGAGCTCAGTTGAAATTGACCTTTTGAATTACAAGGAATTTCTAATCACAGTATAACACACTAACAATTGAATATGGATGAACTTTCATACAATTTTTATTTTTGAGAAGACTTTAAAATGCTACAATGTAATATAGGCTCTCGTATCAATACAGCTTCCCAGTCTTGGTTAAATTGTGGATAGATTTAATACTTTATGGAATTATTTTTATGTTCAGCCTGTTATTAAATTTGTGCAACTACATTGTGAGCAGACTTCTTTTTTACATTGATTTAATTCTCCAACTCCCTCAACAATGTTGTATGTTTTTCTTCTTTTGTTGAAGAGTTCTTCATTAGAAGACACTGATGAAGAGGATGTGCATGTACCTAGATTAAGAAGGACTAGAAGTGTTATAGTAAGTGTTTCATATTCATTCCAAAGCAGATAAATTTCATTAGCATATTAATTCATAGCTTAAAAATTCAATGAATTTATGGGCATGTGCCGGTATAATGTATATTAAAGACGCACAGTAACATTATTGTGAACTTCAAAACGTTAAAACAGCTGCAGGCCATAGACACAGAACAGCCATTCTTTAACAAACTCTTACTGCCACTGCAGTGTGGTGCTGTGAGCATGTGTTAAGGCCATTACACACCAAACAGGATGAGAAAAAAATGCAAAATATTCAAATGTAGTGTTGGCAAATTATTATTATTATTTTTTTTTTATTTCACCTAATTTTTTGCTCTGTGGAAAAAAAGAGAGTATATGCTCTTTACAGAAAGAGGCAAGAGTTTTGACCTTTAGTTGTCTTAATATGGTATCTCAATGGAATGTATGTCTGGGTATTGACTAAGGGCCATTCCATATCTCTAATTTTCATTTTCTTTAGACTGCAGTAGGCTTGATTTTATATTTTCAATTGTTCTGTTGCTGTTTGATCAAACTGAACATCAGGTTTACTTCTGAACTGGTTGGGCTGATATCCTCCTTTGAAATTCTCAAATACACCACTGAATTCCCTTTTGCCAAAGCCTCTTTCAGTGATGCCAAGTCATGCCCCTAATTTGACACTAGAATCACTGAGATTGAACATGGGTATGACGTTCATTCTGCAGAATGTAGTGATTATTTTGCTAGACATCCTAGACCTTCCATAATTTGTACATCAGGTAGTATGGCACAAAACATAGAAACAAATTCACAGCCCTTTTCAGAATGATACATTTATATTCTTGTAAAATTCTTCTTTGTATATATAATGTTGAAATCCCAATTCAGTGGTCATTTGTGTTTCAGTAGTCCATGAAAAAGTAAATATTCAGAAAATCATGCAGGGGACAAATACTTGTCATATAGATTTGGTTTATGAATTTGTCTTGTAATTTCTGATGCTTACTGGCTTGGCATTTCAAAAATGACTAAATTATCATATTGATTTTTAGATGAGAGGGTTTGTTCCTGAAGATTCAGATGAGCTGTTTGATTCTACTCCAGATAGTGGAAAGGAGTACATCCCTAACTCTAGAGATGAAAGGAACGAAAGTAGTTCAGAGAGTAGTACCTCCCTAAAACCAGTGAAACGGAGCCATCTGTCTTCCACAGATGAAGCTATCCCCTCTAATCTTGTCCCTCATAGCACATCTTCAGGTGTCATGGGTGTTACAGAGAGAAGCAACCTTGAAGTTATGGATCTAAATAAATGGCCCAGCAAAAGTCCTCCAGTGATAGAGAGTGATGGAGTCTGCAGCAATTCTGAGCTTGTGCAACAAGAAGGGGCAGTAGTAGTCAATGCAGTCAGAAGAAAATGTGATGGTCGTAGAGCATATGACAAGAAACATTACTGTCTGTTTTGTTTGAAACCTTTTAGCAAGATGGCAAGACATCTGCAGTATGTCCATTCCAGTGAAAAAGAAGTGGCTATAGCATGCAGTTTTCCAAAGGGTTCTAAACAGAGAAAAATGCATTTGGATAATTTACGTCACAGAGGGAACTTCGTCCATAATGCTTCTGTAATTAAAACGGGCAAGGGTGAACTGGTTCCATGCAAACGACCACCAAAGAAAGCACAAGGCACTGATTTTATGCATTGTGCATATTGCCAAGGGTTATTCACCAGGAACGTTCTTTGGCGACACGTGAAGGTCTGTAAACTAGGCCCTGAAGATTATACTCCAAAACCTGGGAAAAACCGTGTCCAGTCTCTCTGTTCATTTACACAGCCTGTACCTTCACACATAAGCAAAGCACTGTGGAAGACTTTAAGCCTCATGAATGCAGATGAAATCACAGCTGCTGTCAGAAATGATAGCTGCATCATTCAGCTGGGGGAACATTTGTTGAACAAAGGTGGATCAACTGCAAAGAATGAGGCATGCTTACGACAGAAGTTGCGAGAACTAGGAAAACTACTGATCACTGGCAGAAAAGTTGCATCTCTGAAGACAATGGAAGATTTTATACATCCTCAAAACTACATGAAGATGGTTCAAGCTGTCAGACATACATGTGGATATGATAGTGAAGCCAACACATACAAAACTCCTTCTCTGGCAAAGAAACTTGGAATAAGCCTGATGAAGCTCAGCAAACTCGTGAAAGCTCAAGCTTTGATTGCGAAAGACCACTGCTTGGCACAGAAGCTCAGTAACTTCCAAGAAATACATAAAGAACGGTGGTGTGAACTGATCTCAGCAACAGCAGCACGAAATCTTGAGGAGTCAAAGTGGAATGCCCCCACAGTGTTGCCTTTTACAGAAGATGTGCAAAAACTTCATGCATTTCTCAATAAAATGCAGGATGAATTGATCAAGCAGTTATCAGCAGAGCCCACATCAAAATACTGGTCTGATCTTGCAAAGGTCGCTTTGACTCAGATCATGCTCTTTAACCGTCGTAGAGAGGGAGAGGTATCGTGTATGCTCCTATCCGCTTTCTTATCCAGGGACACCAGTGATCCACATGATGACATAGATTGGGCCCTCTCCGAAGTTGAGAAAAAACTCTGCAGGCACTTCTCCAGAATTGTGATCAGAGGAAAAAGAGGACGTCCAGTTCCTATTCTGCTGACCCCTAAAATGCTGAATGCAGTAGAGTTGCTTGTGAAGAACAGGGAGACTTGTGGAGTGCTGAAAGACAATGTTTATCTCTTTGCTCGGCCATCAGCAATGTCACATTACAGAGGCTCAGATTGTATCCGCAGCTTTGCAAAGTCTTGTAATGCAAATAGTCCTGATGCACTGACATCCACAAAACTGCGAAAACATGCTGCCACTCTTTCTACAGTTCTAAACTTGAAGGACACAGACATGGATCAGTTAGCAAACTTCCTGGGACATGACATCAGAATTCATAGGGAGTTCTATCGCCTTCCTGAAAAGACCCTCCAACTTGCAAAAGTCAGCAAAGTTCTTATGGCATTAGAACAAGGGAGACTTGGAGACTTCAAGGGCAAGAATTTGGATGAGATCAGTATTGACCCAAATGGTATATAACAGTCTTTGTGTTTTTTATTTTTATTATCCAGTCAATTATTCACTCATTCACAATGACACAACAGTACAGATGTTTTAATGTTGTGATCTACAAGTCTTATTAATTTACTTTTTGTCAATACATTGTTCTTTTTGCAGAGGAGATGGAGCTAATTGATGATGATGATGAAAGAAGAAGTGAGGAAGAGGATGAAAAATATGAAGAACTTGGAGGTATTTTCATCATCAGGGGAAAATGGCATGGTATTTCATTAGACTAGTTGAGTAGTTGTTCTTCTTGATTTTCCAAAAAATGTAACTTAATTGCAGTATATACTTGATTTGTATAGGTAATAAATATGAATAAAATGTAATAGGTTCAGTCATTATGCAAACTATGAAAACATTCCAGAAATACTGGCCCCAAGGGTGTTCAGCTCTGGTTCTGGAGAGCTGGTGTCCAGAACAGTTTGATAATCCCCCTACTCAAACATATCTTAAACCTGGAAATTAACAGATGTGTTCAATCAGGAGTGTTTGAGCAGAAAAAAATGACCAAACTGTCCTAGACATCAGCCCTCCAAGACAGAGCTGAACACCCCTGCCTTACTCAGATAATTGCTGAAAGCTCTAAGATTTGATAATTGTAGTCATTTTATAAATAAACACAGAGATTACACTTACTGTTAAACATATTTTAGGATTTAAATGTAATGCTGATAATGTTAAAACGTTCACCGGAAGCAATGCAGGAGGAGTCACCAGAAGCAACCCGAGTAACACCACTTGACACTGCACTTATGTCCCTGCCAGAGAAGAAGAATTCACCTCAGATACCTTCTGTTAAAGGTAACAGAGAGGCTAATTCTGCTTCTCTCAATGTGTTTGCCACAAAGCACAAAACAAGTTTTAATTTGTAGTAGACTTAGGCCATGTAAAGAAAATTGTTGCATTGGCACAGGTCAGTGTCACTGCTATGACAAGTAAAATGAAACAGTTGGTAGGAAAGCTATGCTGAAAAACTACTACAGTAGCAGGCTTTTGTTTGTGTGCCTCTAAGATTGAAATATGATCAGTTATCTCTGTTATTCAGAAATCACTCAGAAGTGAAAGACTTTTTAGAACTGCAGTGTGAATAAGCAGGGATAAACTGCTGTAGGCTTAATAGGTTGGTTCCTGTGACACAGAACCTGAATTCAAAACTGGCTGTTTTTGCAGCATAGTTTCCATATATTATGGAGCCCCGGAGGGGACGGAGGTTAAAAAGTAATTAATTCAAGAGAACGTTTTGCAGTTCTTACACGTTTTCTTTAATTCGTGGTCACGATTTCTTAAATTGTTCCCTCGCTTTCTTTAATCGTGGTCATGTTTTATTTTTAACTGAACGCACGTTATTTGTTTTTTTCGTGCACAAACAAAGTACATGTAGTAGATACAGGCCGCTAACAGCTCCCTGAGACTGTCTGATGGCTTTTAATGTGTTAGATTGATGAGATTATGAACAGAGATGCTCATCAGGTCTGAGTTTGAATTGGGAGGTTATGAGGAAAGTGTAGTTCTCCTTCACAGCAAACGGCCCACAGTGTTTCTGCTCCCGCGTGAAGCTGCGGTGTTAGAGACCATCACACAATTGCAGGACGAAATGATCAGCGTTTAAACATCCTCACATTAATATATCTACATCTAATCCATAGATCTGTTAAACTCTCTCGCCATTTGACCTCATCCCACATTAATGTTTCTGTGTGTTTAATTTGAGTTTGTTGAAATGTTGACGCTGATCATTTCTTAATGTAATTGTGTGATGGTCTCTAACATCACACAATTTTGACGCGGGAGCAGAAACAGCGCTAAGCGGCTGCGCTGCGTCTACATCTCTGTTAAACAATATCATTAGAAAGTGCAGTTCAGTGAAGATTGTGGTTGTAGTCTTCCTTCATTTCACCACCAAACTGCAGCTGCACTGACAAATCTGAGGGCCATTTGCTGTGAAGAGGAGCTGCAGTTTCCTCATAAGACCTGATGAGCATTTCTGTCCATTATCTCATCAATCTAACACATCAAAACCTGTCAGACAGTCTCAGGGAGCTGTTAGTCACTTCTGCACAGGACAAATAACACGACGTGTATCTACTACATTGATTTTGCGCACAAATTAAAAAAAAACAACGTATGTTTACTTAAAAATAAAACATGATCACGATTAAAAGAAAAAGAGAGAATGAATTAGAAAATCGTGATCAATAATTAAAAAAAAAACACCCATAAAATAAAGAAAACATGCACGATTAAAAGAAAACGAGGGAACAATTTAAGAAATCGTGATTACGAATAAAAGAAAACGTGCATACAAATGGCAAAAGCTCACTCAAATTAAGTGTGTGTGTGTCTGTGTGTATATATATATATAAATTTTTTTGTTTTGTTTTGTTTTTTTTTTACCCTCCGTCCCTTCCGGGGCTCCGTAATATACAGAAACTTAGACAGCGTTTACATATTAATTCAAAATCCATTATTTTCATATGGGTTCTTTAAAACATTTAATATCTAGCGAGTGATGGTCCTGTGGTGTCAAGCAACATTTGAGCTACAGTCAGTAATTGTACACCTATACAATGCATCTGTTTAGTATGATTACTGAAAAAATGGCCAATCAGTGTTAATACAGGGTACTAAACTGGCAGATCCTTTTAAGCCAAAAAATGTCAGAAAATTCATTTTTAACACTCCTAGTATCCTTTGTTCTGTTGCTGTTGTTTGTCTTATTAACTTTTGTGAGTGATGATTATCAGCGTCTCTTATGCTTGCATCTGAACTTCTGAATACCAGTGTAACGTTCACACAAATTAATTTTCATTATTTCTTAAGAGAGTTCAACAACATGATTGAAGCAGTTGAACAAATTCCCTATTTGCTTAATCACTGTACTGCATTTTCTTTATATTAATATTTATTTCTCATATTTAGGTAAAACATCTGCACAGAAAAGAAGAAAAGCTTGGGAAGTGACAGAGATCCAGGCTGTGGAAAGACACCTGAAAAACTTTATCACTTCATGCCGTGTCCCAGGGAAGGCAGCCTGTGAGAAGTGCATAAGAGCTGAGTCTTCAGCACTTAAAAACAGAGATTGGCAGAGTGTTAAATTCTATGTTCACAATCGCATTGTGGCTTACAAGAGAGATGTAAGCCACAAAGTGTAATTTTTTTTTCTTCTGAAAAAGATGTAAATACACCAATTCTGACCACCTCTTTGTTTCTACGCTCATTGTCCATTTTATCAGCTCCACTTACTATATAGGTGCACTTTGTAGTTCTACAGTTACAGACTGTAGTCCATCTGTTTCTCTGATACTTTGTTAGCCCCCTTTTACCCTGTTCTTCAGTGGTCAGGACCCCCATGGACCCTCAGAGCAGGTACTGTTTGGGTGGTGGATCATTCTCAGCACTGCAGTAACACTGACGTGGTGGTGGTGTGTTAGTGTGTGTTGTGCTGGTCTGAGTGGATCAGACACAGCAGTGCTGCTGGAGTTTTTAAACACCTCAGTGTCGCTGCTGGACTGAGAATAGTCCACCAAACAAAAATATCCAGCCGACAGCCTCCTGTGACCACTGATGAAGGGCTAGAGGATGGCCAACACAAACTGTGAAGCAGCAGATGAGCTATCGTCTCTGACTATAGCTCTGCACTGCTGTGTCCGATCCACTTGTACCAGCACAACACATACTAACACACCACCACCACGACAGTGTTACTGCAGTGCTGAGAATGACCCACCACCCAAATAGTACCTGCTCTGTGAGGGTCAATGGGGGTCCTGACCACTGAAGAACAGGGTAAAAGGGGGCTAACAAAGTATCAGAGAAACAGATGGACTACAGTCTGTAACTGTAGAACTACAGAGTGCACCTATATAGTAAGTGGAGCTGATAAGTGAAGGGTATATGGGCATACAGTAGTTCTTTGTCCAGTGAAGCTAAAAACTGCTTATCTGCTTAAGTTTATCACAGTGCTATAGACTAGTATTGTGTTCTGTGACTACAAAAACAATTATTTGACCGGAATAAAAAAGGAGTAATTTGTTACACCAAGATTGCTGTCTTGTGTATGCACTTAAAGAAACTACAAATATTTTGAGTTACATTTGTAATTAGAGTTTAATGTTTTTAAATGTCCCCCTGATGTTCTGTAACCAACTGCTCTGTGTGTATGCAAATTAGGTCCCAAGTATGGTCCCCATTATGTTATAGTAATCACCGAATTTCTGTGTTATGCAAATTTAGTCTCAAGTCCCCATTTGGCAGGATCATAACACACTGGTAAACTTACTTGGTTAAATCAAAAATCTGAGATGATCTTTGTGTTTCCTGATTTTAATTATACTTGCATGATTTTTTTCATGTCTGTAGGACCATGGGAAAGTGGTGTCCCCGAATAGCATGTCCCTGACTAGTGTCCCCCCGAAGAGATAATTACAAGAATGTGTGTGTGTGTGTGTGTGTGTGTGTGTGTGTGTGTGTGCGTGTCTCGTTTGTCTTGGCTGTGTTCCAGCTGAGTGACTGGCTCCAAGAATGAATAATTACATGTAAAAATATATGAGCCTCTTCAGAGGCTGTTTTATTGATTTTGTTAAACTTATGAGCCTTTTCTTTGGGGGACATTTTTGGATCTGATAAAACTTATGAGCCTCAGAAAAGAGGACTTTTTGAATTGGGTAAATTGTATGAGCCCCCAAGAAGGACGTTTATGATTTTGGAGAGAAGTGGAGAGACCAGTGAGGATGTTTGTGTGTATGGGTAAAGAAAAATTTAATAAGTATTCAAGGTGTTATTAGAGTGAAAACTTGGTGTTTAAAGGAGGAAAACATTTGTTGTAGATAAAAATGACCTAAGTGTTGGCAGATAAGGGGTGTGAATCATATTGAATTGCTTATTGTGTTAAAAACACCTAGTGGGTTCATTTGATACTTAATTCTGATCAGAACCATTAAGTGCGAAATGTCAATCTTATGCATTATCGTGGCTGTTATATCAGCAGCAATCAGCAGAGGATAAGGTGATGGCTCTGTCAGTGCATCTGTTTAGACCTAGACATAATTGTTCTTGGTTGGGAGAGTTATCATATGTGAATTTACTTGATCAGCATGAAAATATGATAACAGCGATCCCTGATCCGTTGGAAGTGAAATCTCTGGGGGCTAAAGTTTTTGTTCAGATGATACTCATAATGGGCCTGGAAAGTTTATGGGAATATCAGACTGTAACAACTATACTATGGACTTGGGCGAGCATAAACATAAGGCTATGGATGACTTGTATAAAGTGACTTTTCAGGTACCACATCACAAACTGAGTAGAACTTTGATGGTGCGGAACTAAAAGTTGCCTGGAAATGTGACTATAGGGAATGTTAAGGATATTTGGTGGGTTTGTGGTGATAAGGCATATATATTTCTACCGTATGGGTGGATAGGATGCTGTTATATGGCGATGTTGAAGCTTCCGTATGAGGTTTTTACTGTCCAGAAAGGAAAAGTTTCTGATGAGGTTCAATCTGATGCTATTTCTGGAAGTGGGAAGAAAAGGGAACTAGCACAATTTCATAATCTGGAGTCCTATCATTGGAGGATAAGCCTAGGAGAGAAGTGGGGTATAGGATTATTTCCATGGTATGGTGTGACATTTTCGGCAGATCACATTGATAATATGACCTACACCCTACAGGGTTTTGCAAATGAGACTATAAGAGGTTTTGAGTACTTGTCAAATACTCAAAAGAGTCCCAGACTGATGCTGCTGAAACATGATATGGCTCTTGATTATCTTTTGGCCAAACAAGGGGGCCTATGTGTGGCTCTGAGCTTGACTGGTGATGCCTGTTATACTTTGATTCCTGATAGTTCTGACAATATACTAGTGTCATAGATGCATTGAAGCATATAAAGGATGCGTTTGGCCCATCGGAAGGAGCTGGATGGTCTGCGAATGCTTGGCTGCAGGAGAAATTAGACCGTTGGGAGCAGTGTTGGGTCAGATTATGGTAGCAGTTCTTATATCACTGAGTGTGATTTTCTGTTTCTGTACGTTGTTGTTGACCTTTGTGAAGGCTATGATATTGAGATGGGTTGGAGTTGTGATGCCTGGAGATCAAGTTCAGATGCCATTACTACATAGGACTGACACAGACGATGACAAAGACGTGGTGATAGAAGGTGAACTGATGGAGAAATATCCATTTTGAATATCTATTCTTAGTATTTAGTGGTCCCTTACTACAGAGTGGGATGAATGCAGGGGGAAATGAAAAGGTGATTTATAACTTGGAATAATGTGCAAGTATGATACTGTGAATTTCACATTTATTTATAAGGTGTTAATCTGTATTTGATGTTTTAATTTGCATCTGTTGTTTTTGCAGAAGATACTGGTTGGTGGTTTTCTTTTCTTTCCTTCAAGAACGATGTTGGGGGAAGACCACTGCAAGGGTGGTTGGATCTTCAGGGACCCCGATGTGCATGGACAATAAGACTGGACGGAAGGACATTGAATAAGGACACTGTGATACAATGCCCAGAGTCAACACATCATCGACACTACACTGAGAGTCGACGCTGCTGAGGAGCTGCAGTGTGATTCATTTTTATGTCTTCATATATATTTGCATAGTATTGGATTTTAGTATATTATATGGTAAGGGGTGATATTGATAGAGGACATTTATAAGGAAGTGATAATCTTAGTAAGTCATACTAGTTGGATTAAGTGTTTGAGTTGTTTACTGCATGAGTAGTACTTAAATTTATAACACTTTCTTTGGGTTTTAATTGATTGAAGACTGATGTTTTCTGTTATGTAAGAACTTTGGGACCTCAGATGTTTTTTTCTGTTTTCGGTGCTGAGGGATATTGGTGTTAGGCAGGGAAAGGTCCATTGGAAGGTCCGATGGGTCGACCAGCCTGAATGTGGACATTGTTTTGATTTTCTTTTCTGAGGTTTCCATATGTATTTGCTTAAGTCAAATCCCTACACGACACGAAAATTCCTCCTTTTTAAATTGGGCTGGAGTTCTCTATGTGGTCACCTAAGGCAGAGGGACCGTGAGAGAATTTTTCCTGTCTAGATTGTTTGATGGACATTTCAGGAAAGATAGCTGCCTGACAGGTTTTTCGCTCTCACACAAGGGTTCTTTGAGTGTTCGTGGTTCTATGGAATTATTTTCTTTAAAAAAGAACCCTTGAAGAATCATTGTTTTACAGGTGTGTACCCTCTTAGAAAAGATGGTTCTTCAAGGGTTCTTTAGTAAAGGGAATGGTTTTATTCAGAATCCATATAGACCCATTTTGTGCTTAAATGGTTCTCTGCATTGGGAATGTGGGCTCCAGATAACACAAAAATGTTCTGCTACTATTATGATTCAAGCTTGTAACCATTGCAGAACCTTTTTGGTGCTATGTAGAACCATCTACAGTACATTCTCCATCAAACTGAAGAACGCTTTCATCATGCAAAGGATTCTTTGAGTGTTCATGGTTCTATATAGAACCATTTTCTTTACTAAAGAACCCTTGAAGAATCATCATTGTAACTACCCTCTTAAAAAAAAAGATGATTCTTCAAAGGTTCTTAAGTAAAAGGAAAGGTTTTATTCAGAACCACGAATCTGCATGGAGAATGTGTTGTATAGGGCTTTAATCCAAAAAAGGTTCTGCTACCAATATGATTCAAGCTGGACTATTTTGCCTCACAGCGCCCTGCATGTATCCCTCCGCCATGAATGGAGTTTAAGTTCTCTAAACTATCATAAAACAGTGTCTCAGTCATCAGGCAGTGAATTCATAACCATTTCATGTAGGAACTTTCTGTGAGGGAGCTTTTAGAGGTGGACGTCTGGTTCCTATCACCACCACTGTGAACAGTTCTGACTCTAAGTTTATCTAGAACAGAGCGTTTCACACCAAACCACTCTGAACCACTCTGTTTACGTCTTAACTGGAATTCTCTTTTAAAGAACATGACTTAAAGGGGAATACCACAGGCTTTTTAAAATTTCTGCAAACGTGCAGGTGAGTGATGACCAGAATGCAATGTGCAGGAAATAGAGGTGTGTTGTGCCTAATTGTGACTTTGGCATTTTTTTAAGAATTACTTAACGGATATTTGGTTGATTGTGCGTGAAAATAAATAAAGGCCTTGGTGGATATCAGTATTTAAAAACAAAACTAATACAGAGAAACAGTAAATTAAAACATTTAATATGCAGCAGAAGCTTTACTGAGCATTAAAACATAAGCACTTCGTTTTAGATGCGACTTCTTGTTTTGAGTGTATTATTTCTTTCCAGACTTCTCATTATACGACTTAACAAGTGCCCAAACAAAGATTTCAGAATAATCTGGACTATTTGATTGTCCACGCACAAGACAGGATTGGAACAAAGGCCTTTGACTATCAAGCATAGCAAAGCAAACAATTCATTGCTTCTATTGCAGATTAACAGTCGACAGAGCTGCTATTTCCCTGTGAAACCATTCCAGCTGACCGGCTGCAGCGCCTCTTGGTCACAGAGGGAAAAGCAGGTGGCCGCTGAAGGAGCTGTGGTGGTGTACACTGTTGTCATATATGCGTGCAGAAGGGTAGAGGCGCACGTCTAGAGTATCTCCTTTCTCCAGCTGCAGAGTGACTCCGTTTGAAGTGCTGTAAAAACCGCTGCCTTGGTCCGCGTGGGTGGAAAAGATGTGCTGGTTATTTTTAAACAAGCCTGCGGTCACAGCAGAACCATTTGCCTTAGAAAAGACCCTGAATACGTAGACTCCCTTCAGAGGCGCCGTGAAAATTCCTGCATCGAAACAAAATGAGACAAAATACGATTCTACTCATCAAAGCTGATCAGCCGACACACTTAAAGACGTGTTTTCGTGCTCTTGGGTAATCAGGTGATGGAGAAACTCCAGGGGGCCGTATTACAGAAAAGCCTTAAGTCTGAGATCATACCTTCATCCGAGCTTTGACTTGTGAGGTTTCTTTAAGAACTCAGACTCGATCTCCACCGCCCCTCTGATTACCTTCGTGTGTTAATGTTGATGATGAAATATTACAGTGATGGTGGTGAATAATGAGGAGACGGAGCTGAACGTGTGTCTGTTTATTAGGAGGAGTAACGTTAGCGCGCTCGGCTAAAGCGTTTGGGAAATGGAGACTGAAACTGTGGAGCAGTGACTCTGATAAACAGCAGGGGGCGCTGACACAATATTCTTAACTCAGTTTATCACGCTTTAGTTTTATTTGTCGTATAGTAACGGTAGCTAATGTTCGCTGTCTGACTGACTAACTTGATTACGTGTTTTGTTTCAGCTGTGCATGTATGGTCGGTTGCTAGGTAACAGACACGACAGTTGATTGTCGACTTCAATTGAGCAAGTTAAGATTTCCTAACTTGAGATAAGAAAAGATGCTGTAAGACTCTTAAATTAAGATCAGATTTGTTTCTGTGATTCGAATTTGTGAGAAATCTTATCTTGCCCTGTCAGATCTTATGGTAAGACAAAAAGAGAGGAAGTTTCTGTAATACGGCCCCTGGTCTACATGAGTCAGACAGTAATCGGATTTCTGCTGTACAACTGGCCAATAAACTCACAGAATAAGAATAAGAGATGCAAACGTAACGTAAAACTCATTCAGCCTCTTTATCTGACTTCCTAATCAGATTTACAGACCTTAATCTGATCTAAGAAATCAGAGTGAGAGTTTACATTCACTGAGAAATCTGATTACTGAGCTCAAATTCGGCCTCTTTATCACACTCAATATCTCAAACCACATAATCAGGTCTATTAGAGATTACAGAACAGCTCCACACGCTGAGGTGCTGTGGATGTCTTGGCTGATCTATTTGGTGATTAGAAGGGAAAGTAATTAGATTTTTGCACCTTCTAAATCTTTTCCTTAAACTTAGGATGCATAGATGAATCTCACGAGACCTTTATTTTAACGTTAATATCGGGTAAGTTCCTGTAGTTGGATTACAAATACCTGGTTAAATACCTTCATACTGGGAACATACCTGTATTTTGATCATAGGCTCCTCCGATGTTTGTAAAAACATATTTATAGACCAGCGTTTTGAGGGTGTCGAAGGGTCCAAGAGAACTGGATGTTGTAGAATCGACCAGAAATGCAGAAAATGCCACCTTAAAGTCTAGAAGCGACAAATTGATCAATTAGAGTCAGAAAGGCCTTCAGTGTGAACAGAGAAAGAACATTCAGTGGCCTGGAAAATGTTACATAAATGTTAATGGCTGTTTAAAACTTACAGAGCAAAAACATGAATAAAAAGCGTAACGTGGCTGAAAAATGATACGGCAATATTCTGTGTAATGATTCTCATTAAATAGAGTTTATTTCTGTCCTCACAGTGTTACGTCACTCTCGCTCATTTTCTCTCACAGTGAACTGGTCTGTTCTCCGTTCTGTTAGCCCAATGTGGTGAATTAAAGCAGGGTTTCTCAACCTGTGGGTTGTGGACCACCAGTGGGCTGTGAAGCACCCTCTAGTGGTCCGTGGGCCTGTACTTAGGGGGAGGCAGTGGTTCGTAGTGGGCCGGTGAGAACATCGCAGTCACAGGTTAATTAAACGTCATCAGTTTGAGACGACGCAGCCGCGGACGCAGCGCAGACAGTTAGCCAGAGACGGAGAGGTTTCTCAGGGTGTTTCTCCTGCCTTGTTCGGTGCAGACCGATCAAATGTTTTTCTTTAGTTCACGCCGTTCTGAAGTGAGTGAACACTCCACCCGTATTCAGGTCTGCATCAAACGGTTTAACTGGGCCGGCAAAACCAGCAGGTCTCGGGCCGCTTCCAACCGAACTCTGTTCAGCTCACACGCCATAATGCCCCTTCGGAATTTGATGCAAGCAACACATTTCAGAAAAGCTGGGACAGGGGCAACAATAGAATAATAAAGTTGTGTAATGCTGGAAAAACACCTGGTGGAACATCTGACTACTAATTAGGTTTAACGAGCAACAGAAGAGCATCTCAGAGAGGCTGAGTCTTTCAGAAGTAAAGATGGGATGCTGATCTGGTGTGGCAGCCTGGGTACCTTTGGGTACAGAGAGAGAGAGAGGGACGAGCGGCAGCAGTGACAGTGCAAAGAGCTGGAAAGTATCCCAGCATCCCTCATGAGCCTGGGGTAACAAATGAAAAGAAGCCCTGCTCTTTAACTTTAACTGCCCAGAAATTGACTTCACATTACCTTCGTTGTCCAGTTTGTCCACTCTGACCTTCATCTCACTCGTGCTACCACGCAAGACTTCAAGCGCTGTTGCCTGCTCTACAAGGAAGGACGGTCAGTCAGTCAGATACGGCAGCTGGACATCTCCAGAAAAGATTCAGCCCAGGCAGCAAAAACAGAGGAATTATAAAATCTGGACTCTACCTACTCATATAAAGCCTTTTTTACTATTCTTAACATTTTAGGTAAATAGTAAATATATGAAAGAGATTTTTTTATGCATTAGATGTACAAATGTCTCCTTGTGCTTTTTATTTTTGGTCTTCAGATTAAAATCTGTAACGTTATGAAAACACTCAATCATGCATTTTTTCCATTTGTAACTGTCACTGTGTCACTAGTGTGCACCTTTGATCCCCTGTTCAGAGGTAAAGCCCCCCAAATGTTGCCATTTCTAATTTAAGCCCTGAATTAAAGTAGCAAACACTTTTCACGCCCTACATTTCCACCACCAAATCCCTGACAGCCTACCTGCTTTCTCTCTCCTGAGCTCCTTTATTTCGTTCTCCATGGCTTTCAGCTTTTCCTCCATGGTCCTGAGTTTCCCCAGCTCCGCAACAATGTCCACAGTCGGTGACATGAGGTCCTGAGCCTGTGTGCTCCATGCAGAGATCCACAATGAGACAAAATACACAAACCTCATGATTAGAATTCTGCTGGTACGATTACCACACCAAGACTGACTTCTTTCTGTTGGACTGATGAACAGGAGGGTCCTTTTAACTGACCAGAAGACCTTAAACTGCACATGCTCAGTTTGGATGTTTGCAGGAGGCAAAGGTCAGGGGAGTGGGCAGAGCCCAGTGTCATCCTCAGATGCTCCGCCCACAGACCATATACTGTATCTTTTCCTTTAATAACAACTGTTTTGAACATTTGTTTGTCCTACAGTGTCCAAATATGACCAGAATATCTAGGTGGCGCCAACTTTCTCACAGATGATCCCGCAATAATAACAGATATACATCATATCACAGAGCAGATAAACAGTACATGTTACAATTAACGATCAGTGTGAATATCAATATCAGTCACTGTGCTGGATGGCGCTCAGTGATGGCATTAAATGTTCATAGTGTTTTTATAATTGTCAGTAAGTGTTATAGGGTCTTTATAACTATGTACAGGTCATCTATTTAAAAGGCATTGCAGTGGATAGTGAGACGTTTAACAACATGTTTATAAGTCACCAAAAAATCAATTATAGCACACTATTACACCCTTATGAGGTGTTATTTGTTGTTGTTACCAAGTTAGAGGTGCATTTATAACTATTTATGAATATAAGTGTGACAAAGTGTGACCAAAGATTTTAAAAAATGCAACAGATCTTAAGAAAAGAAGAAGCTCAAAGTATCAACTAAATAAATAATATTACAGCAGGTTTGTGTTTTCAAAGCTGGGGCCTGGGGAGCTCAGGAACTCAGGGTTTTATAGGGTCACTGTACTTTGCCCTGAGAGTGAATGCTTCAAAACAAACACAGAGCAGTTAAACCTGAACTATCCTACAACCTAAACTGCTGTCCTAATCCAGCATCTATGGGTCTTTTTATGCACTAGTTTGGTGGAAAAAAAAAAAAATAAATAAAAACTGTCTGTGGACAAGTGACCAGTGGGTTGGAGTCTCTGTGTAAAATCCAGTTCTGTTTGTTTCAGTTTAGTCCAGTCTGCACAGTCGTCCTTTCTCAAAGCCGTCCTTGTTTACTTTACACACAAGGTAAATGTTTCTAATCCTGCTATTTGCACTTTATTTGAAACACCTTCCAGACACTGCTGACCTGATGTTATTAAGGTGGTGCACCGTCGCCAGCTGCTGCTGAGAACCACCCAAATAATATCTGGACACCGATGGCCAATGATGAATGGACGAGAGTAGGATGGATAAACTACAGCAACAGATAACTGTTCATCTGTACACTTAAAAAGATGGTTCTTTAAGGGTTCTTTAGTAGCACGTCATGCCATGCACTGCCCCGGGCTCAAGGAGGACGCTGGAGGCAGGAAAAACATTTGCAACAGCCGCTCGTTAATGTTCACCAAACGACAAAGACTCAAACAAACCAAAGCAAAGCAATGCTGACCACTTCTAGTGGCTTCTTGCTAGACTTTTCAGTCCTTTATGACTCCAGCTTTTCAGCTCTTCACTGTCTCAGCTGCTGCTGTGTCCACTCACTGTCCACTCTATTAGACACTCCTACCTTGTCGGTCCACCTTGTAGATGTAAAGTCAGAGACGATAGCTCATCTGCTGCTGCACAGTTTGTGTTGGTCATCCTCTAGTCCTTCATCAGTGGTCACAGGACGCTGCCCACAGGACGCTGTCGGCTGGATATTTTTAGTTGGTGGACTATTCTCAGTCCAGCAGTGACAGTGAGGTGTTTAAAAACTCCAGCAGCACTGCTGTGTCTGATCCACTCAGACCAGCGCAACACACACTAACACACCACCACCACGTCAGTGTTACTGCAGTGCTGAGAATGATCCACCACCCAAATAGTACCTGCTCTGTGAGGGTCCATGGGGGTCCTGACCACTGAAGAACAGGGTAAAAGGGGGCTAACAAAGTATCAGAGAAACAGATGGACTACAGTCTGTAACTGTAGAACTACAAAGTGCTCCTATATAGTAAGTGGAGCTGATAAAAAGGACAATGAGCGTAGAAACAAGGAGGTGGTCAGAATGTTATGCCTCATCGGTGTGTGTGTGTGTGTGTGTGTGTGTGTGTGTGTGTATATATACACACATATATATATATATATATATATATATATATATATATATATATATATATATATATATATTATATATATATACACACATTTTAGAGATAAGAAAACATACTTTTACTGTTTAGTCTGCCACTGTTTTTTTTACAGATTTGTTTTTAATGTATTTTAAACAGCAACACCAAACGTGTGAATGCCTGTTTTACCCTCACTGTGTTCAGTGGACCGTTTTAAGTGAATCTTGCCTTGTCCTCTTTCTTTGCCACTGTGTTTATTTGGTAAGATGAACTTAGGATAAACTTCTGTAACTTCCCTGAAATGTTCCAGTGTGATGGTGCAACAGTGCTGACTGGAAGGGAAAAATCTCTATTTCATCATTTTGGAGGGAATTCCTAGTTTGGTTGATAAATACGATGGGATGCTGTTGCTCAATCATGTGAAATATTATAATAAATGTCCCAGTTGCTCGTCTCAGATCATTTCCTCAGGTTTTGCTCTGGTTGTTAGCAGTGACACTGAGATGCCACCGTTCAAGCACGCTGTCTTGCTTCTGCTGCTGCTGGAGTTCCTGATTTCGGTAGCCGGCGATCAGCCTCAGCCTCTAACCTGCCCGCTCTATGCTGGCGTCCCGGGGACGCCGGGACACAACGGCCTGCCCGGCAGAGACGGGAAAGACGGAAAGGATGGGCCTGTTGGACCCAAAGGACAGAAAGGAGAGACAGGTTTGTGCCAGCTGAGGACTAGATCAGTCATAAATGCTTATTAGGTGACTTAATATAGGATGTCACTCTAATGCCTTTTATATTTCAATGCAGGATCACTAAAATTTATCACTACTGTACTAAAAATTTCAACACATCACTGGACTAAATTGAGGATACTATTGAATCAGTTCTCACAATAAAATACTATTAAAACAAAACAGTGAAGAATTCAAAGCTTAGACAATTACAAAGATTTTGTTATGATTTATATAAACCCAAGACATTGAGATAGTAATAAGCTGAATATATACAAAGTCATTATTTGTCATTATTAGTTATTATTTGTGTACTCCCTATTGGGAGGTGTCTGTCCAAACACTAACTCCTAAATTTAATTAGATTTTTATATACAATTTAGATTCATTCCCCTTTCCCACCCTCCAATTTATAGTCTGGACCACCCTGCATGGATGCTCACCAGTAAAACCAGCATATCGCTGTTGTCGGAACAAAACCTCGTATCTCCAAAATGGTAACTTTACAGGAGAAGGAAAAAACCTACTTTACTTTTATTGTAAGTCAATGGAATCAGACATTATTCCAAGTCATTTTGGGTCGTTTCTTTTAGTCCAGTCATCATAAAATTTACATACAATGCAAACGACAACAGGTATTTTCAAATTATGCCAAAAACGTAAAAAATGGAGATACAAGGTTTTCTTCTGACAGCAGCGATATGTTATGTTTTGGATACTGGTATGCTTGTCAACCAGCATGACCATGCTGAGTGACCAGCTAAACCAGCACCAGACCAGCATAAACCAGAATGCATGCTGGTTTGTGCAGTTTTTTTGTTAACATGGCCGTTATTCATGCTAATAAAGTCATTTCATTTAACCTGTTAAGTGTGTTTACACTGAGAATCAGATACAGAGGACCATAGCAGTGCCATTACACAGCAGTGGCTAATGTAGAAATCTGTATTTAAACCAGCGCTTCAATAATGCTCCTCATATGTTCACCATGGTAGCTATGTTAGCGTCAGGCTAGCGGGGTTAGCTCAGCACTGTTGGATTTTGAGGTCAGCTCTAGTTTAAATACAGACATTTTAGGCTTGTAACAGGCACACAAGTCACTTTCTCTACTTTGTAGGTCTACATTTTTAAGTAATATTTTATTTAAAGGTTAAAACCTGAAGTCTGTTTTTTTTATAGAGGTGTTAGCCTGATAGCTGGTTGGCTCCCTGCTGATTTGCTCAGCCTGCTCTTGTGAGGGCAGAATATCTAGTTTTAAAGAGAGTATAAAGTGTTAAAGAGAGTCTATTAGCAGCTAACAGTGATGTTCAACTGGCAGTTCATCATCTGGTTGCATTTTATGGGAATTTTGTTTTTTTTTTCTGGTTGACCAGCAGATCAGTATCCAAAACACAACATATGCTGGTGACCATCCATGCAGGTCCATGCTGGCTTTTCTAGCAGGGTGGTGTCGACTATAAAAAGGAAGAGGAAAAGTGTTTCAACACTAACAGATGGGCTTTTCCACTGGGTCGTTATGAAATAATCACAGTGGTCCGCTGAGGCTCTGCATTAGCATTGCTGGTCATGCCGTAATCTAGGGTCGGCAACGTCCCGAAATGGAAATAAGGAATGGGGTACTGAGGGGTTTGGGGGTGTTGCAGGTGGTAGTTCAACTACAGTCATATTTGTGTAGTGATTCAAATCGTTAAATTACTTTTTTTGGCATTTTTCTGTGTAGTTAACCACTGAAACTACAAACAATTTTGGGGTATAAAAAGCTGATATTCCTTGCACCTTACCATGAATAGTGGGGTATCTTGGTTTATGTATGACCTGTGAACAACTGGGCGCTCTTTGCAATAAACTCAGCTGTGTGGATTTCTCTGCTGGCATGTGAATTTTCTGTATAGTATTTTGTTATAATTTTGTATCACTTTTACACAATTTGATCATTTTTTCACAAAGTAGTTTGAACTTCAAGTTGCTTTAGTTAACCAACCAATATGATTATTTTGCAGGGTTTCCTTCTGTCTCATACAAACCGCCCCATTTTAATAGTCTGTCCCACAGATTTGTGCTGAAGCAATTATCAAAAATATGGAACAAAGCGCGTCCCGTGTCAGTTCACTGCAGAACCCATCTTTTAGTTTCTAAAAATGGTAATAAATGACACTTATTTCAGATATAATCTCAAAGTAATGCGGTCATGTGAAAAATGGTCGGATGGATCATAAGTTTAGTCTTTAAGTTATAAAAAATCTAAAAATGCTGTCCCTCATTTTTATGTCACTACCAAAACACAGAGTTTCAATCTGTAGGCGGAGCCTTATTTTAGCCACGCCCCCACATTTTAGAGCATTAAGTGAGGCTGCATCCCTGTCCCTCATGGCCACATGGTGAGCAGTTAGATCCCATTGTTTTGAAGTAAATGTGTCCCAAAGTCTGAAAATCAGTGTGGAACATTAAGAATCGTCTTATTGTCTGCAGTTCAGCACTTTTTAGTGTTTTAATGTAAAATATGATGATTTTCTGTGTGAACAGCTGTTCAAAGCTGTGTTTGCTGAGTTTTTGAGCTCAAAATGAGCTAAAATTGTCACTGAAACAGTCACTACTGACACATTTAGTAAAGTTTGGGTAGAGTAATGATTTCATGAAGAATGGACCAACAGAAATTCTCCAAAATGACTCAATGAATGTTTTTTCTCCTCCAAAGTTACTTTTTTGACATATGACAGGAACGACATGTTTTCGTGGTAAAACTTACTGACTGCTCATGAAAACATCTTGTAATTTCTAAAAACTACTAAAACCTTTTGTTCAAAAATGCTAATAAGGCTAGCAATGAATAGAAACTAGTATCCACCACTTAGCATCACGTTATGAGCAAAATGCTAATTGGTGGCTATCTGTTGTTGCTAGCTATATTAGCTCTATTAGCCATTGATCAGTTTAGTTAAATGTGGTTGGCAATGAGCGAAAGGTAGCCGCTGCCAATTAGCATTAGCAGTTAGATTAGATGTGCAAAACGCTACGAAATGTTCCTTTTAGCTTAAACATGATTTAATTTGTGCTGTTTTAAGGTTCCTCAGTGATCGGACCACCTGGAAAGAAAGGTCCAGCAGGTGATGTCGGCCCACAGGGGGTAAAAGGAGTGAAAGGAGATCAAGGTTTGTATAAGATTTGGTGTGAATGTGTTTATTTCTCTAAGCATGTCTGTCTGTATTTGAATTGGGTTCTTACAGTACATTATCCTTCTGTGATGTCCAGGTGCAGGAGTCCGGGGACCCCCTGGAGTGGCGGGCCCACCTGGGCCTAAAGGGCAAAAGGGAGAAACTGGGTCAACAGGTACAGAGAAATAAGGCAAAATGTTACCAAAAATAAAAATAGTACCCTCCAACACATTATACCCCCAAAGGCTGGGATTACTGGAGACCCCATGCGTCTCTGATCAACATCTTGTAGTAGATGGTATAGTGTAGTGGGTAACACCTCTGCCCTCCAAGGTGCAGACAGGGGTTCAGTCCCCTTCCTGGGCACCCTGTGCTACACCGATAAGAGTCCTTGGACAAGCTTTCTAACACTACCATTGCCCCCTCTGTAAAATGATCTGCTTGAAAGTCACTCTGTATAAGAGCATCAGCCAAATGCTGTAAATGTAATGATGTTTCCTTTCAAATTTGTGCAAAACTTTTATGATTTTGCATATACAGGATTGTTTTACTCTCAGAAATAAAGGTACTAAACTGTCACCTTCTTCTCACTGGGGTGGTTCCCTCAAGGCTCCATCTCAGTACCTTTAGTCAGGGAACATAACTGAACCATAATCCACTGAAATGATATGTTCTAAGCTGTACTGACTCCACACACCCCGTCTCGTCTCCAGGCTTTTATTTTACTGTTCTGTTTAAAACATTCGGTTATGAAAAGGTACAAATACGAACTTTTCACCTGGAAAAACTTATTTAAGGTTCACAATCAGACCTTAAAACCACTGTTGGAGCTTTGAGGGAACATTTACACTGTTTGTACCTTGATGAAGGAAAAATGTACCTGAACAGAACCTTTGTTACTATAACAGTGTAGGCTGGCTTTACATGGTGAAAATTTCATGCAACTAGTTGTCTGCAACATAGTTTCCGTGCAACTTGATGGCTATGCAAAGCAATTAAAAAACAATTAATGTTGCATGCAACACAATGTAGTTTGGCAGATTTTGAAATGTACATTTTTCTTGTATTCTTTTTGTCAGTCGGTGGTGGGGGTCTCTTTTTCAACCACCAAATAAACCATCTTATGTTTACTTGTTTCTTTTCCACTGATCCGGTGGAATCAATAGTTTAATGTTATTTGATGTGATCATGTGATGTACCTTTCTCCATTTTGATTTGCCGTTTCATGAAATTTGTTTCAGAAACAATTGCTTTCAGATGAGTTTCAAGTGAGCTGCAGAAAGCTTTACATTACGCAACTGAAGTGCAATTTAGTTTCATGTAGGTTTCAAGAATTAAAGTTTCACCTTGTTAATCCAGCCTTAGGGCCTTAATGCTGCAAAATTAGCTAAAATTGTCACTATTTTCAGGTCCCTCAGTGACCGGACCACCCGGAGCGAAAGGTCCAGCTGGTAATATCGGTCCACCGGGGGTAAAAGGATCAAAAGGAGACCAAGGTTTGGTGTGAATGTGTTTATTTCTCTAAGCATGTCTGTCTGTATTTGAATTGGGTTCTTACAGTAAATTATCCTTCTGTGACGTCCAGGTGTAGGAGTCCGGGGACCTACTGGAGTGGCAGGCCCACCTGGGTCTAAAGGGCAAAAGGGAGAAACTGGGTCAGCAGGTACAGAGAAATAAGGGAAAATGATACCAAAAATAAAAAAGTAGTACTTTAAACTGAGGAGAGTGACTCTAATGTCATGGACTTACCCCTAAAAGACAGGTACACTGAAGACCCTATGTGTCTCTGATCAGTTTCCTGTGAACACACTGTGAAACTTTAATGGAAGTAGTTGCATGTTGTGAGTTGCCAGCAACATATTTTTTGCCCAATAAACCATGTTCTGTTTTGTTTTTTGTCTTATGAACATATGTTGCTTGTCATGATCATGTGATGCAGTATCTGCATTTAGATTGGCTGTTTCATGAAACATGTTTCAAAGGCAGTTGCTTGCAACGGTTGTGGCAGAGTTTTAAAGTGAGTTGCAGGGCGCTTTACATTACGCAACTTAAATGCGATTTAGTTTCATTTACGCTTCAAGCAACTAAAGTTTCATGAAAGTTGCACCAGTCTGTATTTTGGAGAAACTGCAGCTAATCATAGTGATGATTCGTAAGCTTGTCAGATAGCGAGGCTGTCAGTTCTCCTTTGTGTTAAAGCATCAGCTCTGAAGGCTTTTCATATAACCAGGAGGGTTTTATTGACACTCTGTTTCTGTTGTAGCAAATGTGAACGAAGCTGCCGTGGTCAAGACTTTGCTCTCAAACGTCCAGAAGCTTCAGTCCCGGATTTCCATGCTGGAGACAGGTGAGGCTCCTCATATGTTTGGTTCTTTAGTTTTGTACTGGAGCTACGAGGCTAATGTAGGTATCAGTATTTGGTATCTGACAGGGCCAGTGATGGAAGAGAAGTCCTAAAGCATTGGATTAACTATCAGCATGATTAGGAAATGACAGAGGAGTCAAACGACCATGTTTTGATTCCTATTGGTTACAAAAGATTTCACAAAAAAATGTCACTGTAGGCCTTCTGGAAGTTCTAGATACGTTACTGACTGTGAATATGAGCAGCAGCCTGATCAGCGGGTTGTTAGAAACTGAAAACAGTGGCGGCAGCTCTACACCAGAGCTCACACAGAGAAACTGACACAAGTAAAATAAAAGCTAATATGTCACAGTCATCAAGGAAAACATGAAATGTCCTTTAGAAGCTTTAGATGTCTGTGTTTAATCTAGAACAGCCAAAATAGTGTTATGCAAAGTGTTGCTACCAAACTACAAGAACCCCATAGGGGCTCTACCAGAAATGAAGTGGGATTGTCCCTCATATTTTGACATGTATGGTCCAAATTGAAGGACTACACTCTTAAAAAGGATGGTGCTTCATGGGTTCTTCAGTAAAGAAAACAACTCTATATAGAACCATGAACACTCAAAGAACCCTTTTTGTGATTAAAGGCTCCTTTGCATCAAGAAAAGGTTCTTCAGATTGATGGAGAATGTGTTTTTTTATGTTTCTATATAGAAATCTTTTGAAAAGGGTTCTATATAGCACCCAAAAGGGTTCTTCTATTGTTACGCTTGTACCATTTATGGCACATTCATGCACATATTCCATAAATCTGAAGAACCTTTTCATAAAGGGTTCTTTGCATCTTGAAAGCGTTCTTCAGATTGATGGAGAATGTGTTTTATATGGTTCTATATAGAACCTTTTTGAAAAGGGTTCTATATAGCATGAAAAAGGGTTCTTGTATTATATGTCAGCTTGACATCATAACAATAAAGGACCCTTTTTGGTGCCATATAGAATCATTTTCAAAAAGGTTCTATGTAGAACCATATAAAACACATTCTCCATCAAGCTGAAGAACGCTTTCGCTATGCAAAGAACCGTTTAATCATGTAGGGTTCTTTGAGTTTTCATGGTTCTGTATGGAACTGTTTTCTTCACTAAAGACCCCCTGAAGAACCATCTTTAGCTCTAATGGTCACAATTCACTACTGGAGAACAGTAGAACAGAAAGCACATAATCAAGTCTATTGGAGATGCTGAACACCTCCACACGGTTTGAGTGATACAGTTAGTACTGGTGGGTTCCACTATATCAAAAAAAAGTGGTACAAAACTGGCAACCTTGAAACAAAACAAGCTCACTGTAGTTTTGAAATGGTGAAAATAATTGCTAAAGTTTGGTGAAATGGGCACTCGAGTCTCTGTTGCCGGTATAAAGGGGGAATGAGTCTCCCTCCCACCAACACTACATGACTGCATTCCTGGAAATATGTCGACACTGTGTGTCTCGCTTCATGAATCCCCTCTGATTACATGCTAACGACATTAGCACCTTCACAGCTCCAGGAACTGAACAAACTTTAGACACAGAGCACGTCTTGGCTGATTGCAGTGGTGGACAGTAACTGAGTAAATGTAATTGTTTACTGTACTTAAGTAGTTTTTTCATGTATCTTTACTGAAGTTTTTCAATTTTGGGTGACTTTTTACTTTCACTCCACTACATTTCAGAGTCAAATATCTCACTTTTTACTCCACTACATTATGAGAAATCTGTCGCTCCTTTTGGTTTATGTGTGTATAAAAACATAACATGTCAAAACGAAAGAAGCGCAAAGCGAGAACACCAATCAGGGCACAGCGGTCACTTTGTTTTGAGCTTGTTTTGACCTGTTGGTCATACCGACCCAGTGCAGCACACGGTTCAACATCAGTGCAGCAGTGTAAAATTTTGGGAGAGTCTATTCAACATAAATGATGAACTAACCTAACTTTGTGTAAACAGACCACAATATAGAAATATGTATTCATATGCAGTTGTGACTGACGTGTCTTTATTCTGAATTTATACAAACACATTTCATTTTATAGTAAATTAGTTTTGGCTTGTTTATGTTTATGAACAGAGACCTACAGATGCAGTTTAGTAAAGGAAACTCATTTGTGAATCTGAGTTTAAAGTTTTTATTAAACTTAAACTTGGAACTAAGAAATAAATCTTAAACTGAAACTTTGCTTGTTTGTAAAAAGTGATTTCAGAGCCACTCAGTTCTACCTGATGGAAACTGTTCGCCTTCAGTGTTTTGTGCTTATGATAATTTTAATAGACATCAGCGTCACTAATTAATGACATTCTATTAAAAGACTGGTTTACCAAGAGCGACACTGGAGTATTTTCACCTAAACTGAGTTAATGAAGCGAGTCTTGTTATAAAAATGATAACAGGACATCAGAGCCATAATTAATCTTTTAGTACTTTTACATTCATACTTAAGTACATTTGAAGGCAAATACTTTTGTACTTTTACTCCAGTGGAGGTCTAAAGGGAGGAGCTTCTACTTTTACTGCAGTAATATTTTACCTTGGGTGTCTCTAACTCAAGTACATGGTCTGTGTACTTCGTCCGTCACTGGCTGATTGCCTACATTTGGCGTAAGGGGGGAAACATGGGTTAATTTCATGTTTTCAAGAAATAAAACCCTTTTTTGTCTCCTTTCTCAACAGTTCTAAGTTTCCACGCCTTCAGAAGGGTTGGTCAGAAATATTACGTCAGCAGCGGCTTGGTGACCACATTTGAATCCGGACAGAGCCACTGCAGAGGGGTCAAAGGAGAACTTGCTCTTCCAAGGAATATCGTAGAAAACCAGGCTGTTTATCAAGTGCTCAAGCAGGTCTCCCAGCATCAGACCGCCTATCTCGGGGCACGGGACAGCAAGGTTAGGGGGCAGTATGTGGACACGAAAGGTCAGAGGATCACTTACACCAAATGGCATCCTGGCCAGCCGAACAGTGCAGAAGAGGAGTGCATCTGTATGGGGCCCAGCGATCAATGGCATGATTACATGTGTAACTCCAAACACGTCATTATCTGTGAGATACAGTAAAACACTGAAGTGCTGATAAACAAGGTCATCGAGTTCGATACAAGAGGCTGGATTTTAGATTAAAAAATCAAATATTTACCGTATTAAATTTTTTTCTGACAGTGTGATTCATTCTGAATGAATGTTCATGCATTTATGCGTCTGATTTGAACTGGTGGGCGGCTTTATTTCAGGTTTTAGGTGCACTAATTGACACCCAGCCTCCAAAAACAACACCTGAGGACCAAAAACGCACCATTTCTCAGTTCATCAGCAGAATATTAGCAGCTCCTTTCATATAAACACCTTAATAAGCATCCAAAAGGGGTCATCGTAGACCTTTCTCTCTTCTGTTCTCATTTTTCTTTTATTATTATGTAATCACATAAATTATGGCACAGTTTTGTGGTTAATTACATTGTTTTATATACTGAAAGGGCAGGTTCGGGTCTGCACTGCATTTTTTTTTTTGTTCTTTTTGATGTTTTTTATGTCTTCTTCATGATGTAATACCCTGCCCACTCTTTTTTTTAAAAGCATGTCAGAATAAAAGTCCTTTGATGTCAGTTGATGTTTTGCAATGAACCAAATACTTTAAAAGCTGCCCTGTGTTACAACATGTTATGATTTTAAAGGTTTCGAGCACAATCATGTCAAACTATTTTAATTTGCATAGTTAATAGTTTTCTTTATCTGCACACTGTGCGAGATGGTGGCACCGCCTGATAATCTTTAGACTTTGTGAGGCATAAATGCCTAAAAATGAATTTTATTTTGATGCCATGAAAATGTTTTGAAATAAACGATGCACTGTAGAATAGTGTGATATGTGTCGTATATTGTTTAAATCATTTAATAGGAAAATAATTGATGAAATGCATATCATGCATTAACCAGATGGACCTCTAAATGAGGTTCACATTCCATATAGCAGGTGACCATTAAGGGTGTTTTGTTTAAAGTAGTCACTGTAGATCTTCTGGTTATGCATGACCTGGACGTACACCTGATCTCCTTCCTCCAGCAGCAGTGCTATTGTTACTGGCCGAGTCTGCAGTGTCCACTCCGGGCGGATTGTCTGACACAGAAACCACCTCCTGCCTGGGCGGCACGGTGGCGCAATGGGTAGCACTGTTGTGTCACAGCAAGAAGGGCCTGCGTTCAATTCCTACCAATACCAGTCCAAAGACATGCAGCCAGGCCAACTGGACGCGCTAAATTGCCCCAGGTGTAGGTGTGTGTGGATGTATATATACACCGATCAGGCATAACATTATGAACACCTCCTTGTTTCTATACTCACTGTTCATTTTATCAGCTCCACTTACTATATAGGTGCACTTTGTGGTGGTGTATTAGTGTGTGTTGCGCTGGTCTGAGTGGATCAGACACAGCAGTGCTGCTGGAGTTTTTCAACACCTCAGTGTTGCTGCTGGACTGAGAATAGTCCACCAACCAAAAATATCCAGCCGACAGCGTCCTGTGGGCAGCGTCCTGTGACCACTGATGAAGGACTAGAGGATGACCAACACAAACTGTGCGGCAGCAGATGAGCTATCGTCTCTGACTTTACATCTACAAGGTGGACCGACAAGGTAGGAGTGTCTAATAGAGTGGACAGTGAGTGGACACAGTGTTTAAAAACTCCAGCAGCACTGCTGTGTCTGATCCACTTGTACCAGCACAACACACACTAACACACCACCACCACGTCAGTGTTACTGCAGTGCTGAGAATGATCCACCACCCAAATAGTACCTGCTCTGTGAGGGTCCATGGGGGTCCTGACCACTGAAAAACAGGGTAAAAGGGGATGCCCCGTGATGGACTGCTGTGTATCCAGAGTGTTTCCTGCCCTCTCCAGCTCCCCCCACGACTCTGAAGGATAAGCGGCTTAGAGAATGTGTGTGTACTTTGCCCTGAGAGTGGCTGACAGAGCGGTTAGCATTAAAACTATCCTAAAACCTGAACCTGCTTTTTTGTTTTGAGGGAGGGAATGCACCTCTGGACAAAAACATGAAAGTAGGTAAATGACCAATGGGTCGGAGTCTCTGTGTAAAATCCAGTCCTGTTTACTTAAAGACTTTAGTCCAGTCCACACAGAGGTCCTTTCTCAAAGCTGTCCTGATTCGGCGCCCTGCTTCACACACAAGGTAAGACTTTCTAATCTAGCTACTTTAATAAAATCACAAACCTATGAGAAATATGGTCACTCCTTGGCCCCTTTATTAGAGACCCCTACCAAACACTGCTGACCTGATAAAACTAGGGTGGTGCACCACTGAGTGCGTTTACAGCACGTAATAATCAGATAACTGCAGAAATCTGATAATAAGCGTGTCTGCTGTGTCTGATCCACTCAGACCAGCACAACACACACTAACACACCACCACCACGTCAGTGTTACTGCAGTGCTGAGAATGATCCACCAGCCAAATAGTACCTGCTCTGTGAGGGTCCATGGGGGTCCTGACCACTGAAGAACAGGGTAAAAGGGGGCTAACAAAGTATCAGAGAAACAGATGGACTACAGTCTGTAACTGTAGAACTACAAAGTGCACCTATATATATATACATTAATATGCACCAGTATTGCACCATTTACAATATATAATGTTATGCCTGATCGGTGTATATTTTAATGTAGTGTCTGAACATTTTAAAACTGTCTTAATGTTTGTAAATTTAAAGTGAACATACACACTGGAGATGAGCGAAGTACGCTGTTAAAGTGTGATTTCACTGTAAAATTGAACGGTCATCACCAGTTTTTTTGCGGATGTAAATAAACATGCATATAAATAAACAGTACATATACTGTATTTTAACACTGCTGTTAAATTACAGAAATAGAAGTAAATTCACAAAACAAATGATCACGTTTATTTCATGGATGTTTGCGTTTATTTTAATGGTTGTTATTATGTTGTTATTATGATGATAAAATACTGTACATCAGAATAACGAGTTGAACTAGTGAAACTGTTGATTAACAGTAAAAGACAGCATTTCTAAGAAATTTAATTCTTCAAAATTTAATTTTACAGATATTTACCAATAAGAAAACATACTTTTATTGTTAATTAATTCATTTTGTCTGGCTGCCGGACTTTAACAGTTTATAATATATAGTTCTAATATATATATATGTGTGTGTTAAATAACAAAAAAAAGCCTGGTACACATACAGTGTCCTCACTTTGGACCTTTTACGTAAATCTTTCTTTGCCTCTGTGTTTGTTTGATACGATGAACTTCTGTAACTTCCCTGAAATGTTCCAGGTTGATGGTGCAACTCTGCTGACTGGAAGGTCAAAATCTCTGTTTTGTCCCTCATTCTGCATCCAGTCAGGCTTGCAGTTTGCTTGGTAAATAAATGAGTGTGGGATGCTGTTGCTCAATCATGTGAAACAACCCCAATTCCAAAAAGTTGGGACGCTGTGTAAAATGTAAATAAATGTAAATATAAACAGAATGCAATGATTTTCAAATCTCATAGACCCACATTTTATTCACAACAGAACACAGAACACATATCAGATGTTGAAAGTGAGACATTTTACCATTTCATGAAAAACACTGACTCATTTAGAGCTTGATGGCAGCAACTCATCTCAAAAAAGTTAGGACAGGGACGTGTCTACCATTGTAGACATGGGACATAGGACATGGTCCGTCTCCTCTCGAGTCTGCAAGACACAGTGTCAGTGGTTTTCAAAAAGGATTTCAAATTTTGATTCATCTGACCACAGAACAGTTTTCCATTTTTGCCTAAGTCTATTTTAAATGAGCTTTGGCCCAGAGAAGACGGCAGCGTTTCTGGATCGTGTTGATGTGGTTTCTTCTTTGCATGATACAGCTTTAACTTGCATTTGTGGATTGCATGGCATGTGTTCACAGACGGTGATTTCTGGAAGTGTTTCTGAGCCCATGCAGTGATTTCCAGTACAGAATCTTGCCTGTTTGCAGTGCTGCCTGAGCGCCCGAAGATCACAAACGTCTAATATTGACCGTCGGCCTTGACCCTTGTGTACAGGGATTTCTACAGATTATGTACTGTAGACGGTGGGATATCCAATGTCGCTATTTTACATTGAGGAATATTTTTCTAAAATTGTTCCACCATTTTTAGACACAGTTTTTCTCAGATTGGTGAACCTCTGCCCATCTTTGCGTCTGAGAGACTCCGCCTCTCCTCTTTTTATACTCAGTCATGTGAGTTAATCACAAATTGCTCCTCCAACTGTTTTTTATTAGTATCACTTACTTTTCCAGCCTTTTGTTGCCCTAAAGCTCTAAATGAGTTAATGTTTTTCATGAAATGGTAAAATGTCTCACTTTCAATATCTGATATGATTTGATTTGTGAATTCATTGGTTCATTTGCAAATCATTGAATTCTGTTTTTATTTAGCTTTATTTACATTTTACACAGCGTCCCAACTTTTTTGGAATTGGGGTTGTAATAAATGTCCCAGTTGCTCATCTCAGATCATTTCCTCAGGTTTTGCTCTGGTTGTCAGCAGTGACACTGAGATGCCACCATTCAAGCACGCTGTCTTGCTTCTGCTGCTGCTGGAGTTCCTGATTTCGGTAGCCGGCGATCAGCCTCAGCCTCTAACCTGCCCACTCTATGCTGGCGTCCCGGGGACGCCGGGACATAACGGCCTGCCCGGCAGAGACGGGAAAGACGGAAAGGATGGGCCTGTTGGACCCAAAGGACAGAAAGGAGAGACAGGTTTGTGCCAGCTGAGGACTAGATCAGTCATAAAAGCATAAAGGCTCTGCATGGTTGTGTTTTAAAGTTTGTGAAAAATAAATATTTCAATATTGATATATCAATCACCTTCTATTTTTTGACACCTATTTTTTCTGACGATTGATTGACAGCCTCTGTGTCAAACATAACAGCTTGGATGGGCACAGGCACAGTGAAACTGCTGCACCATTTAAGGTGGAGCGGGAAAATTCGAACGTGAAGCTGGTGAATAGGAAGTCAACATCTGCCTCATATTGTTAACTGTAAATCTGTAATTCCAAAATGATCTGAAGATGAACTGGTCCAGCATGCTGTCTCCCATTTTTGGGGCAGGTGCAGATACCCTAGAGACAACGGGAGAAAGGCTGTTAGGGGGCTGGGTCAATGGCTGAATCCTTGCTGTGATTAAATAGAGACCAATCAAATTATCTGGTTAATTTAAATTAGAGGACACCACAGTTCATATCTTAAGAACATAAAACCGTACATTTCTTAAATTTCAATCATTTCATTCATTTATCCAGATAATTAAATTGGACACTTTTTAATCTTGACATGGATTCCGCCATTGACCAGGACTCAGCTGTTAGCTAAGGTTAGCTAGCTAGCTTTCATCCGGCTGGTTAACCAGGTCCAGCTAACAGGCTTTAACTACACACAGCAACAAAAATCAAACCACCTTGGGAGCCACAACATTTTATGTCCATTTTGTTTGTCTCATATATATGATCTTGGCTCTAAATAGGTCTCAATATGTGCTAATGTCCTAGTTTGCTCTGCTTTAAGCTTTAGCTCTGCTATAGCTGCTTTTCCCGCATCTCCAGCAGGAAACTTTTCCGCAAAAGTAGAACAGTTTTTTGGTAGTGACAAAATGGAAAGTTCAATCATTCATTTTAATGAAGTAAACATAATTAAGGTATAGAGTCACTCAGAACAAAAGGATTTTAGTCTAAATCCAAGATCAGTTATTAAAACAGTTCAGTCAAATGTAGTTAACAATGAGTGAAAGGCAGCAGCTGCCAGTCAGCATTAGCAATTAGACTAGATGTGCAAAATGCTATTTGGGTGGCCATTTGCTTTTGAGAGAGCAACATGAAGCCTTTTTGCCTCAAATGTTCCTTTTATCTTGAATGTGATTTAATTTGTGCTGTGTTAAGGTTCCTCAGTGATCGGACCACCTGGAAAGAAAGGTCCAGCAGGTGATGTCGGCCCACAGGGGGTAAAAGGAGTGAAAGGTGACCAAGGTTTGTATAAGATTTGGTGTGAATGTGTTTATTTCTCTAAGCATGTCTGTCTGTATTTGAATTGGGTTCTTACAGTAAATTATCCTTCTGTGACGTCCAGGTGTAGGAGTCCGGGGACCTACTGGAGTGGCGGGCCCACCTGGGCCTAAAGGGCAAAAGGGAGAAACTGGGTCAACAGGTACCGAGAAATAAGGGAAAATGTTACCAAAAAATAAATAAAAATAGTACTTTAAACTGAGGGGAGTGAAACGAAGGTCATGGACTTAAATTTACACTGCACCACATTATACCCCTAAAGGATGGGTACACTGGAGACCCCATGCGTCTCTGATCAACATCTTGTAGTAGATGGTATAGTGTAGTGGGTAACACCTCTGCCCTCCATGCTGCAGACAGGGGTTCAGCCCCCTGTGTAAAATGTTCAGATTGAAAGTCACTCTGTATAAGAGCATCAGCCAAATGCTGTAAATGTAATAACGTTTGCTTTAATTGTCCTGCAAAAGTTGTGATTTTGCACATGTAAGTTGTTTTATTTTATTGCTTGTAGGCTGGCTTTACACAGTGAAACTTTCATGCAACTAGTTGCGAGTTCAATTTAAAAACAATCAACACAACATATTTAGTTACTACACTAGATTAGCGGCTCACATTGTTTGATACTTTTAGGAAATGTACATTTCATTTTCATTGCCGTTCTTTTCTTTTCTGTATCTACATATCTGCCTTTTGTCTATCTATCTAGAGCTCTTCACAATTATTTGAGTTGTTGAGTGTATATGAAAGCAATAAGCTACTTGAGGCTGTGCGTTACTACAATTTTATCACAGGGAAGGGCGTTCTTAGGCACGACATGAAACGAAGTAAAACCCCTTTCCTGTCATAAAATCACTGTAACGTACAGCAATGAGTGGCTTATTGCTTTTGTGCAATGACAGGCAACATAAAATATGATAAAAGACACATTTCATCAAAAATGCTGAATGAGGTGAAGAACGTTCGGTCACCCATTGCTGTATATTGCGATCATTTAATAACGTTTATAACTTTGTGGCATATAATAATGAACATATGATAACACAACACTGTTTCATGCAAAATCTTTGCTTTATAAGTACTTTTTGGTCACCAAATTACCGCTGTGAGTCTTATATAGCGCCAAACCAATGATGCCCTTGTTCTGACACTGGGGCTGAATCTCAAACAGCTCCCTGCTCCCTACGTAGTGCACTATGTAGAAATGTACTGGATCCTGCAGCACAACATTAAAAATAGTCATTTGGGACTCCCACACTCCACAAGTAGTGCACTGTTTGGCTGCAGAAGGTAGAATTTCCTCCATAGCTACCACACTATTTATGGAGTACGTAAGGCATCCAGGATTTGACGTGACTTCTGACTGAAACACAGACATTTGAAGAGTGAAAGATTTATATTGCAGTGAATCGTATCATAAATACTTTAATTCAAGCCTGTGATATTAATGATGGAGCTGTTTAGGCTGTTGGCTCTTTTAGCCTGTTAGCTAGCTGACCAGCCCAGTTCTAATTAAGAACATAAGCTGTCAGCTCCTCAGTTTAAACAGAACCGGGTTCTTACTTCATCAGTTCACTCGGTGCTCCATGTGAGCAGCATTACATTCAAAGATTATTCATTAACAGCACCAGGGTTTTTCAGGATGTGGCGTAGTGATACACAGTTCAGTTGCTGAGGCGGTCAGTGTGAGTATATCATGTATTTTACAATGGCTTTGAACACAGCTTAGCCAATCAGATTGTAGGACCGGAACTGCTCGTTTTATAACAAGCATTTGTAAATGAATGTTTAAGTAGCCGTTACGGTTAAAACCCACTCATTCTGTCCCAGAAGCACAAGTTCATTAAGGAGCGTCTCTGTTTTTCTTCTGTAATTTTTTTTTTAATTGTTTCCCAAATGAATGTCCGTGTAAAATTAGGGGGCATGAAGAGAGGAGAAAAATCTAGCTGTGTAGATCACGATAACGTCAGCTAAAGAAGATAAACGGTGGAACAAACAGCTGTTTAAACAGGGTTGTGGATTGCGAGAGAGTCTCCTTTTCACCCACCCTATAAACCAACGTTTTGTTTTCTTGTCCACTGATCTCATGAAATCAATGGTTTGAAAACATGTTGTCTGACATGACTGTGTGTGACTGTTTGATTGGCTGTTTTATGAAACTTGTTTCACAAATAGTTGCTTGCAAATGTTGCGGCAGAGTTTCATGTGAGTTGCAGGATGCTTTACAAGTGCAATTGGGTTTTATGTAGGTTTTAAGCAAGAATGTTGCGCCGTGTGAAGCCAGCCTTAAGTGTCTTTTGTTAATTGAAATGTAGTAGTTTGCACAAACACCTTGTATTTTTCACTGTTTTATTTTAGGCAACTCTAGATTTGGCAGTAACTGTCTGTATTACGGAGAAACTGTGACTAATCATAGTGATCCAGAATCGATAGCGAGGCTGTCAGTTCACCTTAAAGTTAAAGCATCAGCTCTGAAGTCTTTTCATATAACCAGGAGGGTTTTATTGACACTCTGTTTCTGTTGTAGCAAATGTGAACGAAGCTGCCGTGGTCAAGACTTTGCTCTCGGACGTCCAGAAGCTTCAGTCCCGGATTGCCACTCTGGAGACGGGTGAGGCTCCTCATATGTTTGCTTACATTAGACAGTTTGGTGTCTGATACTTCCTTTATTAGTTTTGTACTGGAGCTACGGGGTTAATGTAGGCATCAGTATATGGTATCTGACACTGTATGAAATGCTGTCATCTATAAACATGGACAAAAGTATGTTAGTGAAGCTGAAAACAGTAGCCGCTGCCTAGAAGCCTGAATTTTGTCTGTACTTCTGTCCATGTTTATAACAGCAGAGGGGAACCCTCAGAGCCCTCTAGGCCTTTAGAGAAGGCCTAATGTTTTCAGGGAGCGCACGTCTAATATTTAGTTCACATTTATTCAGTAGAGTCATGCTTGTATTTAAACTTTGCATGTTCTACATAAATAATCTTGGTTACTCTTGTTTCATTGTTAAATTCTGGATGGAAACAAAATATTTAATTCCTGAAACAAGTCACTGGAAAATTTTCCAACTAGGATTTGTTGTTCTCCGCGGTATCTCAGCAGTATCTAGGCAGATAAACGAGCTTTGTTTGTTGTTGATTAGGACTTCAGGAGCTGAAGAGAAGTCCTAACGCATTAGATTAGCCATAAGCATAATTAGGAAGTGACTCAAGGCCTGTAAGTTCTAGATAATACATCACTTACTGAAACCGAATGGCAGCTTAATTAGTGGGTTGTTAGAAACTTAAATGTATGAGTATATATAATATTTCTCATTTTATGATTGCTGTCAGCTTTTTATCAGGATATTTATTTCTAGACATTTTTACGTGTTTTAGCTACTTTTAGTGAGTTAAATTATCTCACTGTACTGGCAGATAATTTTCCTCGTAAGAAATATGCAATATAACCTGCCAACATGGTGAGATCATTTCACTACCTTAAATCACTTAATACAAGTCAAAAATGTCTAGAAATAACATTAATAATCTTATAATAAGCTTACAACCATCTTAAAATTGGAAATATTAGCTATTTTGGCTAGATTTAAGATAATATTATTTGACAAGATACCACTTTTTGCACTGTGCTTCAAGGTAAAAATATATGCTAATGTATTTGTCACAAGCTTCAAGTAAATAGCTTACTTTAAATACCTTTCAGAAGCAGAAAATGTGTCTTTAATCTAAAACAGGCAAAAAATTCATACGAATCTCTGTTAGCTTAGCGCTAACAAACAAGTAGAATCCCATTGGGATGCTATCAGAAAGGATCATTGTCGTAGATGTGGGTTTTTCCCTCATGGTTTGACATTCATGGCCTAAGTTGAAGGCCTTGCTATAAAAGTCACAGACTCAGAAACCACACAATCAAGTCTATTAGAGATTCTGAACAGCTTCACATGATCGATAGTAGGCATGCATTAGTGCTGGTGGGTTTCCATTACGGCTGCAACAACTAATACACATTATCAATAACATTGTCAATAAAAAATTGTTGGCATGTCGTCAGTTGGTTGGCTTGATGATGATTTCATTTACATCATGATTGAAAGAAGAAAATACAGACATCGCAGACAGAAGTAATGCGTCACTTAATTAACGCCATCTAAAAAGATGGTTTCCTGTGTTTCCGCAGTTTGATCTGCTATGAATCAAACTTTTGATCATCTTAAGCTGCCAGATTTAATGCTGAAGTCAGCGCAGATTAACTAACAGTTCTGAAACGCTCCATCTTCTGAGCGTAAAGTTAGTTTCATTTTCGCATAAACAATTTCTTTGCTTAACAGTTTTTGACTGATGGGTGCAAAAATGTTAATATGTGTAACTTATCATTATTTGTAAAGAAGTCAGTCAGCTCTGCCTGTGATATTAATGCAGATTTTTAACAAATAAGGCAAAATCCGAGGAGAGGAGTATAGTTTTTTAACTATGCTGCTTTAGCAGGTTGAAATTAATTTGGCCCTGTCACTGACGTTTGGCGAAATGTGCAGTGTGAATGGGCCTCCAGTCTCTGTTGCCGGTATAAAGGGGGAACAAGTGTTCCTCCCGGTGGTTACATGCTAGCGACATTAGCCTTGTAGCTCCAGTGCTCAGACTGAACAAACAAACTTCAGACACCAAACACGTCTTGGCTGACTGTCTACATTTGGTGCTAATTTCATGTTTTCAAGAAATAAAACCATGTTTTTTGTTTCTTTTCAACAGTTTTAAGTTTCCATGCCTTCAGAAAGGTTGGTCAGAAATATTACGTCAGCAGCGGCTTGGTGACCACATTCGAGGCCGGACAGAGCCACTGCAGAGGGGTCAAAGGAGAACTCGCTCTGCCGAGGAATAACCAGGAAAACCAGGCTGTTTATCAAGTGCTCAAGCAGGCCTCCCAGCATCAGACCGCCTATCTCGGGGCACGGGACAGCAAGGCTGGGGGACACTATGTGGACATGAAAGGTCAGAAGATCACTTACACCAAATGGCACCCTGGCCAGCCGAACGGTGGAGACGAAGACTGCCTCTGTATGGGGCCCAGCGATCAATGGCATGATTACATGTGTAACACCAATCACGTCATTATCTGTGAGATACAGTAAAACACTGAAGTGCTGATAAACAAGGTCATCGAGTTCGATACAAGAGGCTGGATTTTAGATTAAAAAATCAAATATTTACCATATTAAATTTTTTTCTGACAGTGTGATTCATTCTGAATGAATGTTCATGCATTTATGCGTCTGATTTGAACTGGTGGGCGGCTTTATTTCAGGTTTTAGGTGCACTAATTGACACCCAGCCTTCAAAAACAACACCTGAGGACCAAAAACGCACCATTTCTCAGTTCATCAGCAGAATATTAGCAGCTCCTTAAATATAAACACCTTAATAAGCATCCAAAAGGGGTCATCGTAGACCTTTCTCTCTTTCTGTTCTCATTTTTCTTTTTATTTCTCATTCCAGATTAGCAGTCTGGACTCATTATGGTTTTAAAATGATGCAATTTCATAAATTTTGACACAATTCTGTAAAAAATTACATTTCTTTACATTCTGAATTGGCAGGTTCGGGTCTGCACTGCATTTCTGTAGATCTTTTTGATGTATCGGAGTCTTCTTTATGATGTAGCACCCTGCCAACTCTTTTTTTGAAAAGCATGTCAGAATAAAAGTCCTTTGATGTCAGTTCCAGTGCGACATGACATTTGAAGAAATGGACACTTTGCAATGAGTTGAATACCTTTAAAGCTGCCCTGTGTTGCATGTTATAATTATGTTGATTAGAATGATTTATGATTAGGTGAGTAGAAACTGGATGATTAGAACGATTAATAGTTTATTTAATCGGCACACTTGGAGAGATAGTCAAACCGCCAGATGACAATTAGATTTTGTGAGGCTTAAATGCCTAAAATTAAATGTAATGCCCTGAAAATGTAACTAAATGAGGCATTGTAGAATAATGTACCATATGTCGTATATTTATTAAATTATCTAATAGAAAAATGGCTGAGCTGGATAAAAAGTACATCATGCATTAACCTGATGGGCCTCTAAATGAAGCTCACATTCCATATAGGAGGTGACCGCTGAAGGTGTTTCGTTTAAATTTGTCACTGTAGACCTTCCGGTTCTGCATAAGCTGGACGCACACCTGGTCTCCTTTCTCCAGCAGCAGAGATGCTGCGTTACTGGCTGTGTCTTCGGTGTCCACTCCAGGCGGATTGTCCGACACAGAGACCACATGCTGCCCATTCTTCATCAGACTCAGACCGGTTGAGTGGTCATACGGGTTAAAGACCACAAAGCTGAAGTAATAAACTCCTCTGACTGGTGCAGTGAAGATACCTGGACAGAACATCACAGTGAAAACTGCAGGACTTCATTCAGCTTCATTTATTAATGCATAGATAGCATATATAACCTCATGTCTCCAAAATGACGACTTTACAGGAGAGGGAAAAAACCTACTTTACTTTTAATGTAAGTCAGTGGAACCAGACTTTTTTCCATGTAATTTTAGGTGGTTTCTTTTGGTCCATTCATCATGAAATTTACACACAATGTAAAGAACAACACGCATTTTCAAATTGTCAGAAACTGAAAAACGACAAAAATAGAGATACAAGGTTTTCATCCGACAACAGCCAAGCTATATAAAAAAACAATGAAATATTCAGACCTTAGATATTCTCTTATGATCTATTTAAAGATCATTAATAGAGATAGTAATAAGCTAAATATATACAAAATCATCAATTTATAGGGTACTTTCTACTGGGAGGAGTCTGTCCCAAACCCTAACCCCTAAATTTACACTTCTGAAAATAATACTTACAATTATTTGTCTTATTATCAAATTTCCTTTTGATTTCTTTTAAAATGAAGTTGAATGATTTAAATTTATCATGTTTAATTTTTAAATAAAAAATGCTATAACTTATTTTTATGTCACTACCGAAACACAGGGTTTTAGTATGTGGGCGGAGCCTTATTTTAGTCACGCCCCTGTGTTTTAGAGCAGGAAGTGAGGCTGCATCCCTGTCCCTCATGGCCACATGGTGAGCAGTTAGATCCCATTGTTTTGAAGTAAATGTGTCCCAAAGTCTGAAAATCAGTGTGGAACATTAAGAATCGTCTTATTTTCTGCAGTTCAGCATTTTTTTGTGTTTTAATGTAGAATATGATGATTTTCTGTGTGAACAGCTGTTCAAAGCTGTGTTTGAGTTTTTGAGCTCAAAATGAGCTAAAATTGTCACTGAAACAGTCACTACTGACACATTTGGTACAGTTTGGTAGAGTTATGATTGTTTTGGTAGTGAGAAAATGGAATGTTCAATCATTAGTTTTAATAAAATAATCATAATTAAGGTTTAGAGTCACTCAGAGCAAAAGGGGTTTAGTCTGAAGTCCAAGATCCCAATTCAGAAATGTGTTTCAGCTCTGACTTTAAACCGGATCAGTAGAATCATACATATATATACAATATAAATTTAAAGGCATTTATTTCCTTCCACTGAAAGTTACTGTTTTGGACAGACCTACCCTCTTAAAGATTCAAGGGGACTTTAGTAAACACAATGGTTCTGTATAGAACAATGAACGTTTAAATGCTTAAATGATTCTTTGCTTGGTGAAATGGTTCTTCAGATTGATGGAGAATGTGTTGTAGGTGGTTCTACAGGTGGTTTTTTGAAAAGCGTTCTATATAGCACCAAAAAGGGTTCTTCTACTGTTACAAGCTTGACATCATCACAATAGAAGAACTCTCATTGGTGCTAGATAGGACCATATATAACACATTCGCTATCAATCTGAACAATGATTACACAATGCAAAGAATCTTTTAAGCATGCAGATGGTCCTTTGAGTGTTTATGGTTCTATATAGAACCACTGTCTTTACCGAAGAACCCTCGGAGAGCCATGATTTTTCAGAGTGTACAGTTCTGCACCTATATAGTGGAGCTATAAGGTGGGTGAAGCTCAAAGTGGAGAGTGAGTTGAACAATAAAAAGAAAGATGTTTCTAATAAATTGGAAAAAGTGTATGTTATACAATCTTGAGCAAAATGATCTAAATAACATCTTCAGCTAAGCTACATGTAACAGGGCATTGTGGTATTACCTGTATTTGGGTCGTATGCACTGCCGATGTTTGTGAAAGCGTTTTGGTACACCAGAGTAACCTGCTCTGGATACGGCCCAATGTTCTTAGAACCAAATTCAAGAGCTGAGAGTGAAGCTGAGAATGCCACTTTGGGCTGTTCTGAAAATAAAGAGGAAGAAAAAAAACAAAATATGGAATAATTCATAATAGTTACTGAGGCTGAGGATTAGTAATTGAATTGACTATTAAGGTTAAGAGGTTAAAATTCTTCAAACTCCAGATAAGCAACAATAACATACATGACAAAATAACTTTGTTCTGTTAATAGGTTCTTTCATAAAGTCACGTTTACCTGTAATCAGTCTTTTGAGCTCTGCCATTTCAGCCTCCATGGCTTTCACCTTTTCCTCCAAAGATCTGAGCCTGCTCAGTTCTCCAATAATGTCCACGCTTGGTTTGAGGATGTCCTGAGCCTCTGTGCTCCACAGGAAGAGCAAGAAAAGCACCTGCCATAACAACATGACTGAAGAATTAAAGACGATTTCCCGAAGTCGACTGAAGCTAAGCTGCTTTCTCTCTGCTTACAGAGGGAAACTGTTTGAATAGGCCGAAAGACTTTGGACTCCATGGAAGAACTGTGGGTGCAGTGATAACTCATTGGATACTTTGCCAGAAACAGCTTGACCAAATATTTTTTAAACCCAAAGTATGATCAATAAACCAAAGCAGAATTGAATATGAACATGGGTTTATTACTTTTACATCAGACTGGTTTACAATCATTTGACCTCTTACCTTTGGGAGAGAGCGTCTCTGACAAATAAGGCAATTTGTTCATCCTTACCCTTGCCGATCACTAGTGGGGTACCCCAAGGCTCAGTTTCAGGCCCTCTTTAATTCTTTAGTAGATGCTTCCTCTGGGCTGTTTTTCAGAAATGCAATATATCACTGTTAGCAGCTTTATTTACCAACAAACTGAGTGCTTAATGTTTTTTGGGGAACTTCTAATTGTCTCAGAAATTAAAAAAAAACTAAATGGTTGGAAAAAAATTGCCAAATTAAGTTCAAATAAGAAGGAGGCTGTCTTCTTTGCCCTACAGTTCCAATACAAATATAGGAATCAAATTAAAAATTAAGATCTTTTAACAAATATACACTCCAAAAAAAAATCCCTGGAAGTTCCTAGTTTTGATCGCTTGTCTTTTGTTGATGTTAATTAACAAACGATTATAATTGAGTGAAACTGAGTCAGCAGTCACTTGTCAGCTTTACCTGAAGTTTTGTTTTGTCATTGCACCACTGTTGTGTTAAACCTTAAAATATTGATCATACTGAGTCCTTTGCCCTTTGCCTCTGTGTGTTGTCGATCTCTCCAGGCTACCTTCCCTTGTGTGTGCTTTTGTGTTCTGTTAGCCTTATAATTATTGGCCGTAAGAACCTGCGCTGCCCTGTCTATCAGATTGACACGACATTTTGTAGATCAAACTTATCTAATTAATTATGTACATGCATGCTATTAATTTGTATAGCCTTTATTTGCTGTCTGTAGATAAACATAATGATAATAAATTAATGTACAGTACGATGCCCACCCTTTTGCATATTTCATTTCCAGTCAAAAGAGCCAGTAAGCACAAGTTATTCTTTTTTTTTTGCATCAAGAAAAAAGAATTAACAGAAAATTACACAGAAGCAAACACAGTGGTAAACAGGCCCCGTCCCAACTTCTTTGGAACGTGTTGTTGGCATTAAATTCAAAATGGGCATATATTTTTCAAAAAACAATAAAATTTCCCAGTTTCAACATTTGATTTGTTGTCTTTGTAGTGTTTTCCTTTAAAAATATGGTTTAAATGATTTGCATATCATTGCATCCTATTTTCATTTACATTCTGCACAGCATATTTTTTGGAAATGGGGTTGTACGTGAAAAGTAAACTGAAATCATACTTTTTTAGTTTAAAAGAAGTCGACTAATAACACACTTGAATAAACCTGAAGTTTATTGAACTTCGGCCCCCAAACGCTACAACTTTAGGCACCCAACATTTGAGCATCAGCTGAAGGCGTCTACAGCCAAGTGAAGTGGGATTCACATTGGGAAGAGCAGATGCCCACTGAAGGTGTTGCGCTTGTTTCTGTCTGTGTAGACCCTGCACTTGTCCCAAAGCTGCACGTACACCTGATCTCCTTTCTCCAGCTTGAGGGAGGCGGAGTTTCCAGTAGTGTCCTCAGAATCCACCCCCGGGGCGTTATCTGTGGCAGCCACCACCAGCACCCCGTTTTTCAGCAAGGACGCCTTGGTCGGGTACTGAGGATCAGATCCGACCGGCTGGAAGAGTGTAAAGCTGAAATAATACACTCCCTTCAGTGGAGCCGTGAAGATTCCTGCAGATAAAACCACACCTTTAATACAACACAGAGCAACGTGGAGCTGAAATCACCTACAGGACTGAGCTACACTTTAGCAAAAGATCAAATTTGCACAGTTTTCACAGCCCTTAGTCCAAATACGGTGAAAAATAATACACTCCAAATGTATTTATCAAATATGTTTTTGCAGTGTATGAAAATGGCCAGAAACACATTCGTTATATATAATTTTTTAAAAACAATTATTAGCATTTTATACAACAGTCAGTTCCGGCCACGCGAGCTGATTGGTTGAGAGCCGTTCTAACTGTGCTATTATGTCACCATAACATCATGGGTTTTTCACAAACACTGTATCACTCCGCTGAGACGCTGTTGCTAAGCAACGACTCTGACAGCTGTAGGAGATGCTCAAGACATTTGAACGTTTTTACTTCTTACTTTGCCACAAACAGAAAATGGACACTTTTAAGATCACATTTGACAGACAGCCGATTTGGTCAGACTCTGAAGATGAGACGACACTAAATTCCCAAACTGTCACCACTGAGCAGCTTTTCAGTCGGCAGCTGAGACAGAAGAACAGCTGAACAACCTGGAATCAGCCAGAAATGAACCCAACACCATTCGCCAAACTAAATGGGCTGTAAGATGCTTTACAGACTGGCTGGAACAAAACAACATTAATACTGATCTGGCAAAAACTGACAAAACTGAGCTAAACCTGATATTGCAGCAGTTTTATGGCTCAGTCTGATTTGGTCAGACTCTGAAGATCAGACTACACGTTTGGCGAATGGTGTTGGGTTCATTTCTGGCTGATTCCAGGTTGTTCAGCTGTTCTTCTGTCACAGCTGCCGACTGAAAAGCTGCTCAGTGATGATGACAGTTTGGGAATTTAGTGTAAGGAGCTGGAGAACGAACTGCCGGCTGAGCAGCGAGTGGGCGGAGCTCGTTACTCTGACGTAGCAACAAGCTGCTCGTTAAGGAACTATAATTTGGTGAAGGAACTGTGAACATTAAAACATATTAAACGCCGCGTTCACAGCCCAGTTTATTAATTTATTACTGTATTTATTTAACTGTTGTATTAAAGCAATAGAACACTCGATGAGTGTGTTATCGCCAATAACATCATGGCTGTGATGATCTACAGCGACCAAATCACAGCCGTGATGCTATTTCGTGATACACACTCCCTCTGTGTTCTAGTGCTTGAAGTTATTCTATGTGTTGAGTTGTGTTATGAAGGTTCCAGATGTAACTAAATGTACTGACTGTGATCTGCACTGTACTTTACATTAACCATGTACGTCTGCAGTCAGACTCTCACACACAATGTATTTCACATAAACAAGATATCAGATCATAACTGCATTTTCACAGAGGATCAATACCCACAACACTCGCTTCTGTCCTGATAAAGGATCATTAGATCAGATTTAAAATGAAGATACTGGAAATTCATTTCTAAAGGTATCAGACAGTGAAGAGCATCAGACAGGATTTTGGCTGTTTTCAGATATATTTTGTGCATTTAATTATGTGCATGCTTTTGACCAGGGGTGTCAACATTTTTGCACAAGACTGCAGTACTGCATAGCAGCAATGTTTTGGCACCTGTTTTTGGATCATATGCATAGCCGATGTTTGTGAAGGCATTCTCGTACACCAGAGTGACCGCGTTCTGGAACGGGACGAGGGACTTGAAACCGGTTTGCAGGTTGGACAGCGTAGCGGAGAACGCCACTTTGGGCTGATCTGGAAACAAGAATGTAAAAAAACAATCTACAACACTGATTTTATTTCTAATTTTTTGGATTTCTTTCATAATGTAAATGGTTAAGTCGTAAACAGAGCGGTTCAGAGTGGTTCAGAGTGGTTTGGTGTGGAACGCTCCGTTCTAGATAAACTTACCGAGTCAGAACTGTTCACAGTGGTGGTGATAGGAACCAGACGTCCACCTCTAAAAGCTCCCTCACAGAAAGTTCCTACATGAAATGGTTATGAATTCACTGCCTGATGACTGAGACACTGTTTTATGATAGTTTGGAGAACTTAAACTCCATTCATGGTGGAGGGATACATGCAGGGCGCTGTGAGGCAAAATAGTCCCCAAAGAAAACTTATTATTCCAGATTTTCCAATATTTTCATCATCAACATTCCATATAAACTCAGAAGACTCGTGTAGGTTCACTGGTGGTTCTGGATAGTAAATAAAATGTCTATATCTGTGTTGTAGTCATGGCGACCCCTGGTTCCTATCACCACCACTGTAAAGACATCTGAACCATTTCACACCAAACCACCCTGAATCTCTCTGATTACACCTCACACACTGAATTACGGAGAGGTTTTTTGTAAACGCGTGTTTCTCGTACCTGCGAGGGTCTTCATGATGCTCTCCACTCTCCTGGAAAGTCCTGCAGTGACACGGCCGAACCAAACACAACAATAAAACAACAACAATAAAAACACTATGTTTGGTGTTCCTGTGACTCTTTTACGCTGAAAGCTGTTTGATTCTCTCTCTCAGTACCTGCGTTCTCCGTCTTCAGCTCGGCCATTTCAGCCTCCATGGCTTTCATTCTTCCCTCCAGAGCTCTGAGCTTGCCCAGTTCCACGATAATGTCCACGCTGGGGGTCAGGATGTCCTGAGCCTGTGTGCTCCACAGGAAGATCAGGAGAAACACCTCCAGCCCAAACATCTTCAACATCTCCATAACGTCTGCTGTCACAGGAGACCACTGAGGAGGTCAGCTGCTTTCTCTCTGCCTACAGTGGCCATCTGTTTGAACAGTCCAGAGACTTTGGACCGGGAAGAGTTTGACAAAATAACGGAAAAAGGTTTTGTTTGTCCCAAAGTGTGGTCAGTAAATCACAGTTTGAGTTCGTACTGCAGGACGAATTGTGTTTTTCACTTTCTTGAAATTTTTTATAGATAAAGGTTCTAAATAGAACCGTTGTCTTTATTAAAGAACCCTTGAAGAACCATGTTTTGGAGAATGAACAGTAGAGAGTGCTGGAGCCGATATGTCTGATCAGATCAGTTATAGCGGCGCTCTGAGCATTTATGTGTATTACAGCTGAGGCTGTTTGTCGCCCCCTACTGACAAACATAGATCAACACCATTAAAGAACAGACCTCATTGATCTGAATCATTACTGTATTGATCAGGACTTTACTGATCAGGACAAAACTGATCATATTTTATTGATCTAGACTTTTCTGATCAGGACATCACTGATAATACTTTATTAATAAGGAAAATTACTGATCATTACTTTATTGATCAGGACATTACTGATAATTTATTGATCAGGACATCACTAATCCTACTCTATTGTTCAGGACTTTAGTGATCAGGATATTACTGATTGTACTTTGTCGATCAGGACTTTATTGATCGGGAACTTACTGATCATACTTTATTGATCAGAACTTTAATGATCAGGACATTACTGATCAGGACTTTACTGATCAGGACAATACTGATCAGGACTTTATTGATCAGGACATTACTGATCATACTTTATTAATCAGGACATTACTGATCATACTTTATTGATCAGGACTTTACTGATCATATTTTATTGATCTGGACTTTCCTGATCATACTTTATTGATCAGGACATCATTGATCAGGACATTACCGATCATATTTTATTGATCAGGACATTACTGATCGTACTTTGTTGATCGGGACCTTACTGATTATACTTTATTGATCAGGACATTACTGATCATTACTTCATTGACGAGGATATTACTTGTCATTGCTTTATTGATCAAGACATTATTGATCAGGACAAAACTTATCATTACTTCATTAGTCAAGACTTTATTGATCAGGACATTATTGATTAGGACATTACTGATCATTACTTTACTGATCGGGACAATACTGATTATTACTTTATTGATCAGGGCATCACTGATCATTGCTTTATTGATCAAGACTGTATTGATCAGGACATTACTTATCACTACTTTTTTGATCAGGTCTTTACTGATTGGTGCTTCATCCTTTATTAATATGTACTGTATTGTGTAAACAAAATCGTGTCAAGTTATGGCAATGAACAAATGTTACATCAAAAAGAGCGAGAATTCAAATATGAATTAACGTTGAAACTGAAAAAAAAAACATTTCAATATGAATAAATATTTATGTAGAATAATAAACGCTCGGTAAAGATTCCTTTAGCGCTGCTGGATCATAAACAGTGGGAGAGTCTTACTTCTGCAAATGAGCGCTGTGAACGTAGCGTGACGTGGAGCGCAGTGATGAGACTCGGCCTGTAGGGGGCGCTGATACACAAACCGCGCCTATCGGCAGCCCAGAACTGAACGGAGCTGAGCTGTAACTGTAACTGTACGTTAACTGTAACTTAGAGACTGTTTGATGTCGTTTATTCTCCTCTTAATCTGATTGAACTCCGACTCCGGACAGTGTGGGGCTGTCTGGGCTGAGGTGAGTCACACCGGGTCTCTTCTCTCCTCCGCTACTTCAGGAAAACGAGTGTCGGTTGTGTTTGTTTGCTGGTACACAGTTCTAACTTGATTCGAAGTGAACTGAACTGGATTTAAACTGTTCGTATTTGTACCTGAGGAGGTTATTCACTCTTCTCGAGTCGGTTTAGATGCCTACTTTCCCACAAGGACTCAAGAAAAACGCTAATTCACCAGCTTCTTTTTACAATTTTCCGTTCCACCTTAAATGGCGCAGCGGTTACATTCTGTCGCCTGAGGCACCAGAATGTAACTGCAGCGCCGTTTAAGGTGGAACGGAAAATTCCTTTAAGAAGACTTCAGTGTTAAAAAAGTAAGGTTCTTTAGTAAAAGGAAAGGTTCTGTTTAGAGCCCTGAGTTTTATATCGAGCCATTTGGTGCTTAAATGGTTCTTTGCATGATGAAAAATGCGTTGTTTGTGGTTCTGTATAGAACCGTTTTGAAAAGTGTTCAGTCCAGCACCAGCAGAACCCTGGATAGAACCATTTAAAGCACATTTTCCATCAATCTGAAGAACCATTTCACCATACGAAGACCCATTTAAGCATTAAATGGTTCTATATAGAACTCAAGGTTCTAAATAGAACTGTTAACTTTACTAAAGAACCCTTGAGGAACCATCTTTTTTAAGAATGAGCTTTTTAGTATGAGAGCAGTGAAAATGGCATTAAATCCTGCAGTGCTGTCTTGGTGAATGCTCTGTATGACTGCTGTTAAAGGGGAACTCCACCGATTTTTCAAAATTTCTGCATAATTAAATGGTTAAGATGTAAACAGAGCGGTTCAGAGTGGTTTGGTGTGGAACACTTCGTTCTAGAGAAACTTACAGAGTCAAAACTGTTCACAGTGGTGGTGATAGGAACCAGACGTCCACCTCTAAAAGCTCCCTCACAGAAAGTTCCTACATGAAATGGTTATGAATTCACTGCCTGATGACTGAGACACTGTTTTATGATAGTTTAGAGAACTTAAACTCCATTCATGGTGGAGGGATACATGCAGGGTGCTGTGAGGCAAAATAGTCCCCAAAGAAAACTTATTATTTCAGATTTTCCACTATTTTCCATCATCAACATTCCATATAAACTCAGAAGACTCGTGTAGGTTCACTGGTGGTTCTGGATGTAAATAAAATGTCTATATTTGTGTTGTAGTCATGGCGACCCCTGGTTCCTATCAGCACCACTGTAAAGACATCTGAACCATTTCACACCAAACCACTCTGAATCTCTCTGATTACACCTCACACACTGAGTTAATACAGAATTTTTTAAAAACTTGGTGGAATTCCCCTTTAAAGCTGTTAAAGCTGTTGAAGCCTGAAACCTGATAGTGTGTGTGAGCTGACCTGTTTCAGCCTCGTCCTCTTTAACCTTCAGGGGAAAGGAGAGGAATGCTGAGTGGAGTTTTTAAATCGGCGCCCAGGCCCACTGATAAAGCAGTAAGTTACCTGGACAGGTGATTGTTGTGTACAGTGTGAGATTATGTGAAGGAGTTTAACGCTGTGCTGTGATCTTTACTGCAGGAATCACTGACAGCCGACCGAAACAGATCCAACAACAATGAGAGCGTGTTCGGAAACAGCAAAGCAAAGGTCAGAGTGACAGAGATCTCCTTTAATGGATTAATAGTGTTAAATCACATCATCTGATCATCTGCATTATCTTTTATTGATAGAATTAATGCAATAAGTGATGTTTAAACATTGCAATTGCATTTATTATTATTAGTTACCTCTAAAAGGCATATATTTGGGTATTGACATATTTAAGTCTATTAACACTTTTTGTGTCAATTACAATTGTAATCATAAAGTATTTACATGAGACAGTCACACAGGCCGTATGTTGTTATTTTCAGGAGACCCTGGGCTGCTCAGATATGCCATTGTTTGACATGTAAATCCTGACAGAATTTTGATATCTTTATGAATTTGGGTCATTTGAAGGCCATATGAAGGCCAAAAAGCAGAGCAATAATATCAGGATTTTGGGTGATTTTCCGAGCCGAATTACTCCCTGATGCTGACATCACAGCTCGATGACGTCATGCTTGCTCGTTAGGGGCGGGTCTGCTGAATGTCCTGATATGTGGATCATGTTTGAATCTTAAACTGTTCTGAAGCTATGAAGGCTAGAAGTGACCTACTGTTTTGTCCGCAAAGTGTGGGTCCTAAGGGCTAAAGGGGAATTCCACCAATTTTTCAAAATTTCTGCATAATTCAGCAGTTGCGATCTTTATATATATTTATAATGATTTAAGCTATCAAAACATCCTACCCAGACGTTTAGGTACAGACCTACATATCGTAGTAGGTTTTGCCTGTGTGTGTGGAGCTGTAAAACACCTAAACAGTGCTCTTCATATAATAAATGCATTATGAAATACCAGTCAAATCTACCCATCAGCCCAAAGCTGATGATGTTTAAAAAAGCCGATATCAGCCAATACTGATATGATTCTGATATCATCGTTCACCTCTAGAAAATTCAGTTTTCCGTGATATGGCCCTTTCAGTGTTCTTCTTAGCGCACAGTGTTCCCCACAGATTTCTTTCAGTTTCTAATACACATTATTGTGCTTGTTCTAATCAGGAGAGTCTCTCGGTCGACAGAGAGCTGCTGGTCGGCGGCGCTGACCCCTCTGACCGCTCTGTGAGCAGCGTAAGTCTCTTCCGTCCCTGCAGTGCTGCTCGTTGCGCCTCCCTGTGGTTTGGTTTGTTCTCATTATTGTGTGTCTGCTGTGCTTCATCTCAGGATAACTCAGGCGTTCTCAGCGGCCTGTTCAGGAGATCGCCCAAACCCCCTCCAAAATCTGCGCATGCACAGGTATGAAGACCATCCGCTCACGTTCTGTACTCTAGAACTGGGTTCTGCCGCTTCTGTCTGCATGTCTCCCTGTAGTTGAGCAGCTTTAGCACTGTATCTGTCAATCAATCGAAATGTTATAAACTACGCTTAAAGAGATGGTTCTTCAAGGGTTCCTTAAAGGGAATGATTCTATTTAGAACCATTTCATGCTTAAATGGTTCTCTGCATGATGAAATAGTTCTTCAGATTGATGGACAATGTGCTGTATATGGTTCTGTACAGCACCAAAAAAACGGAAGAACCGTTCCATTGCTTTTACTAAAGAACTCTTGAAGAACCTTCTTTTTTAAATGTGTAGAACCCAATATTGAACAAATTTCCCAGTAATGTAATAATGCCTAGAAATGTAATATTTCTTAACAAAAATGTAATAAAACCCAATAATGTAATAACATACTGAGTAATGAAATACAAAATATAAACAGATAATGCGTTATACACCGATCAGGCATAACATTCTGACCACCTCCTTGTTTCTACACTCATTGTCCATTTTATCAGCTCCACTTACTATATAGGTGCACTTTGTAGTTCTACAGTTACAGACTGTAGTCCATCTGTTTCTCTGATACTTTGTTAGCCCCTTTTTACCCTGTTCTACAGTGGTCAGGACCCCCATGGACCCTCACAGAGCAGGTACTATTTGGGTGGTGGATCATTCTCAGCGCTGCAGTAACACTGACGTGGTGTTGGTGTGTTAGTGTGTGTTGTGCTGGTCTGAGTGGATCAGACACAGCAGTGCTGCTGGAGTTTTTAAACACTGTCCACTCACTGTCCACTCTATTAGACACTCCTACCTTGTAGATGTAAAGTCGGAGACGATAGCTCATCTGCTGCTGCACAGTTTGTGTTGGTCATCCTCTAGTCCTTCATCAGTGGTCACAGGACGCTGCCCACAGGACGCTGTTGGCTGGATATTTTTGGTTGGTGGACTATTCTCAGTCCAGCAGCGACACTGAGGTGTTTAAAAACTTCAGCAGCTCTTCTGTGTCTGATCCACTCAGACCAGCGCAACACACACTAACACACCACCACCACGTCAGTGTTACTGCAGTGCTGAGAATGACCCACCACCCAAATAGTACCTGCTCTGTGAGGGTCCATGGGGGTCCTGACCACTGTAGAACAGGGTAAAAAGGGGCTAACAAAGTATCAGAGAAACAGATGGACTACAGTCTGTAACTGTAGAACTACAAAGTGCACCTATATAGTAAGTGGAGCTGATAAAATGGACAGTGAGTGTAGAAACATGGTCATAATGTTATGCCTGATCGATGTAAACATATAATTTGAATACTCGAATTGAAGCAGTACTTCATTCAGAGTATTTATTTGAGCTGAATAAAACTTGTTAATGTGCGTGTTACCACATTAAATCATTTTTTTGGTTAGAGCTGATAAGCCGTTTTGTACAGCGTGCGTTTGAGTGTACAGAAAGCTGTCGGGCTCAGCTGGTACCTGAACTGAAAACACGCTGTTCTTTTATTTCAGTTCTCATGTGCTTTAATGTGGAACTGAAACCACAGGAATGCAGATTACATTCCAAAAGCTGAGGCGGTTCTGATGTGTCTCTTCGTGTCTGTGGTTGTTTGATGTGATGTCAGTCAGTCTTCTGTATCCGAGAGATCAGTCTCTGAGCGTGTTTATGAGGACTGTGAGCCTCCAGGCTGTTAAAGCGTGACAGAACACGTCCAGATTAGTGGGCCGTTCCTGCCCGGACACGGTCACAAGACCTTGTGAAACGTTTCTAAGGCTGCCGAATATTTTTAATATGCATGCGATGACAATATGTGTGCAAAAGGCAACAAACATCAGCATGTATGACATTTAGATCTGTCTCTATTGATCATATTAGTAACAGAGTAATCCATTAATGACTCCAGTAATCAGAATTTTACAAACATGAATTTACGTTTTTTTTTTTTTCTAAATTCCTCCATAATCCAGTGTGTGAGATGTAATCAGAGTGATTCAGGGTGGTTTGGTGTGAAATGGTTCAGATGTCTTTACAGTGGTGGTGATAGGAACCAGGGGTCGCCATGACTACAACACAGATATAGACATTTTATTTACTATCCAGAACCACCAGTGAACCTACACGAGTCTTCTGGGTTTATATGGAATACACTCTTAAAAATGATGGTTCTTCAGTGGTTCTTTAGTAAAGAAAATGGCTCTATATAGAACCATGAACACTCAAAGAACCTTTTCCATGATTAAAGGGTTCTTTGCATTACTAAATGGGTTTTCAGATTGATGGAGACTGTACTAGATGGTTCTGTAAAGCATCTTTTTGAAAAGGGTTCTATATAGCACCAAGGAGGGTTCTGTTATTGTTTATGATGTCAAGCCTGTAACAGTAGAAGAACTGTTTTCAAAAAGGCTCTAAATAGAACTATATAAATCATCTTCTCCATCAATCTGAAGAACGCTGTAATGATGCAAAGAACCCTTTAATCATGGAAAACGTTCTTTGAGTATTAATTTGTCAATTTTTTTTACTAAAGAACCCTTGGACCTTCTTTTTAAGAGTGTATACTATGAAGTTTGTGTCAGAATCTTCTCAAAACTATCATAAAACAGTGTCTCAGTCATCAGGCAGTGAATTCATAACCATTTCATGTAGGAACTTTCTGTGAGGGAGCTTTTAGAGGTGGACGTCTGGTTCCCATCACCACCACTGTGAACAGTTCTGACTCAGTGAGTTTCTCTAGAACAGAGCGTTTCACACCAAACCACTCTGAACAACGGTGGAGTTTCCCTTTAACTGAACATAAACACGCCATGAATTGGCTTTTAAAGATGGCAGAACTTCACTGGAGGAAGGTGTTTAGAATGTAAACGACTTCACATGGTAGCAAGCAGTTGATCTGAGTTTATTGATCTCTGTTGAGTCACGTCAACTTGCTAAATCCTTACCTTTCAGTTTAGATGAAAGTTTTGCATAAACTCAGACTTTAAAACCCTGTAAACACTTCAAAATTGCCCTCCTCCACTTCTTGTCACTATTAATCAATTGAAAATAAGACAATCATCAGAAAACTGACAGCTAATCACTGCTGCTAAGTTCCGTTTTAATCACAGATTGATTTCGGAATATACTCTGCGGCATGAAACAGGAAAAGTAGATGTAAGTCTAATAAAAGCTATTCCTCTGTCGTTTCTTTGTGCAGGAGAAAAGTGCACCTGTTTACTCCGAACCGTCAGCCAGAGATGGAAATCCGTCCAACCAAACCAACGTAAGTGTAACTGTTATAGCTTTCTTTATACTGATGGAGTGTTTATGCCTTTTATTAGTGGTGATAGGAACCAGACGTCCACCTCTAAAAGCTCCCTCACAGAAAGTTCCTACATGAAATGGTTATGAATTCACTGCCTGATGACTGAGACACTGTTTTATGATAGTTTCTGAAAAGGTTTTGGTCTAAAATGTATTGTAATCAATTAATTTTATTCCATTCATGGTGGAGGGATACATGAAGGGTGTTCTAAGGCAAAATAGTGCCCAAAGAGAAATGAAATGAAATTAAAGTTTTTCAGATTTTCCACTATTTTCCATCATCAACATTCCATATAAACTCAGAAGACTCGTGTAGGTTCACTGGTGGTTCTGGATAGTAAATAAAATGTCTATATCTGTGTTGTAGTCATGGCGACCCCTGGTTCCTATCACCACCACTGTAAAGACATCTGAACCATTTCACACCAAACCACTCTGAGTCACTCTGATTACATCTCACACACTGAGTTAATACAGAATTTTTTAAAAACTTGGTGGAGTTCCCCTTTAAGTAAAGAGTATCAGCAGCACGCATTCGTAAAAAAAGTAAGGTTCTAGGGAAGCTTTTAATTCATATCAAACCTGTGTCATTTACAAATATGGTTCTTTAACCCATAAACTCCCAGGCTTATTACATCAGGCTTATTATTCAGCAACTTCATAGAGTTATTCTTCAGCTACAGCAGTGAGGAATGGAAACCTGAACACATCAATGGTTCCTGACAATGTAGGGGTTAAAAGAAAGGTTGATTAAGGGACCAGAAGTGGTTCTTCTATGGCCTCTCTCCAAAGAACACATCTGACACCTTAATATTTAAGAGCGGCGTGTGAATGTTCTCTAAACAACACCCTTCTTCCACGTTTTGTCCTTTAGAGTGGAGTGTTCGGGTGGATTTTCAGGAATCCATTCGGCTCCTCGGCTCAGGTGACCTCCTCCCTCTGAATATGAAAGACTTCTTTCTCTTCTCTCTGCTCTTCTGTTGTTCTTGCACTGTTTATATCATAATTAATGGCAGATGAGTGAATGAAGGGGTCCATGTGTTTCACAGCGGTGATTTTTCCGGTGCTGTGAGTGTACAGTAACTGAAGGGTGTGTGTGTGTGTGGGTGTGTGTGTGTGTGTGTGTGTGTCTGTGTGCGTGTGTCTGTGTGTGTATGTGTGTGTATGTGGGTGTGTGTGTGTCTGCTCTGCAGGAGAGGGAAAAATCAGAGCCGCCTGGAGAGACACACTCAGGATCCGCACAGGTGTGTGTACGCCAGCTTTTACCTGAGATGTAGCCAGAAAAGGGAAACATTACTTTCCTGTTAGTGCTGACAGAATTCAGCGACTTCACTGCTGACAGAATTTACATCTCCTTTCTTCTCTCTGCTCCGTACTGCTGGTATGACCTTGGAAACAGGTGTTGCGTAACTGTGGAATTGAGTGTAGTGTAACCCTGTAGATGGATGTAGTGCAACTATGGAAATGGGTGTAGTGTAACTATATAGAAGTGTAGTGTTACCATGGAAATAGATGTAGTGTTACTATGGAAGTGGGTGTAGCACAACTATGGAAGCAGGTGTATGGTAGGCATGGAGATTAGTGCAGTCTCAGCATGGAAAAAGGTGTAGCATACAGGTGTAACCCTGGAAATGGGTGTAGCACCACTGTGGAAATGGGTGTAATGTAACTATATAAGAGCGTAGTGTTACCATGGAAATGGATGTAGTGTAACCATGGAAATGGATGTAGTGTAACCATGGAAATAGGTGTAGTGTAACCATGGAAATAGGTGTAGTGTAACCATGGAAATGGGTGTAGTGTAACCATGGAAATGGATGTAGTGTAACTATGGAAATGGGGAAGCGTAACCATGGAAATGGGTGTAGTGTAACCATGGAAATGGATGTTGTGTAACTATGGAATTGGGGTAGCGCAACCATGAAAATAGGTGTAGTGTAACCATGGAAATGGATGTAGTGTAACTACAAAAAAGGGGGTAGCACAACTATGGAATGGGGTGTAGTGTAACTATGGAAATGGGGGTAGCACAACCATTGAAACAGGTGTAGTGTAAGCATGGAAATTAGTGTAGTCTAAGCATGTAAATAGATGTAGAGTAACCATGGGAACAGGTCAAAAGTAACCAGGGAAACAAGGTTAGCATAACCATGGAAAGACGCATAAGAGCTACCATGGGAATGAGTGTAGTGTAATCATGAAAACATGTAGCGTAACCTTTGAAGTAGGTGTAGCATAGCCCTGTAAACGGCTGTAGTCCACTGATCCATATATGGCGGTGTAGTTGTAATTCTGAAATCTAGAAAAGAATCTAAAGTTGGATCGGTGGAGGGAGGGTGTAACGCTGGGGTGCTCAGTTCTTGTCCTGGAGATCCACCACCCTGCAGAACTCTTTAAAGCAGGTACAGTGAGTCAGACTATTTCTTTCTCGTTTCTACACATTTACATGTTTAAAGGTGCAGTGTGTAAGATTTAGTGCCATCTAGTGGTGAGGTTGCAGATTGCACCCAGCTGAATCCCCCTCCCTCGCCCCTTCCTTTCCAAGCGTGCAGTAGAACCTACAGTGGCCGTCAGGTTTTCTGCCGTCGTCTGTCCTGATTTCATTTCGCTTCTTCATGTTCTCTCTTCTTTGATGGTGAGGATTCACCCTCTCTCGCTTTTTCTTGTGCTAAATAATAAGTCTGAGCCTCCATTTGTCAAAATTTGGGTTCTCAAGTTTCTCACAACACAAAATGGTCAGCAGCACCAGCAGCTCCACTGATTCTTCTTCTTTCTATGTCTTCCAACCCAAGCTACAGCTCCACCAAATTCAAGCTGCGACTTCTGTGTAAAAACGCGAAAGGCGCCCTCTAGAGTCAGTACTTGGTTTGTCCATTCTGGGCTACTGTAGAAACATGGTGGCGGTTGCCTCTGTTGCAAGAGAAGCTGCTCCCTAAGTAGATATGAAGGGCTCAGTCTAAGATAACGAAAACACAACGACTCATAGTTACAGCTGATTATACAGTGATGAACACATGGTTTTGTTACTATATTCATTTCTGCTAATAGAGCCCCTTAAATCTTACACACTGCACCTTTAAAAACACCAGAACTCTGGATGGAACAGTGTTTAAGCTGAACCCTGTCCACTCTGCTCCCAAAGTATAGATGATGTATTTTTACAGCCTCTTTTTCTTAATCAGGAGTGCGGCTCTGAAGCTGAAGACAGGCCGGCTCCTGCACAGCTCCCAGTATGTAAATTAACTGTACAAATTTAGTCCTGAGAAGTATAGAACTGTAAAGTTAGTATTCAAATACAATCATGTAATTAAATAGATTGTTTGTGTAATTAAGTACATTTACATCAGTGTTGTCAAGTTCAAGTGATTTCCTTTTGTTTGGTGTCAAAAACAGCAAAAAACATGGCAAAAATGTAATCAGTGCCAACAAGACTGTGCACTTCTTCATCAAACTTAAATAATTATAAAATCTTCTACTTACAAACGCAAATGTGGTTTAGATAGAAATTATAGAATCTGCACTTTGAACAAAAAGATCAGAGACCACCCTTCATTTCTTTAATATCCACTCAAAATGGCCATTAAGTGAGAGGAAGAGATATAAAACAAGATTTTGCATAAAGAAGCTGATTAAAGCTACAGAGAAAACGTGTCTCCTAACAACCACCTGGAAGAGCTGGTCGACCCCAAAACTGCCCCCATCAGATAAACAGCACTTAAAGCTTTCATCTCTGAGAGAGAGGAGAAAATCAAGCTGCTTCAGATCTGAAAACATCCACAGGTGTTTCTGTCCATCCTTCCACTGTGAGAAGACGACTCAGCGCTGTGGGTCTGAAAGGATGTGTAGCTGATCAAGAAGAACCTCACTGAGAAAAGGAGACGGACACATCAAACAAAGAAGCTGAACGATGGACTGACCACCCCAGAGTCCAGACCTCAACACCACTGAATGTGTTTGATTACTTCAGAAAATCGTCAACCAGCTTCTAAGACTGAACTTTGGAGGTGTGTCTGCAGATTCTTTGAGGAGCTGAAAGTGAGTCTCCTGAGAAGAATGGAAGCTGGAATAAAGGTGAAGAGTGACTCACTGACTCACACAGCTGAGAGTAGAGTGAGTTGTTGGTTAATTTTGTGGTAAATTTCTGACTTTTTGTGATGCTGAAAAATGAGTAACTCGTACTTTATGGCTGTTTTGACTGGAAATGTGAGCCTGAGACCTGAAAGCGTCTCTAAAGGAGTTCACACTGTTCTCACAGCGATTCTTTCAGGGCTTCTTTTATTTGGCCTGAATTAGAGCAGCGGTCATGTGGGAGTCATGCTGAGGATCTAACAGTGGTGTCTGTGTTCTTGTCAGGTTGACTCAGACTGTAAAACCAAAGCGGATGAGACTCCCCCCGTTCCCCCCGTCCCCCCCAGACCCACCGAGGAGGTACAGAACAGTACAGTACAGCACACTTCCATGTTGTTCAATACCAAATTTTAATAGCAGTCAGTCTAATCAGCGTCAGTGAGCCAGTGAGCATGCTGGGTCTAAAATCTAGCAGAACAGAAAAACAGCTATTAAAAAACAAGGTTCTGCTAACATTGTAATAAATGAGATTAGATTAGATTGGGCTGTACTAGATTAGACTAGACTAGGTTATAATAGACTACATTATATTATACTAGATAAGATTGGATTACATTAGAATGGATTAGATTAGATTGGACTAGACATGACCAGATTAGATTAGATTAGATTAGACTAGATTAGCCTAGACTAGGTTATAAGAGACTATGCTACATTATTTTAGACTATAAAAGATTGGATTACATTACACTAGATTAGATCAGACTGGACTAGACATGACTATATTAGATCAGATTAGATTAGATAGTACTAGATAATCTTTGACTAGGTTATAAGAGACTACACTACATTATTTTGTACTGTACTATATTAGCCTAGATTAAGTTATAAGAGAATATACTACATTATTTTAGACTAGATAAGATTAGATTACATTAGGCTAGATTAGATTAGACTGGACTAGACAAGACTAAATTAGATTAGAATAAACTAGACATGATTAGATTAGATTAGACAAGAATAGATGAGACTAGATGAGATTAGACTAAACATTATTGGACTAGAACAGACTGAACTAGATTTGATTTGAGTAGACTAGAATAGATTATATTAGACTAGACTAGGCTAAAATAGACTAGATTAGATGAGACTGGACTAGATTAGACTAGAGTAGATTATAGTAGATTACGTTAAACTGGACTAGATTAGACTAAACTAGATTATATTAGATTACATTAAACTAGATTAGACTAAATTAGACAAGATTTCACAGTCCATACAGTGCATCAGGGGATTCGGCTTTGAACACACATATTATGGTCAGTGAAGTAAATCTAATGTATTTCACACCTAAGCAGTATTTTTTTAATTTGTAGACTGTCTGAATCACATTCCATATGCATGTTATTAATGTCAGCACTTTTAATTTAGTTTATATTCCATTGCGGTCAGTAAATATACTGTTGTGTGCAAAGGTTCGAGCATCAAATTCCAAGTGACAGTAAGTTACACATCCTCTACAGAGACACACTTCTGCACATGGTCTGTGTCACATTTTATGTTTTATTTTTTCCCAATATGTTAAACTCCGCAAATAAATAGAAATTCAATTTGCAGAAAAATTACCTATTTAATTCTCAGGTTCACAAACTCGCCTGTGCATCAAATCCTCTCTCTATATCTGTGTCTGTGTCTGTGATGATCCAGCTCAGAAATCCAGTTCAGACACTTCCTGAATCTGTAGAGTCGCCCTTTCCATTCCATCTTATCTCGAGATCATACGAGACTCACATCCGGAGTTATGAGCCTATGAAGAGGGGCTGAGATACACGTCATCTGCCTCTCACCGTGTGGAACTGGTGGATTGGTGTGTCCGTCTACATTCTGTGTGAAACTGACAGATGGACACTCAGGAAATCACTAAGGACTGACCATCACGCCGAAAACCCTTCATTCTTCATTCAGTCCACATCGGAGACTCGTGTGAAACGGCGTGCAGAGAGTTTACAGCTGCTGAAGCTGCTGCAGCGGTTTTGGAAAGTAGTGATGAAGATAACGGAGCATTTAGATATGAAACATATGAGGATCATGATATATGAAGAGCCTTTAGAGGAGAGTTTAAGAAGAGAGACACAAGGGTTCAGTGTGTTCTCTGTAGAGGATTTGTTCACTTATTTTCACAATGTTGTTCAAACTTTTGCGTATGACTGTACCCACTTCCAACACTTCTCTCTCATTTCTGTTTCAAGCCACGCCCACTTTGTTTGTTTTTTAAACAAAAGTATAGTTCAGGAAACAATATCTACTGGTAAAAGAAGATGTGTACTGATACTCCTCCTTAGTGATAACATGCAGTAGCTCAGTTATTAACATTTTTGTATTTTTTATGTTTATGTTTTTGCAGGAGCTCAGCAATACCATCTCATACCGTCTCAGTCTACTGAATGCAGCAGAGAGAGGCTGTAATCAGGTACAGCATTGGCTTTACCCTCCAGTCATCTCTTTCATTTCTTTCGGGTATGAGTGGGAATTTATATGTACAGAGAAGTAAAATGGTTCATTCCTTCAGTAAGTTTCAGATAAATGCAGATTTTTAATGCAGATTTATTTTTATTTTTAGTGGGGTTTCACAACCACATGGTTTGAGGCAAGTTGTGAAAACAAATAAGAGAATCCAGGGCCCAGTTCTATTTCACCCCTCACCCCTACCACTCAGCCCTGCCCATCCGTTTTGCGTGTTCTCGTCTAGGGGTCGGGTGTCCCGGTTCTTGTTGAGATGGAGGGGAAGGGTGAAGTGTTAATGGTGGTTTTTCAGAGACTCCAAACAGAGTGATATGAGAAAAAAAGAAAAACTGGCAAGATGGAGAACAAGAGACCAAAGAAACACACAAATGTGAGAATTTTCACTGTTAAAAATTCCGATAACCATCGAATTGTCTTAGTTTAATGTCGTTTCAGTGTATTATGATCCTTTTCTTCATAACAAGCATAAAAAAACGCTAGTAGTATCTGATGTCTCGGTATCTAGCTAGCTAAATTCCCTGTTCCACCTTAAATGGTGCAGCAGTTATCATTAGCATTACAGAACTGCTGCTCCATTTAAGGTGGAACGGGAAAATTGGAACAAGAATCTGGTGAATATCTGACTTCAGCTTCATATCACTGAAGAATTATTGGTGGGTGATAATAAATAATTGCCCCCCTCTTTGAAGATCATATGATTCCCTAAATGTAACTAAAGCCCAGCAGTGAGGAGCTGAACTTTACCCTCCTCTGCTGTCACTGCAGACTGGCAGGGTCTCCTACAGAGCAGCGCTGGTAGCTGTTAATGAAGTGATGCTCTTTTTATTTGAGGGTCCCATTTCAGAGGGAAGATTTCAACCACTACCCTGTAACTCAGCTCCAAGGGGCAACACTCGAAAACAAGGAGCAGGGGTAAAAATAAGAAATGGGTTTGGGCCAAAGTAAGCCTTCATGAACCTTGTAGCTCCAGTGCTAAAACTAAAGAAACAGACTTAAGATACCAGGCATGTCTTGGCTGATCTTGCATTTAGGGTAAAGGGGGCGGGGACAACTGGACAAATTCGATTATTAGTGGAAAATTTTGCTTTACAGTCAAACGACGGTGTTTCTCCCTTTGCAGCAGGAGTGCGGTGGTGAAGGAGTGCAGGAGGAGCGAGAGGATGAGCGGATAAAGAGTGGAGTGACGGAGAGAGAGGAGAACGTATCTGAGGTAAAACTGAACCTGCAGTGTGTTAATGGACACTGTGTACAGTCCTACGCTGTTTCTAACTCGATTGTTTTGGCTGTTTTTACAGGCGGCACCGAAGAAATTAAAGAAGCCCAAACAGCAATCTAAAACTGAAACTGCAGCAGAGGTACACAGACTAACTACTGCAGCAGAGCAGAAACACAGCTACTAAACACACAGATGTTACGTACTGCTAACACTGTAATAGATGAGATTAGATTAGATTAGACTGTACTAGATTAGCCCTGACTAGGTTATAAGAGACGACATTAGATTATTTTAGACTAGATAAAATTAGATTACTTTAGACTAGATTCAATTACACTGGACTAGACAAGACTAGATTAGACTATAAGAGACTACACTACATTATATTAGACTGTACTAGATAAGCCTGGACTAGATTATAGGAGACTACACTACATTATATTAGACTGTACTAGATAAGCCTAGACTAGATTATAAGAGACTACACTACATTAGACTGGATTATAGGAGACTACACTACATTAGACTGGATTATAGGAGACTACACTACATTAGATTAGACTAGGTAAGACTACATTTGACTAGATTGGATTAGACTGGACTGGACTAGACAAGATTAGATTAGATTAGATTAAACTAGACCCGATTAGACTAGATAAGATTGACTAGACTAGACAAGACTACTTTAGATTAGACTAGACTAGACATGATTAGACTAGATTATACATGATTAGACTACAGTAGATTGAACTAGGTTGGTTTGAGTAGACTAGACTAGATTATTCTAGATTATATTAGACTAAACTAGCCTAAAGTAGACTAGATTAGATGAGACTACGCTAGTGTAGGGTAGACTAGATTAGACTAGGCTAGATTACATTAGGTTACATTAAACTAGACTAGATTAAATTAAACTAGATTAAGACTTCACAGTCCATACGTGAGGGGGATTGGCTTTGAACACATACATTGTGGACAGTAAAGTAAATCTAATCCAATGTTACAAATTTCACACCTAAACTGTATTTTTATTGTTTGTTTATTTTGCATTTTCGTTTTCAAATTTATGTATGTATGTTTGTGGTGTGTGTGTGTGTGTGTGTGTGTGTGTGTGTGTGTTGGTGTGTTATCATTATAACTGGTGCACTGGAAGTCTGAGGACCAGGATGTTGTGGCCTGCAGTGACCGCACTGAGGTACAGCAGGTGTTGATGATCTAGTGCTCTGAGCTCCACATGAACAGAGATTATAATAAATAAATAAATATTTACACGTGGCTCATATTTTCACCGTTTATCTCAAGCTGTTTTATACAGCCAACACACTTACATATATCTATTCAGTCTACAGCTGTTTAGCCCCGCCCACTTCAGCCCAGACTGAGGTAAAATACAGGACAGCCAATCAGAACAGAGCTCATTTACATATATCAGTTTTAAAGGCACGGTATCAAAAACAGCCTGTTTTCAGTTCACTGATTCTGTGATACATAAACCAAAGCATTTACTTATATACGCCTATTCAGCCTACAGTAGTTTAGCCCCGCCCACTCACACTGAAGTGTTTCTACCAAGACTGGGGCACAATACAGGACAGCCAATCAGAACAGAGTTCATTTACATACATCGTTTTAAAGGAACAGTAACAAAAAACAGCCTGTTTAATTCTAAGGGATGAAGAGAGGTTAGAAAATGGTCATTTCGAAATGAATTGTGACTGTTTTGGGTTCATATAACTGCACAAATGTTACAGGTGGAGAAAAAATAAAATACAAGACAAATGTGGAGTATAAGCGCTTTAAAACGTGCTATTAATGTTTCTTTGTTTGTTGCATTTGCTTTGTTTTGTTTATATACTGTTTTTGACCTCTTATCTTTCCAGTGTAACTGGTTAAATGTAATGTTTAATTCTGAGAGATAAAGAGAGATTAGAAAATGTCTTGGAGTAATGAATCATGACTGATTTTGGTTCATATAACTATGAAAAAGTTATTAATCAAATGAAAATAATAAAATATATGACAAATGTAGGATGTGAGCCCTTTAGCTTCAAAGAGTAACCTGGTTACCTTGGAATCTTTGACTTCATTGAGCTTTAAATAAGTTAACAGAATATAAACCACATTATTGTTCATTTAACTAAAAACACTAAGGTTACTTATTTGTTTTAAATCAAAACATCAAATCGTTTCTCACAGTGTGCACATCTCTCTCTCTCAGGATGACAGTGAGGAGTGTGTGGAAACAGCCGGAGAGGCTGCGAACCAACAGGAGAGAGACGGCAAGCAGGAGAGCGCTGAGAAAAGCTCGCTGGTACATCAGCAGCGTTTTTTATTATCTTTCCAGATTAGATGGAATGACGAGGCCATGAAACAGCATCAATAATTCTGTTTATGTCCCGTTCGTCTGTTTCTCTACAAAGCCGAAGAAGAAGAACGTGAAGAAGAAGAAGAATCCGTTTATGCCTCATGTGGCACCAAAGGTAGCTGACAAAACTCCATCAGGAGGTTCTGTTGGTCCAGACTTCGCCTCAGTCCCATTTCTCATTTTAACCCCTACCCCTTGTTTTCGAGTGTTGCCCCTTGGAGCTGAGTTACAGGGCAGTGTTTGAAATCTTCCCTCTGAAATGGGACCCTCAAATAAAAAGAGCATCACTTCATTAACAGCTACCAGCGCTGCTCTGTAGGCGACCCTGCCAGTCTGCAGTGACAGCAGAGGAGGGTAAAGTTCAGCTCCTCACTGCTGGGCTTTAGTTACATTTAGGGCATCATATGATCTTCAAAGAGGGGGCAGTTATTTATTATCACCCACCCCTAATTCTTCAGTGATATGAAGCTGAAGTCAGATATTCACCAGATTCTTGTTCGAATTTTCCCGTTCCACCTTAAATGGTGCAGCAGTTACATTCTGGCGCTTCAGGCCTCAGAACTGCTGCACCATTTAAGGTGGAACGGGTAATTAGCATACTAATAGTGATTTTTTAATGCTTGTTATGAAGAAAAGGACCATAATACACTGAAACGACGTTAAACTAAGATAATATAATGGTTATTATAAAAGTCTCTGAAAAACCTCTGTAGTCCTAACACTGCACCCTACCCCTCTATCGCAATAAGAATCGGGACACCCTACCCCAGTTGTGAGGGGTAGGGCTGAGTGGTAGGGGTGAGGGGTGAAATGGGACTGGGCCATAGAATTTCATCGCTGCCTGAACAAAACCTCGTATTTCTCCTTTCAGGAGAAGGAGTAAAACATTATTAACTGATAATGGAAGTTCATTTCTAAGGTCATTTGTTTCTAAGTCTGTTTATTGTGGAACTAAACACAAAGCAAAGGTAGCTGGTGTTTACAAAATATGTTAAAAAACAAACAAAAAACAAAAACAGAGATATGAGATTTTGTCCCGACAGCGATGAGATGGAGTTGATGCACTACACTGGTAAAAATGATAGCTCTTCAAGGATTCTTTAGTAAAGGGAATGGTTCTATTTAGAACCATGAGTTCTATGTAGAACCATTTTCATGCTTACATGGTTCTTCGCATGGTGAAATTGTTGTTACACTGTCAAGCTATTTGGTGCTATACAGAACTATGTTCAAAAGAAGTTCCGTATAGAACCATATGCAGCACATTCTCCATCAATCTGAAGAACGATTTCACCATGCAAAGAACCGATGAAGCATGAAATCTACAGCACATTTACCATTCTTTGAGTGTTTATTGTTCCTTATAGAACCCTTAAAGAGCCATCTGATTAAGAGCGTAGTTTGGAGTTGTGCCTTGGTACCGATGTGACTCCTCACTGCTGTGTAATGCTTTGTCTTTGTGTTGGATTTCAGGGTAAAGCGCTTCAGAAGAGGAGTGGAACCGGAGCTGAACCTGTGGAGGTACCACTGAACTGTCTTTCAGCGTCCAGCGGGAGCTGTACTGACCGAGACAGAGCAACAGTTTCACTTCTCAGTGTAACAGAGACTGAGAACCGAAACAGGACAATAGCTCAATCTAAAACTCATCTAAATCCACAGAGCTGCAGTCACTTCACCCTCAGAGTGTTTATAATAATCAGTGTTTCAGCAGGAGGGGCAAATACTTTTTCACAGCGCTGTAATTAGTCATCTTAGTGTTGAAAATCTGAACACATGGCTTGTGTTGAAATATGAGCTGAAAATGCTCTGTAGATGCTTATCGTGCCTTTAACTCACATCTAAAGGGGAATTCCACCAAGTTTTCTAAATTTCTGTACATTTGAGTGTGTGAGGTGTAAACAGAGGTTCAGAGTGGTTTGGTGTGAAATGGTTCAGATGTCTTTACAGTGGTGGTGATAGGAACCAGGGGTCGCCATGACTACAACACAGATATAGACATTTTATTTACTATCCAGAACCACCAGTGAACCTACACGAGTCTTCTGAGTTTATATGAATGTTGATGATGGAAAATAGTGGAAAATCTGAAATAATAAGTTTTCTTTGGGGACTATTTTGCCTCACAGCGCCCTGCATGTATCCCTCCACCATGAATGGAGTTTAAGTTCTCTAAACTATCATAAAACAGTGTCTCAGTCATCAGGCAGTGAATTCATAACCATTTACTGTAGGAACTTTCTGTGAGGGAGCTTTTAGAGGTGGACGTCTGGTTCCTATCACCACCACTGTGAACAGTTCCGACTCTGTACGTTTATCTAGAACGATGCGTTTCACACCAAACCACTCTGTTTACATCTCTGTTTACTAACCACTTAATTATGCAGAAATTAAAAAAATATTATTACAATTTTTACTAAATATCTAAAAGAATTGATTTTGTCTAATCCTAAACCTGACCCTAACACTAAGCTTAATTTCAACCCAAATCCTAAACCTAAATCCGCACTCCGTTCATGTAGCTTGGTGCTAATCCTAATCCTAATCTTTCACCAGACAGTTAATCATTTTATTATCTGTAGATGATCTATAAGGACAGCCCAAAAGAAATAGGATCAGTAAAGGAATTCACATTGTGCTGGACTTAACTGGACCATAGATGGGTTTAAGAACCAAACACTATTCTAAAATATAACCACACCCACTAAACCACTGCAGAGCACTTTTACTGCATGTTCAGGAGTTCCTGTTGTGCATATTAAGTCATCTCCTGTGACTACTTCTGTCAATATTTGGGGAATTTCTCCCGTTTCCTCTTTTCTCTCTGCTTTTGTTTCTCTTTCTCTTCGGTTTGTGGAAGTCTGTGGCACCACTGTTTACAAAACAACAGCCACAGCAGTATCTGAACGCTTTTCCTCATACAGAACCTGGATGCACAGCTTCCGAGCTCTTGTTTACCCACAACAGGAGCCCTGCTAATATTTAGAATTCACTGAAGTGTTTATTCCATCACCTTCACATTTCATCTGATTACACTCCATCATCACGTCTCTCTCTGATAATGTTGTGTTTACTGAAGCCGCTGAAGTCTTCCTGTCCCTCTGTTCTTCTAGAACGATGTCCAGAAGAAGTCCCTCATGGAGCAGCTGAACGATCTTCGTTTGGAGAGAGCGCACAAGGAGGAAGAGGTTTGTTTTTTTTCCAAAAATAAGTTTTTTACTGTAAGTATGTTTGGTAAAGTCACTCCAGCCAAAATGACAAACGTAACCAGTGCTACACCTGCCTGCTCACCTCGCTCAGTGGTGCTGCAGTGGTGGAGTGAGATTTTCCAGTTTAAAGACAAGGAAAAGCCCTTTCTGATGTATCTTGAAGGTGGGAGGAGCTTTTGAAAAACTATAGACCACTGTAGTCGTGTGGTCGTTCTGTAGTCGGTGCTGCTCTTATGCCCATATTAGGAACTCCAGGTCTGAGCCCCATTTCTCTGTGGGCCAGAATGAATAGGGTTTTTCGAAAAATCGCCTCTATCGCCCCCTGTGTTCAATACAAATGTTCAGAACCTGATACGTTCTGTCCTGTGAACCTTCCTCCGAATATCCCTGGATCCTCCGAATTTCGAGAACTCACTGTTGTATAAAACAAGATGAACAACATATGAAATGCTATTTTCAGGTTGGAATCAATCAATCAATCAGCCAGTCAATCAATCAAACCTTTATTTAACCTCGGAGAACATCAAGGGTGACCCTCATTTGCAGTGTTGCCGAGTTGATACAGGAAAAAGGGATTGATAATATATAAGAACATGTCAAATAATAAAAGTAAATTTAATCAAAAAATGCATCAAATCAGGTAAGTATAAAAAAATTAAACATTAATAATAAAAATACAGTAGAAAATATAAAACAATAATTAAAACGTTGCTAAAATGTAAATGTTCATAAAATCAAATCACACCAAAATAAAATAAAAGGAGAATAAGATCAACAAAGTAAACTAAAAATGAATTAAAATTACTAAAATAATAATAAAATAATCATAATTGAAATAAAAATATGAATAATAATAAATAAACAAACAAATAATTAATAAAATAATTAAAAAATAAGACAATAATAGTAAAAAATCAGGTAAAGCAGTGTGAGGCAGAGTGGAGGTGGTTAGAGAGTCATAGTTTAAAGTGACTGAGTGACCCAGCGAGCTGAGCTCTAGTGTTTCCTGTAGGGAGGGTCCAGCTTGCTGGTGCTCTGGAACTAAAGGCAGATTTTCCCAGTTCCTTTAATCTGGCTCAGATTGGTTTTTATGTTCTGTCACAGGACCTGGAGGGCCTGATGGAGTGGTGGAGCACAGTCACGCGTGAGTCACATGCTGTATTTTAATGCGCCACAAAACACCGAACAACAGCGTTAATGTTATAAATACCCAGAATGAGTAACCGTCACTCTCTTGTGTCGTTCAGAGTGGGAGCAGATGCCGAGAAATGAAGACATGACAGAGAAGGAGGAGGCCAAGTGAGCTCATGGGGTCCCGATGACTGTCGTACTTAAAGGAGACGTTCAGCCGAAAGTCAAATAAGCCGAGACATGGCTGGAGTCTGAAGTGGCTTCTTTAGTTTTGCACTGAAACTGTGAAGATAAAACGGAACCAAAGAACGGACAAAACAGACACGGGTCAAGTTAGAAGCACTGAACCCTTAAAAGGCCAAAGAGTCACAGAATTTATTTACTCTGTTTTCTTGTGATAACGACTTCATTATTAGATCTTACGTTATTAATATCATAATCACAGCGACAGAAGTTGTTTATCTGAAATATCTTATAGCAACATTAGCCTTGTGTTTCCAGTGCAAAACTAGGCCTGTATTTATTTTATAGCCCTAATCTACACAAAATCAAGTCTACTTTAGATTAATTAGGAACTCAACACAGTTTGAAGCAAAGCGTGCGGTTAGCATGATGCTAATCGGTGCAGTATAAGCTTCCATTACTTGTTAGCTACATTATCCTCATAGCTGCAGTGCAAAACTGAATACATACAGGAAGGAAACTTCAGACACCCAGCATGTTTTGGCTCGTTGAATGAATTTGTGGTACAAGGGGAAAACATTTTAATTAGATTTTTGGGCAGATATTAATTTACTTAGCATTCTCCTTCTGCTCCACTCCACCTTCTTTTGTCTATGTTTTTTGGTTGCTCGTCGTTCATAAACAAGTTTAAGCTGCATTAAATGTATTTAAGTAAGGTGCTTTATTAATATTCTGAGCTATTATTATTAGTTTATTATTATTAGTTGAGCGCTGAGTTTGTTCTGTTCTTAGAGCGTTTGCGGTGACGGCGGAGAAGGTGCAGAGGGGCATCCGCGTCTTCAACCAGCTGTTCTCAGAGCGAGCCGAAGGCCTTTGGCAGCACGTCATTGACCTGAGGGCCATTGCTGACGGCCTGGACCGATTCAACTGGAGGACCAAAGTGGCCCAGATCACCGGTGGCTCCACCAGCGCTGTGGGTGGCGTGGCAACCATCACCGGCCTCGCCTTGGCACCGGTTACCATGGGAACATCTCTTATCGTCACGGCAGTGGGCCTGGGGGTGGCGGCTGCCGGTGGCCTGACCTCTGCGTCCGCCGGGATCTCCAACGCGGTCAACAACTCTCAGGACCGCAAGAAGGTGGAGCGGATCGTGGAGGACTACCAGAGCAAGATGGCCGACATCAACAAGTGCATGAAGTTCATCAAGCAGGGCATTGAGAACCTGCGGCAGTTCAATCTGCTGAGGGTGAAGAAGCAGGCCTACAACCGAGACTTCCCAGGCCTCAACGGCGTCTACGAGGATGGCGCCATGGCCAGCAAGGCCGTCCTCATCAACGCCAACGAGATCATGCGGGTGGTGCAGATCGCCAACGTTGCGGGCAGCACGGCGGCCCGAGCGGTCCAGATCGCCAGCATGGCCACCGGCGTGCTCACAGGGCTCTTCGTGGGCATGGACATCTACTTCGTGGCCAAAGACTCGCAGGAGCTCAGGAAAGGAGCCAAGTCGGAATTCGCAGCCAAGATCCGGGAGGTGGCCGACCAGCTGCACGAAGGCTTAGTGGAGCTCAACACCATCCGAGAGGAGCTGCAGTGTTCAGGAACTAATGCTGGAGCCTCCGCTTCCACCTCCACCTCACCTCCACGGAGCACTGAAGGCAACCTGGAGAAAACCAGTCAGTCCTGATTCAGGGGTTGAGATGTAATCAGAGTGATTCAGAGTGGTTTGGTGTGAAATGGTTCAGATGTCTTTACAGTGGTGCTGATAGGAACCAGGGGTCGCCATGACTACAGCACAAATATAGACATTTTATTTACTATCCAGAACCACCAGTGAACCTACACGAGTCTTCTGAGTTTATATGGAATGTTGATGATGGAAAATAGTGGAAAATCTGAAATAATAAGTTTTCTGTGGGGACTATTTTGCCTCACAGCGCCCTGCATGTATCCCTCCACCATGAATGGAGTTTAAGTTCTCTAAACTATCATAAAACAGTGTCTCAGTCATCAGGCAGTGAATTCATAACCATTTCATGTAGGAACTTTCTGTGAGGGAGCTTTTAGAGGCCAGATGTGGGCAGTAACTAATTAAATTTACTTAAGTACATGTACTTAAGTAAAAATATTGATGGATTTGTTCTCTCCTGAGTATTTTCAATCATAATTCTGTTACTTCTATTCCAGTATATCAGTGACTAAAGGAGTCTACTTTTTTAGCCATTCCTATTTACTCACTAATTTACTTTTTTGTGTTTAATTTCATTTTGTTTAGTTGGTGACACCATCTGTGCTGCTTTATCTTTGGCTACATCTTTAGCATTGTCTTTTAGGCCAAAAGAATCTCAGAAAGAGAAGAACAGAGCCAAACAAGCATATGTTCCCTTTGTTGCTGTCGGAACAAAACTTTGAATGTCCAAAATGTAACTTTACAGGAGAAAGAAAAAACAGTTATTGACTTACAGTGGAAGTTAATGAAAAAATATATTTTTCAAAGTAATTATGGACCATTTCCGAAGTTCTCATCATCATGAAACTTTAACACAATGGAAAGGGTGTAACGATGAACTCCCCAGTAGATATTTGGAATCAAGTGCAGGTTTATTGAACACTCAGAAGAAACGTCAGTATTGCCATGCAGGGTCAAGACAATCATAGATCAGGCAAATAATCCAAAAACATGATCCAGAACTCATTAACGATACAAGAAAGCACAGAAGTAAACAAGACAAGGAAAAACAAGGCTCAGAACCGCAGGGTATACCAGAGAATTAGGAGAATTCCCACTCCGTAATGTCTTCTGGGTTTCTTAAACACTAGAGGGCGCTCCCGAGCGAGTCCAAAATGAATGGGTTAATATGGAGAATTTGAGCAAAGTCATAGTTTATAAATGCTTAAACATTTTTAACGTGAAAGAATACATTCATTTCCTGAACACAGAGCAGCAAGATTTTAACACTGCTGTTATATTTTAAGAGCTTTTAAACTCGAGTTATAGGAGTTTAAAACGGCGCCTCATGGACGTTCATGATGTCAGTGAGCATGAACAGCTAATAAGCTGCTCTGCTCGCCAACCAATCAGCACTCAGTAGCAGTAATGCTAACCAATCAGCACTCAGTAGCAGTAATGTTAGTCCTGCTGCTCAAAACCCATTTGCTGTAGAAAAAAGGAAACATACAGGTGAGTTTTCTTTGTTTTTTTTTAGTGAAACTCATCCTTCTACGGTCTAAAATTAAAGGAAAGTTCTGGGCGAAGGCTTAGAAACTATTCTAACTTTTCGTTTTTAGCTGTTTATCTCCATTTGCCTCCGTTCATTGAGCACTCGCTCGTGGGCGCCCTCTGCTGTTTACCAGTCATGTTTTTGATATAACGGGGGAAATAGGAAGTGGCCAGACTCCTCATAAACCGGCTCTGGGTTTACCAAAGACAACAGAACATGGGTAAGAATGCCCCTTAAATACTCTATAAAATGGCCTCTAATGAGAAACAGGCCTCAGCTCTCAGTATCCAAGACTGAGACCTCTGCTGGCGTGGAGTAGGGGTGGGCGGATCGATCCAAATATCGATACTGTCTATACCAAACGTTGGTATCAGATCCATACTATCTTGATGGCATCGATGCTTCTCTAGTAGTCAGATTTAGCATATTGATGATGGATTCACCTCATAAATAATGACACCCTGCTCCCTACATGAAAGTACATAAGCTGCTTTTATAAGTAAAAAGTATTGGTATCGGTTTCCGCCATACTGACCCTGTATTTACTTGGTATTGGATCGATACCAAATTTTGCAGTATCACACACCACTAGCATGGAGGGTAACTGGCAGTACATGTGACAATGGGTAACCGGAGTTTTCAGATTGTTTCAAAGGGTTTTTGCGTGACAGCAATGCTATACTGATACTTTTGTACTTGTACTGAAGTAGTTTTTTGGGAAGGTACTTTTACTTGAGTATGGGTTTAGGCTACAGTGCCCACCTCTGGTAGAGGCATTGAACTCTTCAGTCGTTTAAACATTTCAGTTATTTTAACCGTTTAGACATCTCAGGCTAGTTTTAGTCCTTCTCGTCTGCCTGTGTTATGTAATGTAACTCTTTGCCTGGTCAGTTTATTTTCTTCATAGCTGAAAAAGTGCCTGCATACTTTAATACAGTTAATGTAAATCTCCAAAACTGTACTGGTAGAATATTGAGTTTATTTATATTCATACGTAGATCTGTTTTTATGAACACTTTAGTCTACTATACACTATAAAGGATGGTTCTTCAAGGGTTCTTTAGTAAGGAAAATGGTTCTATATAGAACCATGAACGCTCAAAGAACCCTTTGCATGATTAAACGGTTCTTTACATGGTGTAATGGTTCTTAAGATTGATGGAGAATGTGTTGTAGATGGTTCTATATAGCACCTTTCTGAAAATGGTTCTATATACCACCCAAAAGCGTTCTTCAGTTGTTACAAGCTTGACATCATACACACTTTAAAAACATGGTTCTTTAAGGGTCTTTAGTAAAGAAAATGGTTCTGTATAGAACCAAGAACCCTCTTTGCATGGTGAAATGGTTCTTCAGATTGGTGGAGAATGTGCTGTAGTTCTATATAGAACTTTCTGAAAATAGATCTGTATAGCACCCAAAAGGGTTCTTCAGTTGTTATAATGTCAAGCTTGTAACAATACAAGAACCCTTTGGGTGCTATATAGAACCCTTATAGAACCATATTCATGCTTATTTTCCATCAATCTGAAGAACCGTTTCACCATGCAAAGAAACATTTATTCATCCAAAGGGTTCTTTGAGTGTTCATGGTTCATACAGGACCATTTTCTTTACTGAAGAACCCTTGAAGAACCATCTTTTTTAAGAGCCTGATTTTCCAGCCATGTGAAACAGAGTTAATGTATTCTAACTACGCTGAAGTTATTCAGTTCTATGGATGATGTATTTTAATATCTAGACTGCTGTGTGAAGAGCCTCAGGCTGTTCTCCAGTGGAACAGTTTTAATGTTCTCCGACGACACACCCAGTTCAGGTCAAGAAGGGTTTAATGATTGACTGATGATGTGAGGCGAGATAGAGTGGAAAAAAACACAGAAAGGTGCCGTAAGGACGGGAAAAACAACGTGAGCTGGAAAAAGTTTATCTTGTTACATTTGTTACATTTCATTGATTGAATATGTATCTGATCATTTTCATCTGTTTCTCTTTGACGGTTTACATCTAATTCAGCAATGAATTAAACTGTCTTTCATCTGAACCCATTTTTGTGAATCATTTTGTCATGTAACTGGAAGTAGCTGGTTTCATGTTTGATTCTGTGGCCCAGATTCAGTTTGATTGGTGATATTTTATGTTTAAAGTATTTTAATTGTGCACAGGATGTTGAGTGCTCGGTTAACTGTTCACCTGGCCAGCATTCAGTCACTGAAATTTACTGTTGAGTCTGTTTACACTCAATAATCCGATCAAAATCAGATTTCTGCAGTTATCTGATTATTCAAATGGCCATGTAAACAGCAAACCCTGATTTCTTAGATCGATAGTAAGGTCTCAAACTCTCACTAACAAATCCGATAAATAGGCTGGATTTTAGCTCAGTAATCAGATTCCTCAGTGCATGTAAACTCATAATAACACAATGAGCACATATACACAACTTAAACTAAGAACCAACAATAAACAACACAAATAAGAATGGAGGGGGTGCGCTACCATGAGCCTTTGTGTGTGGTTATCCACGCCTCCAGAGCATCAGGCGCCAGCCAGCAGCAGAATGCTGCAATACTTTAATACAACAAAAGTCCTTTAGCATGAGCGCTTTGCCAAGGCCAGTGTAATTTGCCAAAATTCTACTCTCTCAATGTAAACTGAGCAGCCCTAATCTTGGTTTAAGTGTACATAAGCAGGGCCCTCACCAATCACGAGATTGATGTGGTTCTTCTTGCCCACAAAGCTTTAACAAAACTGTTTCCTACACACCTTCTCTGTGTTTGAGTTGGAGAAACCTAAAGAAAAGAAAGCTAACTACCAAGCGAACAGTAACCACCAAGCAGAAACCACCAAACGAAGCAAACCACCAAGCGAAAGCTAACCACCAAGTAAAAATCACCAAACGAAGCAAACCACCAAGCGAAAGCTAACTACCAAGCAAACAGTAACCACCGAGCAAAAACCACCAAACGAAGCAAACCACCAAGCAAAAGCTAACTACCAAGCAAAAACCACCAAACGAAGCAAACCACCAAACCAAAGCTAACCACCAAGCTCTGGACTGAGGGCAGACAATCAAGTGTACTCATTAGAGTATTAGGCCACGCCCACATAGTTCTCAGCAGGTTTTAAGTTGTATAATATTTCTGTGTTGTTGTTTTTTTCATTTACACTTTACGTGACGTTTGATAAAACACATTTGCTCATTTCTTTGAAAGACTGAGAAGCTGAAGGTGCCTTTTTTTAAAGGGTTAATAACAATTTTATTTAATAATAACATGATTTACGCTGGCAGTGCTGTAGAAAAGCATGTGCTGTTCTCCTTCATGGCCACATGTCTGGAGCTGAAGTGGCATAAAAGGTGAAAATGAGTGTGTGAGTGCAAAATACACACACACACACACTTACACACACACACACACACACACACACACACACACTTACACACACACACACACACACACACACACACTTACACACACTCACACACACACACAGTAGACATACTCTTATCTACAGACTCCTCAGGAGAGAACAAGCTGAGAGACGCATCATCACCACACCATGAGAGAGTGAGATAATCCGTGGAGGTGAGGAAACGTGTGTTAAAGCGTCCAGTTATGGAGCCCAGTTTCATAAAGCTTCTTCACTACATCTACACAGTGTTTTTTAAGAATAAATAATCCAGTTTTGTTGCAGATAAATGTATGAAATCATTCTTATTCACTAGACATAAACCTCACAGAATAAAACTAACATTCAGACTGAAGATCTAATAAAATCAATATACAGAATGGAGTTTTAATAGAATTACTATGTAGAATGAAGTTCTTATAATGAAATGATAACCAAATTCATGTCTAGAATGACATTCTAATAAATTAATATCCAGAGTGAATTTCTGATAAAATTAGCATCCAGAATGAATATCCAGAGTAAATGATTTAGATTCCCTAAATAAACAGTGAAAAGCTAAACAGTACCTGCGCTTTTCTCTGAAATGCCTGTATAAAAGACTGTTTGTTCGCTACTGGCGAAATTCATTCCACTCTCTCTGCTAATGTTGCTTTTAGGCAACAAACATATTTCAACGTTTTCTCATAACATAAAAATCATTTATATAAGACCCAATATTACAACAATAACCTTCACACTTTAACAGATGAAAAACAAACGCTCAATATGAAATACATATTAATAACCCTTTAATTTTTATTAAATGTGTAAGCGAGGACAATGGGTTTGTTACCCAAGACCAGCGTTGGTCACCTCTGAATCAGAACACCAGCACCATCTAGTGGACATTAAGGTAATTTACTATGTGGGTGACAAAATGTCACAAAATCTGATATTGTATCACGATAGTGTGGAGTCGTGTCATCGTCATATAGTTCATCAGGGAATCAGGTCTGCAGACGCCAAAGCTATAATGGACCATAATGACTGGGGACTTAGAATGTGCAGGGTGCTAGACTGAAACCTCTGTCCCAGCTTCAGTTATCACCCCTAAATCTGGACCAGGGTGCCCAAACCTTTGGTCTCGTGGATCCAAAGCGCGGTGATCATGATGGACAAAACAATATACTAAATAAAGATTGTAGGTAGGTTTCAAATAGTTTTTATTTCATAACATCACTCTATATTTTGTTAGTGATGTACTTCAAAAGTAAAAGTTTAGACAGAAAGTGTGATTTATTACAGTATGGAAATATCGCTGCTGTACCAGTAACTTTACAGGAGAAGAAAAAAGGGTCTAAACTCTAAATGGAAGTAATGTTTTAAGTACTTTTGGAGCATGTGTCTAAAGAATTGCTTTAATTCGGCCGCACTGGAGGGAGGAGTTGTGGGAGGGGCTTTAGAGCATTTAAGGTCCTAGTGAAGCTAAATCTGGTTAATTGAGTAACTAAGGGGGGTGATTACTTTTTCACACCAGGCCAGGTGATGTTGGATAACTTTTTCCCTTCAATAAATAAAATAATGTAAAAACTGCATCTTGTGTTTACTCAGGTTTCAGCGATTGCGTGACAAATATGCAAAAATAGAAGAAATGAAGGGGGCGAATGATTAACCTTACTTCTTGTCCTCAGGTGCATCCTGTGGGGGCTGGAGGGAACACACCCCCCAAAAAATGAAATACAAGGTGATTACTGTTACACTTATTTTGAAGTACAATATTACTACTACTACTACTAATAATAATAGTAAGAAGACTTAGGCCCAGTCCCATTTCACCCCTCACCCCTACCACTCAGCCATACCCCTCTGTTTTGTGTGTTCACATCTAATCTCACATTTTAATCTCAACCCTATCTTGTTGAGGTGTAGGGTGACGTGTTGGGACTACATGACCCTCCAAACGGAGGTTTTTCAGAGACTCCAAACAGAGTGATATGAGACAAAAAGAAAAACCAGCAAGACGGAGCACAAGAGACCAAACAAATCCACAAATGTGAGAATTTTCTCTGTTAAAAATGACAAAAACCATCATATTATCTTAGTTTAATGTTGTTTCTGTAAGGGTTCAGCCGGCCCCGCCTGCTGCCAGCAGAGGGCGACGGCGGCATGGGGCCATAGCTTCAGGGAACTCCAATTCCCAGAAGCCCACGGGCTGATTAGGCCCAACGCGACACACAAAGGCACACCTTTGTAGAGACGTGACTGGTATGGTACTTAGTGTCAGAGAAGAGAAGAGAAGAGAAGAGAAGAGAAGAGAAGAGAAGAGAAGAGAAGAGAAGAGAAGAGAAGAGAAGAGAAGAGAAGAGAAGAGAAGAGAAGAGAAGAGAATATCTGACTTCAGCTTGATATCACTGAAGAATTAGTGGTGGGTGATAATAAATGTTTACCCCCCTCTTTGTTACCAGTGCTTACAGCAGCATTAAGCACGATAATGTAAACATTAACAAGTAAACTTTTGTGCAACTAACCTAAAGATTCTTAACATAAACCATCATTAAACCTTTCTGCTGCACTCCAAACGGTTCTTCAAGAGTTCTTTAGTGAAGAAAATGGTTCTATATAGAACACAATGTTTAACTGATATAACAAAGCAACTCTTCTGGTTTCTCATTGGGGTATTTAAATTCTATTCATTTGAAACATTCAGAATATTCATATGCAGAAATGGGTAAAATGCCCATTAGACCTCGGCGACAGGTAATCAGATATTGGCAATGACTGACAAATAGCCTTATAGAGAAGCTTCAAACATGATGATCTGAGCTGATCTGGAGAGGACTAATTTCACATTAAATGAAATGCATTTTTCGTACAGCTCTAGTGTTCCCACTAGCACCCAAGTCACTTTTGTGTGTATCGTTTAAAGGGAAGAAAAAGCTGAAACCCACACCAGCAGGAGCTCATGAAATCAAAGGTTAAATAGTGTATTAGCAAAAAATGTTGAGTTAGTATTATATCAGTATTAGTATGAGTCAGTATTATATCATCATAGAATTTCATTTAATCAGTAAATGCTAAAAAGACGAGCTAAAGAAAGTATAGAATGTAGGTCTGAGCTGTAGTGGGCAGTTTAAGTGTGAGTAACTTCTGTTTATCAGTCCAACACAATAGCAGCATTCATGTTTAAAGATAGGATAACCCAACGTGTTAAACGTGCACTGTCCACATGGTGGAGAAAGGAACATTTATTAATACTGTTTGTTACTGGAAGATGTTCGTTCTGTAATAGAGAATATTTTCAAAAAAGATTTTTGATGACCCCAGGTCTATATCTTCTTTACAGTAATATAGATAATATCTTTGGCCATGATTCAAAGAATCTGTTTATATTGTTGCTTTTTCTAACCACAGAATATATTTTTACTTTTGTGTATCTCCAGTGTACCTGTGAAGACGTGGTCCTTCTAAATACTTTCTTTGGACAAATTAACATATTCCCTCAGACAAAACTGCCACATTTTGGAAAATCTGGACCCTTGTCTGTACCTACGTTAATAATCTCAGACCTGAAGATGTTCTGACCTGAGAACTTTAAAAATGTAAACTAAATAAATAAATAAATAGATCATTTTTGTTCTTTACTAATTGATATTTCTGTAGGAAGAGAACATCTCTGATGGACATGATTGCAGGCTGGAAGCATGGAGTGAGCTCTGTGAAGAAAGCTCGTGTTCTGCTCGTTGGTCCTGTTGGAGCTGGGAAGTCCAGCTTCTTCAACTCCATTAGCTCTATCTTCAAGGGCTACGTGTCCAGCCAGGCCAACACGGGCTGTGCAGGCACCAGTCTGACCACACAGGTACTGGACGCTTAACCTATTGACTTTCTGTTCAGTTATCTACCATAACATTTGTGGCACTTGTATCTACTTCTCAAACGTCTCCATATAGTGCAAATTATTATGTGCACTGTTATTGTTCATTTAAGTGCTCAGTGAAGTGGTGGGTCTGTGGTTTGATGTTTGTCTTTGTCTCATATGTTTAATTTGGTTCTCTTTATTTACTATTAGGACTGAAGTTTTAGGTCCGATTTATGTAGAAATATTGAAAATTCTAAAGGGTTCACAAACTTTCAAGCACCACTGTATGTGAGATGCGTTCCTGCTTGGTTTAATTTTGTGGACAGAACGGTGGGTCACTTCTAGTCTTCATAACTTCAGAACGGTTTAAGATACAAACATGATCCATGTATCAGGACATTCAGCAGACCCGCCTCTAACGAGCAAGCATGACACCATCAAGCTGTGACGTCAGCATCAGTGAGTAATTCGGCTCGGAAAATCACCCAAAATCCTGATATTATTGCTCTGCTGTTTGGCCTTCATATTCCAACAAAGGGTTAAAACAGCAACACGATTCACACATCAGATCATCATCAGACTCTGCCTCACCATCCAGAGTGACTTCATCCACCTGTGATCGTCCATCAGCCAGAGATCAGCTCCAAAATCACCCACAACCCACTCACTACTGTTATATTACATCTCTGCTTTTAGCCTTCATATTATAAACAAAGGGCTTTCAGTCCACATTGATTATGAGTATTAAAAATATCTGATATTAAATATGCAACTCAGAGTTTTAGCAGCCTGAATCCAAGAGGACAGAAAATCAATAAAAAACATGTCCACCTTATGCTTATTATTTATTTTTACTCATAATAACTAATAGAATGAATCAGCATCAAAATTATTGCACTTCCAGCTCACAGAAACTCCAGACTAACAGTGTCTGAAAAGATAACTACAACTGCACCTGTTTTCAGGATCTCTCTAATTAAAAAATTACGAAATTTACCAGGCACTAGGTCCATTTTTGATCAGAAATGACCCAAATTTATTAAAATATCAAATTTCTGTCAGCATTTACATGTCAAACTATGGCATATCTGAGCAGCCCAGGGTCTCCTGAACATAACAGCATATGGCCTGTGTGACTGTCTCATGTAAATACTTTATAATCGCAATTGACCCAAAAAATACCAAAAAATTCCCTGAATTTTTAGGTTTCTCAGGGGCAAATGAAAATGTGCAGCCACACTGGCCCTGTGTGTACAAGATTAATGACCCTGTTATATCTCGTCCAAACTTAAACCACACCTGAAACATCTAATTAGAATTTTACACACCAAGCATCACCAAGACAGCCGAGCTATCAGAAGTCTGTTACTGAGCAAAAGATGAATCCAAACCAAATAAAACAAGCACAGAAGGTATGTAAAAATATTTAGAATGACTTAATGACTGTTTGTGTTGTAGTTCCGCACCTACTCCATAAAGGCCGGCGGTGGCGGTAAGCTTCTCCCAATCACTCTGTGTGACACTATGGGCCTGGAAGAGGGTTTAAACGCTGGACTGGACATCGACGACTTCACGAGCATTTTGAAAGGCCACATTCAAGACAAGTATCAGGTGAGGTCCCTCAGCGCAGTTGCTGGACTTTATTTGAATGTCTTCTATGCTGAATTACAAAGCAGTCTAAGATCTTTAATTCATGTAACATATGAGAACTATAGGCCCAGTCCCATTTCACCCCTCGCCCCTACCACTCAGCCCTACCCCTCCATTTTGCGTGTTCACATCTAGGGGTAGGGTGTCCTGATTCTTGTTGAGATAGAGGGGGAGGGTGAAGTGTTGAGCCTACATGACCCTCCAAACGTAGGTTTTTCAGAGGCTCCAATCAGAGAGTTATGAGAAAAAAAGAAAAACCGGCCAAGATGGAGAACAAGAGACCAAAGAAACACACAAATGTGAGAATTTTCACTGTTAAAAAATTATGATAATCATTGAATTATCTTAGTTTAATGTCCTTTCAGTGTATTATGGTTGTTTCTTCCTAATAAGCATAAACAGTAGTTAGCAGTATGTTCATGTCTCATGTTCTAGCTAAATATCCCGTTCCACCTTAAATAGTCCAGCAGTTCTGAGGCCTGAAGGGCCAGAATGTAACTGCTGCTCCATTTAAGGTGGAACGGGGAAATTCGAACAAGAATCTGGTGAATATCTGACTTCAGCTTCATATCACTGAAGAATTAGGGGTGGGTGATAATAAATAATTGCCCCCTCTTTGAAGATCATATGATGTCCTAAATGTAACTAAAGCCCAGCAGTGAGGAGCTGAACTTTACCCTCCTCTGCTGTCACTGCAGACTGGCAGGGTCTCCTACAGAGCAGTGCTGGTAGCTGTTAATGAAGTGATGCTCTTTTTATTTGAGGGTCTCATTTCAGAGGGAAGATTTCAGCCACTACCCTGTAACTCAGTTCTGAGGGGCAACTCTCAAAAACGAGGGGTAGGGGTAAATATAAGAAACGGGACTGGGCCTTAATGCACAAGATGAACACAGCAAAGTTTTCCTGCGTTTTTGAAAGTCTGAGGTCAGGAATTCATGAAACTGTTGGTTGTGATGACTGTATTTGTACTTGTCTGTATAAATATTGTACTTTTTGCATTTTTCCCTCAGCTGAACCCATCAATGCCTCTACAACCAGAATCTCCTTCATTCTGCAAGGAGCCCAGCCTGAAGGACAAGATCCACACCGTGGTTTACGTGATGGACGCATGCAGAGTCAAACTCCTCTCTGATAAAATGATTGAGAAGCTGGCGGCTTTCCGCAGAAAGACCAACCAGATGGGTAAATAACAGCATCACGTACGTTTGCTGGATGGTGTGGCCCAGAGTATGGGTACCTTTTAACAGCCCTGGTTCCTCTCAGTGGTTCTTCCTCATGTTCTTAGGGAGTTTCTCCTTTTGAGTCTTGGTTCCTTTCAGTGGTTCTTCCTCATGTTCTTAGTGAGTTCTATGTCTTGAGTCCTGTTTCCTCTCAGGAGTTCTTTCTCATGCTCTTAGAACATTTTTCCTTTTGAGTTCTGGTTCTTCTAAGTGGTTCTTCCTCATATCTTAGGGAGTTTCTCCTTTTGAGTCTTGGTTCCTCTCTGTGGTTCTTTCTCATGCTCTTGGGAAGTTCTATATTTTGAGTCTAGGTTCCTCTCAGTGGTCCTTTCTGATGCTCTTAGGGAGTTTTTGTGCTTTTGACTCTTGGTTCCTCACAGTGATCTTCTTCATACTGTTAGAAATACACTCATCATTTTATGTGTGTTATGCACTGACCTCCAAAATTGCTAATGGTATATATTCCATATTAAACTGAGCATAATTTGGGACATGCTCATTGCTGTCCAAATAACAAACACTCTCCAGATCACCCAGAAGCAATAGTGTATGTAATGTTCTGTTCTGCCTGTTCTCCAGGGGTTCCACAGCTGGTGCTGCTAACCAAGGTTGATGAGGCTTGTTCTTCTGTGGCAGTCGACCTGAAGAGCGTCTATCAAAGTCACTACATCCACAAAATGGTGAGATTTAGCTGCTGAATGGTGGCTTGGAAACCCATAATGGGATTTTTCCCTGTGAAAGTACGTACGCAAGTACAACAGAACCTGAAACGTAGGTTCTCTTGTTTCAGATGCAGGAAGTCAGCACCAGTCTGGGAGTCTCCCTCTCTGCCGTGATTCCAGTCAAGAACTACAGCCAAGACCTGGAACTGGATCCTAGAACCGACATCCTGCTCCTGAATGCAGTTGTTCAGATGCTCAGAACCACCGAGAGCTTTTTTGATGATCTTTACCAAGAGGACGAGTAGAACCCAGAACCTAGATCATCTTAAAGTTCAATTCCACTGATTTTTCGAAATGTCTGCATATTCAATCATTTAGGTGTACATTTGGTGTGAAATGGTTCAGATGTCTTTACAGTGGGGGTGATAGGAACCAGAGGTCGCCATGACTACAACACAAATATAGACATTTTATTTACTATCCAGAACCACCAGTGAACCTACACGAGTCTTCTGAGTTTATATGGAATGTTGATGATGGAAAATAGTGGAAAATCTGAAATAATAAGTTTTCTTTGGGGACTATTTTGCCTCACAGCGCCCTGCATGTATCCCTCCACCATGAATGGAGTTTAAGTTCTCCAAACTATCATAAAACAGTGTCTCAGTCATCAGGCAGTGAATTCATAACCATTTACTGTAGGAACTTTCTGTGAGGGAGCTTTCAGAGGTGGACGTCTGGTTCCTATCACCACCACTGTGAACAATTCTGACTAGAATTTCTCTAGAACGCAGCGTTTCACACCAAACCACTCTGAACCTCTCTGAACCGCTCTGTTTACATCTCAACTGTTTAATTACGCAAAAGTCTTGAAACGTTGGTGGAATTGCCTTTCAATAGACAGATTTGGTTGGCAATGATCTTTTAATACAAGTTGCCATATTACTGTGTCATATTGTTGTTTCTATTTTGAAATATAGTAGGTAGTAGTTTTGATTGGGTTTTAACTAGTTTTCTCTCTCTCTCTCTCTCTGGACTATGTTAAGCTGTAAGTCTGCACTTTTTCTAAGTCACATCTTGACTCCTTCATTTCAAACCCACTGTGGCCGTGTATGAAGGAGACATTTTGTTACAAAAAATTGTCACTGTCAATTGTTATTGACCTGATTGATTCAAATCACTTTACTGATGTTGTAGTGAATTTGGTCATTTCTCTGAATGACTGTGAGAAGCTAATAACAATAATATAAAATAATAATAAAATATAATAACATGGTGTACTGGCCTTGGTGACCACATGTCCGTAACTGAAGTGGCAACTTTTTAAAAAGTGAAAATGAGTCCGCACACACACACACACACAACACACAACACACACACACACACACACACACAACACACACACATACACACACACATACACACACAACACACAACACACACACATACACATACACACACACAACACACAACACACACACATACACACACACACAACACACAACACACACACATACACATACACACACACACAACACACAACACACACACATACACACACACAACACACAACACACACACATACACACACACACAACACACAACACACACACATACACACACACAACACACACACATACACATACACACACACAACACACACACACATACACATACACACACACACAACACACAACACACACACATACACATACACACACACATACACATACACAAACACAACACACACACATACACATACACACACACAACACACACACACATACACATACACACACACACAACACACAACACACACACATACACACACACAACACACAACACACACACAGACACATACACACACACAACACACACACATACATATATATACATATACATATATATACATACACACACACACACAGACACATACACACACACAACACACACACATACACAGTGTTAATGTTAAGCTCTAATGTAAGTCACATGTGTATGTGTGTGTGTTGTGTGTGTGTATGTGTCTGTGTGTGTGTGTGTATGTATATATATGTATATGTATATATATGTATATATATGTATGTATGTATGTATGTATGTATAGCATCCAGAATGAAGCTGTGATTAAAAAAAGAATGCCAATTTCTGCTAGCACCCCTGTTAGCGCTAAACTATCTGCGAATTCTCATGAACATGTTTTGGTTTTTGTAGATCAATACAGACATTTCAAGCTTGCAACATATGTTAACATATATCAGTTTTACAGTGACTCTTTCAGTAAAGAGTTCTGGCGTACACTCTTTAGAAAAGATGGTTCTTCAAGGGTACCTTAGTAAAGAAAATGAACCATGAACACTCAAAGAACACTTTGCATGATTAAAGGGTTCTTTTAGATATATCAGAACTATTTACCTCCCAACGGTTACAAACGCAACATCGTAACAATAGAAGAACCCTTTTGAGTGCTACATAGAACCATTTTCAAGAAGGTTCTATATAGAATCATCTAAAACACATCTAAAGTCTCCATCAATCTGAAGAACAATTTCACCCTGCGAAGGGTTCTTTGAGTGTTCATGGTTCTATATAGAACCATTTTCTTTACTAGAACTAACTTTTTTAAGAGTGTTGAGCTGTCACCGCTGTTTTCCATTGCTGACAGCTACCTGGAACACTGCTTGGACTCCGTCAGTCAGTGACGTGTCTATCATGATTGGTTGGTTCCATTGTCAATTCCTAATTATGGTATAAGTGAAGTCCTAACCAGTGGGACAGCTCGCTTGCTGTATCTACCCAGAAACCACAGAAATATTCTGTTGGGCATTTCAAGAATTCTTTTGTTTTCAAACAAAACTTCATACTGAAATGAAGGTAGTACTGCTGTACTTTCAGAGATTAAATAAAAACATGATTATATTCAATAAAAATGAACTAAAACTTAAAAACATCATTAAAACAACAGAAATCATTGCACTTCTCCCAGCAGTCTTCTAGGCCTTGAGAGAATGAAGCCTGAGGGTATTTAAAGACATAAACTGTGTTGGTCACCAGAATTAGAGCACCAGCACCTTCTAGTGGACAATAACTGTACATTCAGGTAATTTACCTGTTCACTACATGGACAAAAATATGATGAACAAATATGATGAAAAATGAAAAACACTGATGGTGTGTGGAGTGTCATGTTATTGCAGAACTATAATGGAGTAAATATGGACTGGCTGAGGGTCAGCAGGTACTAGATTGAGAACATCTGTCCTAGCAACAGTAATTAACCCTAAATCTGGACCAGAATGTCCAAACTTTTTGTCTTGGGGAGCCGAAGTGTAGTGGTTGTGGTTATGGTGGGCCGAGGGCCACAGAGACGAACTAGTATACATGTATTTCATGTCTTTACACTGTCTCTTGTTATTAAAACACTAAGGAAATCAAATTGTAGATGAAACGAATTATACTGGGCGTCCCAAAAAATTGGCATCACTTCGTAGTCTAATAACAGCCAATTCTCTTTTACACACAAAGTGTGTAAAAACAATTAAAACAGTTTAATTTTTAATGTTTTTTTTTTTTTTCAGGTTGAAGAACGGCGTTCACTAGAAATGAAAAGGCATTGTGTGTGTTAGAATCTGCTCAAACACAGTCAAGCGAGAGTGTGCAGTGGCATTTTCGAGAAAATTCAATAAAAATGCACCAAACGGACAGCAGATCTGGACATGGCACAAAAAATTCAACACAGCGGGTTTGGCAGGAGGTGGACTACCGACTGGACGTGTGTCGTGTCACAGCTGGTGCGCATATTAAACATTTGTGAAGCTGTGAAATCGGTTATTAAATCTCTGAATTTCTTGTTGGAATTTTGATAAATAAATCTTGTTTTGTTCAACAAGAAGCCTATTTAATTTTGTTTGCCAGGACATGTAGATACTCAGATACTCACATCTCAAATGATGAGAACATAGTGTCCTGGAAACATAGGGCTCTAGGAACATAGGCTCCAGGCACCATATGCATCTGGTTAGACAGAGGCCTAGAAGCATATGGCCCTGGGGGCACCGGGCTTTGGAACATAGGTACACTACCAACGTATGTTAATTGCTTGTATTTTCACAAGAAGCTGTCCTTCTGCCTGGAAACATAAGAGCAGAAATCAAGGTTAATTTTTGTCTTGAGGGCACGTAATCTGAGAGGAGAAGAACACGCCCTGGGAACATTTGAACGCTTCCAACAAACATAAACCGCATGTATTTGCATAAGAAGCTGTCCAACGCCTGCTATTAAGAGGAGATATCAGGTTGGTTTAGCTGTTATCTTCAGGGAACATAAACCGTGAAGAGAAGAACAGAGGGCCCTGTCAACACTGGTACGCTTCCAGCAAAGGTTAACTGATTGTATTTTCATAATAAGCTGCCTAACTTCTTCCTGGACAGGTAAGAGCACACTAAACCAGTCTGAACCACTTTGTTCACAACTTAACCAGTCAATTCTGCAAAAATCTTAAAACACTGGTGGAGTTTTCCTGTATTTTCTCTTGTATTTGTTTTTAAGGCTCTAGATGTCTTTGAAGCACCTGCACATCTCACAGAATGTCTATTACACATGTGAAGTGTCTAAGAACCAGATGTGATCACAAGTAAAACACGTAACATCATGTGAGTAATGATGTTTGTGTAATAACCCTGAAACGACACAAGAGCACACATCATAAAGATATTTCACATGTAAATGAAAAACAATATGAGATGTCAAACCTGTTAAACTACTGTAAGAAAATGGCTCATTATGAACTCTGAGTCAGGCTCAGAATTTCTCTAGATTTATATACATTTAATAAAAATGACTGTATTCATAGTTGTTGATTGGTATTTTTTTTAATGTGGCTCAAAATATGTATTCTCAAAATGTACATGTGAGAATGAAAGGTTTTATAGGTACAGCAGCCGGACAGGAGGCAGCAATAGTGGATAAGTTAAAATAAAATAGAACAACATGAAATAAGAATCAAGTATGAAAACAATCTCAAGTACCACAACAGTTCTTATGTACAACTGTTCATGAGTGTAAGATGTGAAAAAAGAAACATTTCTGGCTGTTTTCTGGTTGTTTTAACCCACATTTGGCTGAAGCACCTGTTGAGCTCCATGTTGTTGGGGCTGCTCTAGCAGACCAGCTGTTCAACCACCCATCTGTAAGCATGCCCTGGAAGCATACGCTTCTGCGAACATAGGGTCTCGGGAACCGAGGCTCCTGGGAACAGGGATCCTGGGAACATACGGCCCAGGGAACATAGGGTCTTAGGTAAATAGGGGCCTAGAAGCATATAGTCTTGGGGGCATACGGTTCTGGAAATACATGGACCTGGGAACAAAGGTCCAGGTTCCTCCAAATCAAACTGCCCATATTTTTCCTAAGAAGCTGTCCAAGTTCTGCCTGGAAAGGTAAGATCAGAAATCAAGTTGGGCTGATTTATTGAGGGTACATGAACAGACAGAAGAACACATGGCCCTTGAAGTATAGTTTCCTGAGAATATTGGTACGCCTTCAACAAACATAAACTGCATGTATTTTCATAAGAAGCTGTCCAACGCCTGCTTTAAATAGCAGATATCAGGTTGGTTTAGCTGTTATCTTGAGGAAACATAAACCGTTCACATCTTAACCAGTCAATTCTGCAAAAATCTTAAAACACTGGTGGAGTTTTCCTGTATTTTCTCTTGTATTTGTTTTTTAAGGCTCTAGACTTCTTTGAAGCACCTGCACATCTCACAGAATGTCTATTACCATTAATGTCTAAGAACCAGATGTGATCACAAGTAAAACACATAACGTCATGTGAGTAATGATGTTTGTGTAATAACCCTGAAACGACACAAGATCACACTTTTTTCACATCATCACAAAGATATTTTACATGTAAATGAAAAACAATATGAGATGTCAAACCTGTTAAACTACTATAAGAAAATGGCTTATAATGAACTCTGAGTCAGGCTCAGAATTTCTCTAGATTTATATACATTTAATAAAAATGACTGTATTCATTGTTGTTGATGCCCAAAATATACATTTGAGAATAAAAAAAAACTTTTATAGGTAGAGCAGCTGGACAGGAGGCAGCAATAGTCAATTAAATAAAATACTATGACATTAAAAAAATAGTGTAACATTGTAATAGTATGATACTATATCAGACTCACTGTCTGATGTCATAGAGAGCCTCCTGACCTATATCATCACTGTCTGATGTCATAGAGAGGCTCCTGACCTATAGCATCACTGTCTGATGTCATAGAGAGGCTCCTGACCTATAGCATCACTGTCTGATGTCATAGAGAGCCTCCTGACCTATAGCATCACTGTCTGATGTCATAGAGAGGCTCCTGACCTATAGCATCACTGTCTGATGTCATAGAGAGGCTCCTGACCTATAGCATCACTGTGCGATGTCATGCTTCTCACAGGCAGAGTACTGCCCAAAAATTCTGGCCAGACTACTACATCAGCCTAACTACTCACTTTCGTCTACTGTGTTTGGGTCTGTATTCACAAACCACCTTCCTTTTTCTGTGTCAGGGCACTTATGTCACGTGTGTTAACTAGTGAACGTGTGTTTTAGACACGTCATATGTGATCACCAAAAACCCTCCATGAAAAATGGACACAGAAGACCGTGTATTCTGCCCGGGAGAGGGTCACCAGGACCTAGCGCTGGAGCCAGGCCTGGGGGTAGTGTTCCTCGGCGAGTGCCTGGTGCCAGGCTCTGCCCAAAGAGGCGCCCCCACCAGCAAGGTACAGCATGTTCTAGACAGGTGGGTGAAGAGAGGTGCTGAGCTGTCAACTGATCACCATCTGGTGGTGAGTTGGATCAGATGGCAGGGAAGACTGATGGTCAGACCTGGTAGGCCCAAGCGAATAGTGAGGATGTGCTGGGAATGACTGTCGGAGGCCCCTGTTCAGAATGATTTTAACTCCCACCTCTGTGAGAGCTTTTCTCATGCCCAGAGGAGGTAGGGGACATAGAGTGTGAGTGGACCCTGTTCAAAACCTCCATTGTGGAAGCTGCCAGGCGAAGTTGTGTCTGGGTGCCTGTCAGAGCGGTATCCCAAGAATCCCCTGGTGGACACCGGTTCTGAGGAAGGCCATCAAGCTGAAGAAAGAGTCATTTAGGGACTGGATTGCCTGGAGGACTCCCTACTCAGCAGAGAGGTACCGACAGGCAAAAAAGGTGGTTACCGCAAGGGTGGCAGAAGCAAAATCCAGGGGAGGAGTTTTTTTGAGACCATGGAAAAAGCCTTTCGGTCAGCCTCGAGGAGGTTCTGGTTGGTATGTGGATCAGCACCTCCAAGTCTGAGTCCATGGTCCTAGCCTGGAAAAGGATGGCATGCCCACTCCAGGTAAGGGGAAAGGACCTGCCCCAGGTGGAGGAGTTGAAGTATCTTGGGGTCTTGTTCATGGGAAGAGGAATGGTGGGATTGGCCGTAGGCTGGGACAGGCGGCAACAGTAATGCAGTCACTGGACTGTAGTGGTGAAGAGGGTTACCGGTTGGTCTACATCCAGATCCTCACCTATGGTCATGAGCTGTGGGTAATGACCAAAGGAACAAGATCGAGGATACAAGTAGCGAAAATGAGCTTTCTTCACAGGGTGGGCTACACTCTACTTAACAGGGTGAGGAGCTCGGTCATCCGGGAGGGGCTCAGAGTAGAGCTGCTGCTCCTCCAGATTGAGAGAAGCCAGTCGAGGTGGTTCGGGCATCTAGCCGGATCCCACCTGGATGCCTCCCGGTGGGAGTGTACCAGACACGACCTACTGAGACAAGACCCCGGGGTCATCCTAGGACCCAATGGAGGGATTATATCTTCAAGTTGGCCTGGGAGCGGCTTGGGTCCCCAGGAATGAGCTGGAAGAAGTTGCGAGCGACAGGATTCGTCTGGGATTCTCTGCTCTCCCAACTGCTACTGCGACCCTATCTGGACTAAGCGGTTGATGATGATGATGATGATGATGATGATGATGATGAAGATGATGACGTGATCACTGTGAAATGCAAGTGACTTCTCTGTAAGTGAAGAAACTGATATCAGTAATTTGAACACATTTCATGTAAATATTCTTTTAAATGCACAGGAAAAAGTTCAAATAAAATAAATGACTGACTATTTGATTGGACCCTCTTGCTCAGTTCAGAAGGCTTTGTTCCGTTTGTTGTATTCAGTTTCCATAACAGGTAAAGGTTATTTTCATGTCTTGTAGGACCTACTGTTATCGGCCAAAAAAGGAAGACTACTTTTTATGTACGAATTTTACATATTGGGGGACAAAATAATACAACATAAAATCTGACCTGTGCAAATGTTATGGAACATTTCATATGTTAAATATTCAATACACTAAACTCAGAATGGAAGAAGAAACTGTGCAGTAAAATTTGCAGTAAAATGTCATTTAAGTGTGTCTCTGTAGAGGACGTGTTCACTTGGAAAATTAACAAAACATGTAATCGGATGGCGGGCGGGCGGGTATTCATACGTTTGCATACAAACTACAGACATTGTATGTTGTCCTAAAAAGTAATAATTCAATGTTTCCAATGATGTGCCAGCCACACCTCCTTCTCCTCTCCAATCAGAGCTCAGTATGAGCTCCTTCCTGATTCTGATTCCTCTTATAAAGCCACTTAGTCATAGAAAGAAAGCAGGAAGAAAGCAGCAGGACGACTGCAGCATGGAGCAAAAGCTGGACTGCATCGTGACTCAGTTCACAGATATGATGGAGGAGCTGAGGAGAGAAATCAGAGGTAATCAGACTCTCTCTTAGCCTGTCTGAGCTCACACTGAGGGATGACTTCATAATTATGGATTATTAAACTCAGCCTAGTTTATATTTAAAAGCCCAGATCACAATGTTATTAGGTTAAATTAGATAAATATACAGAGCCGTCCTTATATGTGTGTGTATAACAGATTATTTAAATTAGATATTTACAAGGATTATGTTCAACCCAAAGACAGTGATAAACTATATATATATATATATATATATCATCATTTATAGGGGACTTTCTATTGGGAGGAGTCTGTCCCAAACACTAAAAACTGAAAAGACAATTTGTATTATTATAATAATTTTAAGGTCTTTTGCTTTCTTTTAAAGTGAAGTTGAAAAATTTAGATTTATAATGATTTTAAAATTTTAAATAAAAAAGCCACGCCCCTGCATTTTAGAGCAGGGAGTGAGGCTGCATCCCTGTCCCTCATGGCCACATGGTGAGCAGTTAGATCCCATTGTTTTGAAGTAAATGTGTCCCAAAGTCTGAAAATCAGTGTGGAACATTAAGAATCGCCATATTTTCTGCAGTTCAGCACTTTTTAGTGTTTTAGAGTTTCTGACTCTGAAAATTGTCACTGAAACAGTCACTACTGAAACATCTGGTACAGTTTTGGTTTGGTAGGGACAAAATTGACTGTTCAATCATTAGTTTTAATAAAATAATCATAATTAAGGTTTAGAGTCACTCGCAAAAGGACTTTAGTCCAAAATTTCAATTCTGACTTTGAACCGGTTCAGCAGAATCAAGCCGGATGAGCCCCCACACTTTGTCATGACTGGCTCAACATCTTGACAAATAAAAGGGAAGCACACAGTGAATAAATAAAAAATGATTTTAATAAGAAATAAATTTAAGGATCTGGTGCAAACATCTCAAGGACCAAAGCTGCCAAAATAACTCCAAAATAAGCAAATAAACTAAAGCATAATACCCAAAAGAACAAAAGAAAACAGGCCCAAAAAACCAAACTGTCCAGGTTACAGAAAAAAAAGAACAAAAGAGAAGCCTTCAGCCCCACCCACTACAGCTCCACCTGTAATGGCACAGGCGCATCACAATGTACTGTAATCAGCAGACAATAAACATGGTTAAAATGATCTTTTAAAACAGCTACAGCTACAGTTGATGCAGCTGTATGTCAAGTCAAGTCAAAGTTTGTTTATATAGCGCTTTTTACAGCAAGTGTCGTCACAAAGCAGGTCTCAGCCCCCATTAGTGTCGCCAATGGCGAAAGTGGCAAGGAAAATTCCCTAAGAGCAAAAGAAAAACCTCAAACCCCAGAAGGGGAACCCATGAGTTAATTCACTAAGATACTGCGGGGCCATTTAATGATTTATACGTTAAGAGGAGGATCTTATACTCTATGCTAAATTTAACAGGTAGCCAGTGTAATGATGACCGGATTGGGATATATGGTCAAATTTTTGGTCCTTGTAGGACTCTAGCAGCTCCATTCTGGACCAGTTGGAGCTTATTTGTAACATATTGGAGCATCCGGCTAAAATGGTGTTACAGTAGCCCAGCCTGGAGGTCATAAAGGCACCAGCTGTTCCGCATCGTTTTGGGCTAGAATATTATGTAGTTTACAATGTGTTCAAGAATATTCTGTCACTGCAAAAACAAATGTGCAGGGGTTCATTTGTGACCATATCTAGCCATGCGTTCAAATTTTTAATACCCCCATTTCTGTGCTTTATATAGTTGTAAGTTTGATCTGCCCCAAAGGTCAAATTCTATGTTTTTGTTGATTTTCTATGTGAAAATAAGTTAACACCTTCTCTACAGAGACCCACTTAAATATGACTTTTTCTGCCAAAACTTTTGCACATACACTGTTTTATCTTTTATCCAATATGTTAAATCCAGTACATAAAAGGGAATGTGCATATTAAAGTGTGCAGAAGTGTGTCTCTGTAAACGGCAAGTTAACTTATTTACATGTAGAACATCAACAACATGAAAATTGATCATGGGTTCCAAAACTTTTGCATAACACAGTAAGCATTGGTGTGATTGGTGAGTGGGTTTCCTCTCTTTCAGTGATGCATACAAAAGCGATTTTAGTCCTAATAGCTCCACCTTGTGGGTAATGTAGACACTGCTGAACACAGCTTCATAATCACCTGTGGATTATCATCTGATGATATCATCTGATTATCATTTCATTGTAAGCCAATCTCTAAGTTGATTCATCTAGAATATAAGCTTTAACTGATCGTTTTTAATTGAGTAATCGATTTTAGATTCAGGCAAATTATTTAATTGTGCCAAATGTGAACATTATTACAGAAGTGGAAAAACTGCAGGATTTAGAGAAGAGACTGAAAACTATGGAAGCAACGCTGGAGGAGCTGAAGAAGGACAAAGGTAAAAGTCTACAAATGTATTTATATTTAATTGTATGCAAAAGTTTGAACATCTCCTCCCTGTCAATTTACACATTACAGTGTTGATTTTCTTAAGCTTGAAAGTAGCATTCAAATATAACGTATCTGAGGTTCAATGCAGGGAATTGCAATTTATATTTTGAATAAAATAACTGATTCCAGCATAAATCCATGTTCATTTTAAACAGCTGACCAGATGAACCAGAATGAAATTCTGCTTGGAACCTCAATGTTTTCTGATTTCCCCCTTCAAAGCAAAAACGCCCTCTAAAACATACATTTATATGTATATATACATATATATTCCCAGAGAAAAAGGTCGCCTTTTCTGCATCACTGTTGGCCTCTGGAGAGGGACACACTGGACCCATGAACCCTGTGCCGTCACCACTGATCTACAAAAAAGTCTTCAGCAACTACGGAAACGGCTACGACTCAAATACAGGTACAGTAAATGGGAATTAGTATCAGGAAGGTCAATCATTTAGTCAATGAGCTGATCAGCTCACCAAACAATCAGCACTCAGTAGCAGTAATGCTAACCAATCAGCTCTCAGTAGAAGTAATGCTAACCAATCAGCTCTCAGTAGCAGTAATGTTAACCAGTCAGCAGTCAGTAGCAGTAATGCTAACCAATCAGCTCTCAGTAGCAGTAATGTTAACCAATCAGCACTCAGTAGCAATAATGTTAACCAATCAGCTCTCAGTAGCAGTAATGTTAACCAATCAGCACTCAGTAGCAGTAATGTTAACCAGTCAGTAGCAGTAATGCTACCCAATCAGCTCTCAGTAGAAGTAATGCTAACCAATCAGCTCTCAGTAGCAGTAATGTTAACCAATCAGCACTCAGTAGCAATAATGTTAACCAATCAGCTCTCAGTAGCAGTAATGTTAACCAGTCAGTAGCAGTAATGCTACCCAATCAGCTCTCAGTAGAAGTAATGCTAACCAATCAGCTCTCAGTAGCAGTAATGTTAACCAATCAGCACTCAGTAGCAATAATGTTAACCAATCAGCTCTCAGTAGAAGTAATGTTAACCAATCACTTCTCAGTAGCAGTAATGCTAACCAATCAGCTCTCAGTAGCAATAATGTTAACCAATCAGCACTCAGTAGCAGTAAGGCTAACCAATCAGCACTCAGTAGCAATAACGTTAACCAATCAGCTCTCAGTAGAAGTAATGTTAACCAATCAGCGCTCAGTAGCAGTAACGCTAACCAATCAGCAATCAGTAGCAATAATGTTAACCAATCAGCACTCAGTAGCAGTAATGCTAACCAATCAGCACTCAGTAGCAGTATTTGTTAACCAACAATAATAACAACAACAACAATAATAATAATAATAATAATAATAATAATAATAATAGCACTTTCAGTTGTCTGGGGCAGATCTGGCCGAGCAGAAATTTCACAGACTGACTTGTGGCAAAGCTGGCATCCATGTTTAAAGTCACTGAGCTGATCAGTGTGACCCTCTACCGCCAGTGTTTGACTATGGAGATAAAGGACTGTGTGTTCAATTTTATACCCCTGTTAGCAATGGATGCAACTGAAACACCAGAACTCAGTGATAAGGAGACGTGTACACATACTTTTGGCCATATAGTGTATTTCAGCATGAGTTTAAAATTAGCACGTCAGCTGTATTAGCAGGCCATGTTATGTTAGCAGTGTTTTTCAAAACTTATGCCAGAAGCTTCTGACAGGAGGAAATGTGGCCAGTCGTTTTAATGCAATGTGCTGATCTGCTTAGCAGCAACCGCTCTATTGGTCACAGGCTTTTTCATCAGTATTTTTCCACATGACTAACGAGGTGCACTGAAACTAATGGAGAGTTTGGAACCCCAGCCACAGCTTATAGCCGCTGTAAATACGATTTATGAACTGTAGCTATTTTTTTTGACTTTCCAGCCAGTTTTACACACATATATCAAAGCAAAAACGTAAATTGTGAGTAGGAAAATAGTTACATATTTAAATATGATTATTTTATCTTATAGGCTTATGGTAACAAGCAGGGCGGCGACCCAGTGCACATAAAAAAGAAAACTCTCCTGATGCTGTGGCATTATTACTCATGCAACTAAACTGAAAAACACAAACTTTGCCAGCTGTAATCTATATATTGTTGTCTTTCTCACTCATGTTTCAATTTCCATTGATACATGAGCCCTCCTGGTAATTTCACGTCAATCACCATTTAACTGGCCTTGTGTTCACTGTTAAAATGGAATTACAAGAAAATTTTATGATTTCTGTATAATCCAGTGGTTGAGATGTAATCAGAGTGATTCAGAGTGGTTTGGTGTGAAATGGTTCAGATGTCTTTACAGTGGTGGTGATAGGAACCAGGGGTCGCCATGACTACAACACAAATATAGACATTTTATTTACTATCCAGAACCACCAGTGAACCTACATGAGTCTTCTGAGTTTATATGGAATGTTGATGATGGAAAATAGTGGAAAATCTGAAATAATAAGTTTTCTTTGGGGACTATTTTGCCTCACAGCGCCCTGCATGTATCCCTCCACCATGAATGGAGTTTAAGTTCTCTAAACTATCATAAAACAGTGTCTCAGTCATCAGGCAGTGAATTCATAACCATTTACTGTAGGAACTTTCTGTGAGGGAGCTTTTAGAGGTGGACGTCTGGTTCCTATCACCACCACTGTGAGCAATTATGACTAGAATTTCTCTAGAGCAGAGCGTTTCACACCAAACCACTCTGAATGACTCTGAACCGCTCTGTTTACATCTCAACTGTTTGATTCTACAGAAATGTAAAAGATTAATTGAGTTCCCCTTTAACTCTTCCTTGTAGAATCACTGTTGTCTCTCTGTCTTTTTCAGGGATTTTCACTGCTCCGATTAAAGGAGTTTACTTTTTCAGGTTTTACGCTCACTGTCACCCTGGCACCAAAATGGCTGTCAGCCTGTACAAAAATGATCAGGGGCAGTGCTCTGTGTTTTCTTGGAAGCCAGTAACCAATGGCAACGCCAGCAACAGCACTGTCCTCACTCTGGAGAAGGGAGATCGGATCTACACCAAGCTCTGGGAGGACAGCTGGGTGTTCGATGATCCAGCTGGCTACACAAGTTTCAGTGGATTTTTGCTTTTCTCTCTTTAAACGTAAACCTGAAATTCTGAAACGTCATAGATTCAGCATTTACATTATATTATAACATTTACATTACGCCTTAATATGTGGGTGCGGGTTATATTGCTGGATCTTACAGTTAGAATATTGGAGAAACATTATTCAGACAGTTTAATCATAAAGGAGGGAACGTATTTCTCAGAACCTGGTAATAAAGTCTCATATACTATCTAAAAATCATCTGAGCATTTAATGGCCATCTTTCTATTTCTTTATTTAGAAACAACCTACCTTTTACTCCTACTATGTGACTACTAGAAACACCCATCTTGTGCTTCCACTCACTGGCCACTTTATTAGAAACACCCACCTTGTGCTTCCACTCACTGGCCACTTTATTAGAAACACCCACCTTGTGCTTCCACTCACTGGTCACTTTATTAGAAACACCCACCTTGTGCTTGCACACACTGGCCACTTTATTAGAAACACCCACCTTGTGCTTCCACTCACTGGCCACTTTATTAGAAACACCCACCTTGTGCTTCCACTAACTGGCCACTTTATTTGAAACACCCACCTTGTGCTTCCACTCACTGGCCACTTTATTAGAAACACCCACCTTGTGCTTTCACTAACTGGCCACTTTATTAGAAACACCCACCTTGAACTTCTACTCAATGGCCACTTTATTAGAAACACCTACCTTATAGCTCTACTATGTACATGTACAGTTATAGACTGTAGTCCGTCTGTTGCTCTACATCAGCCCCTCTACTCCATACATCATTGGGCAGTTTCTCACCACATGACCACTGAGCTACAGTCGCTAATTGCACTCCAGCAAGTTGGATCCGTTTCCGATAATGTGGCCAGGAAATGTGATTATACAAAGAATGTATTTGTCTTTCTCCAAAAGTCTCTTTCTTTCAGTGAATGTAACGTTAGATTACTTGCGTGTGGAAAAAAACCTTTAACTTACATGTGATTACTCTAATAAAGATTACTCTAATGAAGATTACACTAATGAAGATTACACTAATGAAGATTACTCTAATGAAGATTACACTAATGAAGATTACACTAATGAAGATTACTCTAATGAAGATTACACTAATGAAGATTACTCTAATGAAGATTACTCTAATGAAGATTACACTAATAAAGATTAATGAAGATTACTCTAATGAAGATTACTCTAATGAAGATTACTCTAATAAAGATTAATGAAGATTACTCTAATGAAGATTACTCTAATGAAGATTACTCTAATAAAGATTACACTAATGAAGATTACTCTAATGAAGATTACTCTAATGAAGATTACACTAATGAAGATTACTCTAATGAAGATTACTCTAATGAAGATTACTCTAATAAAGATTACTCTAATGAAGATTACTCTAATGAAGATTACACTAATAAAGATTACTCTAATGAAGATTACTCTAATGAAGATTACACTAATGAAGATTACTCTAATGAAGATTACTCTAATGAAGATTACTCTAATGAAGATTACTCTAATAAAGATTACTCTAATGAAGATTACACTAATAAAGATTACTCTAATGAAGATTACTCTAATGAAGATTACACTAATGAAGATTACTCTAATGAAGATTACTCTAATGAAGATTACTCTAATAAAGATTACTCTAATGAAGATTACACTAATAAAGATTACTCTAATGAAGATTACACTAATAAAGATTACTCTAATGAAGATTACTCTAATGAAGATTACACTAATGAAGATTACTCTAATGAAGATTACACTAATAAAGATTACTCTAATGAAGATTACTCTAATAAAGATTACACTAATGAAGATTACTCTAATGAAGATTACTCTAATAAAGATTACTCTAATGAAGATTACACTAATAAAGATTACTCTAATGAAGATTACTCTAATAAAGATTACTCTAATGAAGATTACTCTAATGAAGATTACACTAATGAAGATTACTCTAATGAAGATTACTCTAATAAAGATTACTCTAATGAAGATTACACTAATAAAGATTACACTAATGAAGATTACTCTAATGAAGATTACTCTAATAAAGATTACTCTAATGAAGATTACTCTAATAAAGATTACTCTAATGAAGATTACACTAATAAAGATTACTCTAATGAAGATTACTCTAATGAAGATTACACTAATGAAGATTACTCTAATGAAGATTACTCTAATGAAGATTACTCTAATAAAGATTACTCTAATGAAGATTACACTAATGAAGATTACTCTAATGAAGATTACACTAATGAAGATTACTCTAATGAAGATTACACTAATAAAGATTACTCTAATGAAGATTACACTAATGAAGATTACTCTAATGAAGATTACTCTAATAAAGATTACTCTAATGAAGATTACACTAATGAAGATTACTCTAATGAAGATTACTCTAATGAAGATTACTCTAATGAAGATTACACTAATGAAGATTACTCTAATGAAGATTACTCTAATGAAGATTACACTAATAAAGATTACACTAATGAAGATTACTCTAATAAAGATTACTCTAATGAAGATTACTCTAATGAAGATTACTCTAATGAAGATTACTCTAATAAAGATTACTCTAATGAAGATTACTCTAATGAAGATTACTCTAATGAAGATTACACTAATGAAGATTACTCTAATAAAGATTACTCTAATGAAGATTACTCTAATGAAGATTACTCTAATAAAGATTACTCTAATGAAGATTACTCTAATGAAGATTACTCTAATGAAGATTACTCTAATGAAGATTACTCTAATGAAGATTACACTAATGAAGATTACACTAATGAAGATTACTCTAATAAAGATTACTCTAATGAAGATTACACTAATGAAGATTGCTCTAATGAAGATTACTCTAATGAAGATTACTCTAATAAAGATTACACTAATAAAGATTACACTAATAAAGATTACTCTAATGAAGATTACTCTAATGAAGATTACTCTAATGAAGATTACACTAATAAAGATTACACTAATGAAGATTACTCTAATGAAGATTACTCTAATAAAGATTACTCTAATGAAGATTACTCTAATGAAGATTACACTAATGAAGATTACTCTAATGAAGATTACTCTAATGAAGATTACACTAATGAAGATTACTCTAATGAAGATTACTCTAATGAAGATTACTCTAATGAAGATTACTCTAATGAAGATTACTCTAATAAAGATTACTCTAATGAAGATTACTCTAATGAAGATTACTCTAATAAAGATTACTCTAATGAAGATTACTCTAATAAAGATTACACTAATGAAGATTACTCTAATGAAGATTACTCTAATGAAGATTACTCTAATGAAGATTACACTAATGAAGATTACTCTAATGAAGATTACTCTAATGAAGATTACTCTAATGAAGATTACTCTAATAAAGATTACTCTAATGAAGATTACTCTAATAAAGATTACTCTAATGAAGATTACTCTAATAAAGATTACTCTAATGAAGATTACTCTAATAAAGATTACTCTAATGAAGATTACTCTAATGAAGATTACTCTAATGAAGATTACTCTAATAAAGATTACACTAATGAAGATTACTCTAATGAAGATTACTCTAATAAAGATTACTCTAATGAAGATTACTCTAATAAAGATTACTCTAATGAAGATTACACTAATGAAGATTACTCTAATGAAGATTACTCTAATAAAGATTACACTAATGAAGATTACTCTAATGAAGATTGCTCTAATGAAGATTACTCTAATGAAGATTACTCTAATGAAGATTACACTAATAAAGATTACTCTAATGAAGATTACTCTAATAAAGATTACACTAATAAAGATTACTCTAATGAAGATTACTCTAATAAAGATTACACTAATGAAGATTACTCTAATGAAGATTACACTAATGAAGATTACACTAATGAAGATTACTCTAATGAAGATTACACTAATAAAGATTACTCTAATGAAGATTACTCTAATAAAGATTACACTAATAAAGATTACTCTAATGAAGATTACTCTAATGAAGATTACACTAATGAAGATTACTCTAATGAAGATTACACTAATGAAGATTACACTAATGAAGATTACTCTAATGAAGATTACACTAATGAAGATTACTCTAATGAAGATTACTCTAATGAAGATTACACTAATGAAGATTACTCTAATGAAGATTACTCTAATGAAGATTACTCTAATAAAGATTACTCTAATGAAGATTACTCTAATGAAGATTACTCTAATGAAGATTACACTAATGAAGATTACTCTAATGAAGATTACTCTAATGAAGATTACACTAATGAAGATTACTCTAATAAAGATTACACTAATGAAGATTACTCTAATGAAGATTACACTAATAAAGATTACACTAATAAAGATTACTCTAATGAAGATTACACTAATAAAGATTACTCTAATGAAGATTACACTAATGAAGATTACACTAATAAAGATTACACTAATAAAGATTACTCTAATAAAGATTACTCTAATGAAGATTACACTAATAAAGATTACTCTAATGAAGATTACACTAATGAAGATTACACTAATAAAGATTACACTAATGAAGATTACTCTAATGAAGATTACTCTAATGAAGATTACTCTAAGTAAAAATTACTCTAATAAAGATTACTCTAATGAAGATTACTCTAATAAAGATTACACTAATAAAGATTACACTAATGAAGATTACTCTAATAAAGATTACACTAATAAAGATTACACTAATAAAGATTACTCTAATGAAGATTACTCTAATGTAGATTACTCTTATAAAGATTACACTAATGAAGATTACTCTAATAAAGATTACTCTAATGAAGATTACTCTAATAAAGATTACACTAATAAAGATTACTCTAATGAAGATTACTCTAATGAAGATTACTCTAATGAAGATTACTCTAATAAAGATTACACTAATAAAGATTACACTAATGAAGATTACTCTAATAAAGATTACTCTAATGAAGGTTACACTAATGAAGATTACTCTAATGAAGATTACTCTAATGAAGATTACTCTAATGAAGATTACTCTAATAAAGATTACTCTAATGAAGATTACTCTAAGTAAAAATTACTCTAATGAAGATTACTCTAATGAAGATTACTCTAATGAAGATTACTCTAATGAAGATTACTCTAATAAAGATTACTCTAATGAAGATTACTCTAAGTAAAAATTACTCTAATAAAGATTACTCTAATGAAGATTACTCTAATGAAGATGACTCTAAT